GAGCCAAAACTTGAACATACATACATACATTAAGAGTTAAAGTACTTTAAAGTAAAAAGAAACTTGCAATCAGATAGTGAAGTCATTCTGTAGTGAGGTAAAGACTACTCACCTAATCTATGTTAGTTTTCACAACTAGCGCTTGCTGTGTATTGGGTGTATTGTACTGTAGCATTAATGTAACTGATTGGTGGTAACTTGACAACATCATATTTACCAGATATATACTACCAAAAATTGGTTCAAATGAGCAATAATGCAAAGAATGCACCAAAAAAGACAAATGGCATCTTATAACCAACATCATTTAATACATGGCCATCCATAAAATTCAAAAACACAACATACTCAACCATCCATAGCACTTGAATGTGTAACAGGTTGTATCTCAGTTTAAAGAGTGAAGCAGTGTTTACCTGGCACTTTAAATGAGATGACATCCTGCAGCAGACCGGCGTCCTGGGCCTTTTTGGCCAGTGTGTGTGATCGCAGGGCGAACTCATCCTGCTCCACTCTGGAGACCCCAAATGCAGCAGCCAGACGATCAGCACTGTGGCCCATCGTTTCAGCTGTGGAGAACTCAGCGACAGCAGGAAGCTACACACACACACAAATAAAGGTTATAGGAAGAAATAATGTACTACTGTATGTCAAAGGTCCAGGAGAAGAACTTTGGAATCAAATTCCACAACTAAAAGCGGTGCAACTCTTTTAAGTGAATATATACCTCTGGGGAGAGGTGTGCGAGCCGGATGCTGCCAATCAGACTGAGCCTCTGGCCAAGGGTCTTTGCCTTGTTGAGGGATAGCATGGTCTTCCTCATCTTACGGCTGTGACGAATAGGAACATCAGACATGAACTCCACCCCTCCTGCCACAACGGCGTCACACTGGCCTGCCGCAATCAGACCGACAGCTGGAGAGAGGGAGGAAGGAGAAAGAGACAAACAAAGGTCAAACAAAGAGGCGTTAGTGTTTTTGACAAGACGATTTATTATTTCCCCTTTGTTGTAATTTACATAGTTCTTATTTATGATGTCTCATCTTTAACATGACAAGATTGTATTTGTTTGTTTTTACATTAAAAATGCTTTTTTATTACTTAAAGTTTCTCACAGCAGCAGCAGACAGCATAACAATAACAATATCCTATCGATACGTATTACTGCGTCCAGAATATACAGTGCATGCTAAATGGCAGAGGCTTAGTGTGGAGATTTCTTTTCCTCACATACCTGAGGTCATTGCCTGGTTGGAGGAGATACAGGCCATGGTGACTGTGTGAGCTGGGATCTTGTCAGAGAAGCCTGCACCTAAAGCTGCCTGAAGTCACAGTAAAAAAAACAAAAACAGCAGTTTAAAAATCATCTTTACATCTCAGCCTGCAGTTCTAATGCTTAGGATCAAGGCTTAAAGAGAGTACATGAAACATATGCAAGATGTGTGAAGCTCCAGATGCTATAACCATTTTCTGGGCGTACGTGTGTGTGTGTGTGTGTGTGTGTGTGTGTGTGTGTGTGTGTGTGTGTGTGTGTGTGTGGATAATACCTCTCTTGCGACGTTGCTGGTTTTGACCTCCTGAATAACTGTTCCATAGATGATGTAGTCTACAGCATCTTTGGGGAGACCTGTCCTGTGCAGCAGACCCCTGGGGAAACCCAAATGGAATATTTCAAATCACATTACCACTCAAACAAAAAACACCTTTCTGTCACACATAAAGATTCTAAGAATTTGAGAAACAGGCTTGTGACAAGACAGGCTAAATGTAGAAAAAAAGTGAATTTATTATATGGTAGGGGACAAAAGTAAACTCTTGTTTTCAACAAAACACCCCGACACCCCTCACAGCTCTGTCAGATCATTCCTCCAATGTTTGTCTGTCTATCCTGCTGTCGAAAAACGACACCCTTCAGCAGTTTTCAGATGTTTTAATGCCTAATGCCATCTGAAGGCCACTTATAATTCATAGAGCCATGGTTATATATGTAACTTAACATCCATACCGGTCTCATGCTTCACTTGCATGCAGTAACAGTGACTTCTAAACTGTTCATGAGAACAACTACACACTATGCCTGCAGACTTTACCCTGATTCATTGTGTTAATAAAAACTTTGACGGTCGACAAAAGAAAGGACACAACACAAGAACACACTTACTGCAGAGCTGCTCTGGCCAAGTCATGGGGCATTAGGTCAGCATATCTGCAAACACAAACCAGAGGGGATTTACTTTCAAGGCAAGATTCTCTTTCTGTAAATATCATTTGATGGCTTTTCTTGGGAATTCCACATTTAAATGGCAAACGAGATGATCAAGATCTAAAGAGCTTTTTTGAGCAGAATTCTTATCAAAGCACCATCAACGTACAGCTTCAGCAAGTAAACTTAGCCATAAGAAAAGAGCAGAGACGTACGTGGTTCCAGACAGCAGGAAAGGGGTTCGAACTCCTTCCACCAGAACTATGTTCTTCACACCAGGCCGAGCCAGTGTCTTTTTACTCTTTGTCTGAACTGAAGGAAAATAACAACAGTAAGAGATAGACTTTGATCATATCATCTCAATAATAGTTATATTTTCAGCCATTCAGATTCCACCTTGGGAAGATAGTTTTGCACAGGTTCTGTCCAGGTAAATAAATGACTTAATAAATAGAGGCTTATATTTAAAACAGAGGGATCTCTACAAGACTATAATCTAGATTTTTGTGTAACTTTTATCACTAAGAGTAATAACTTACCCTGAGCCTGAAGCTGGGCTGTCGTACTGAGAGAGCGTGCCCCTGAGACAGAAAAAAAATATTCCTTGTCATCATCAATTAAATAATTAGAAATATTTCATCCAACTTGATTTTGCACAAACATTTCAAATTAATAGTATATACTACACAATAACATAAGCGGATAACAGCGTTGTAGTAGCCCGATTTTAAATAGCTGATGTGTGTATTTTAGGTTGGATTGTCAATAAGCATGAAGTGACAAATGGAAAGGCTAAATAAACAAAAGTGACAGTGGCCAAAGATCATGTTTCTACAAATACAATATACTGTATAAATCCATGAAGACACATAGAAAAACACATATTTGCTGTTGGTGTTCTATCTCACATTTCTGACTCTATTCTTGTTTGGTAAAATGTCTCATTGCTTTGAAATACACTGGACTATGTTAAACAAATAGGAATGTAGTCAATTTACCAATCCGCATCGCCCAGGAAGGGCTGGTGGAGCAGCTCCGCACCGTGTTCAGCAACATGGAAGCCATTATGTTCTACAGAGAAAGAAACTATAATTGTTATAAACAAGGACTCTGATGAAGAATTTCATAGCATAACATTCCCATGTTTTCAAAATGTAACAACTTTCTGTTTTAACAATGTTGTTTTTAGAATCAACACTTCTCTAAAACAGTTTCAACAAAAGCTAAACAGTGTAACTTTTGTGAAGTAATTTAAGATTTATTGCTGGACTGTTTTATTAGACAGCATTAGTGTTGGCTGCGTCTACCTAATTAACAGGCAAGTAAGTATACATGCTCTCACATTCCCATACAGTGGCCAGTTTTTCCTCGTCTCCTTGACTTCCTCAGAGAATCTATCAAACTCTTGGCTCTCCTTGTCTGAATTCACAATGACATTTTTATTTTATTCTTGAAACTGCATAAACCATGGGGACTACACCTCTTATTGTCACGTGATAGTGCGTCCTGGAGAGTGACATAACCACATTACACAGCCCCTCAGGTAATACTCAGATCTTCTTCTGTAGGTAAAAGGTCAACTGTAGTATGCACCTGTCACCTGAATGTCCAAATCACACCAGACATAATAAACTGTCATCCCAGAGTCCCCAGGCCTGCTTGACTGATTATAATGAACTAAATCTGCATACTCACTACATAACTATGCAGAGCATGTGGTTTGATGGGACAGTAAAATACTTGAGAGAACTGAGGAAATGCAATGTTAAGTAACTTATCAGTACACATTACACATACTGTCAATGCTCTAAACACACATGTGTGTATATATAGCTACACTACCTATAAACCTAGAGACCTTTAACATTTAGGCATGAGGCTCTACTCTGTCCCGCATTAACCCATAATATATTAACAATAACTTAATGAAAAGGTCTGTCGAATAGGATCTATAATATATATATATATAGAGAGAGAGAATTGCTCTTATTCTGTGTTATATTATGAGGTATAACATGACATATCATTCATTGACGGTCACCTAGCCCAACCCCCCCTTACTCCGGCTCTGACCCTTCACCTACATTCCTCTCCTGAGAATGACAGAGACAGAAACACAGGACTATGGGACTGAAACGGGGTCAGAACTGTTTACAGATCGACTGGGTATTTTGTTACCTTACACTAACGTTCACACTAGACAAAACACCGCACTGTTGAAACAATCTAAAAAGCAAAACAATGAAGTTGGACGCTAGATGCAAGCTAATAAAGCTAAGGTGGCTACGTGTTAGCTAAAGTTTCTATTCAGTTGGGATATATTTATTTATCTATCTATCTGAAGTTAAAACCACATTGTCTCTGTTTCTGGTTGAATTATCAGCAGTAATAGACACACTGAAGCTTACCTGTACTTGTGTTATGTCTCTGCGGACACAGCTTCCCTGTCCAACGATCGGCTAGCTACTGGACTACGCTTTGAAGGACCCAACAATGTGTTCGCTGTCCACATTAATGCCTGAAGAAAACACAAGGGCAACCGATGATATTTTTTATACCTGCTAGTGTTCAAGAGCTCTTAATTATAAATCATAATACCGACATCATTAAAATGTTTATTTACACGAATAAAAGGTAACAATTTCAGGTGAGTAACATTTTAGGCTACGGCAATATCCTTATCTAATATCAATATCCTTGTGCGCGCAGTCTGTTGAACACTTCAGAGGTGGAGATGTCAGTCAGTCGTTGTTTGTTAACTTAAGTTAGTTAAAATAAAATAATGTATTAACAATAACTTATGCTAAAGTCTTTAAGTCTTTATCTGGTTGGAAAATTGAGATTTTTCACAGTTTAAGATAAATAATGAATCAGTTAACTGTTTGTTGTAGTTCTACATACAAAGTCTCTGGTACTTTCTTATATGTCTACTGTTTGGTTATTGACACTGCCAGTAATGTAAAGGTGTGTGTGGGGAGGTCCTCACTGTCTCTTAGGTAAAAGCTTAGACATGATCACGTCTGTGTGGTCATCCTCTGATGTGAAAGTTTCAAGTGTCCAGATTTGTGTCCTTTGCAGCCGTTAACAATTTCTCTAAACAGATGTTCACTCAAATGAACCTCTGCTTGCATTGTCAGTGTCACTAAGCAACTGGATTAAAGGCGCTCTGAGTTTTTATGTAAACAAACAAAAGCTATGTGTTCTTACATTGTTGACCCATCTAAACACACTGTGTGTACCCTTGAGGTCTAACAGATGGATTGAATGCATTTATTTTTTTAACATTTTGAAACCTTGTTAACGCCCATCTTTTTTCTAGCTTGCGATCTTCTTCTTCCCCGTCTGTGTGGGCCATTGCTGTGTATGGTGGGACGTTACCGCCGCCTGTAGGACGGTGGAATAGTGTGAATCCATTGGCTCCATTAGGTGTGTATAGGTGCTGCTTTACACTATTAGATTTTTTTTTACTTTCTTTCACACACAGACTTGATCTTTAAAAACATGAAGTGTGCATTTAGTCACAGTTCAGCTGGCGACAGGCTGGTTTGTGGGGCCCTCACAGTTCCCTATAAGCCCAAATGTCCTTGAGCAAGGTCACCATTCAAGTGTGTTTGTGCTATTTATGCTAATATCCTCCAGGGATATATCGTTAAACTAGCAGAAATCAGCATAACACAATACTGGTAGCCCTCTGTCTGACGGCCTCTCTTCTTTTGTACGGTTCTCTCCATCAAGCTCAAACACACGTCAGCTATGAGCTGGAGGATGATGTGGCGGTTATACGACTCAATGATCCAACAGCCAAGGTGTGTGCGTGTATTGTGTGGGTGTGTGTTTGTGGAAGGGAGTATTAGACAGTACCCACTTGTCATAGAGAGAGAGAGAGAGAGAGAGAGAGATATTATGTTTGTGACGGTCTTGACTACCTGTCTCTGTCTCTCACTGACAAATGTGACATCCCTAATCAGAGTGTGTGCATTTGTGCGTATGTGTTTTTTTTTTTTTTTGTGTAAGCAGGTGAACACACTGTCAGTGCAGATGCAGTCTGAGCTGATGGGGGAGATCTGGTCGAACGGAGCTCTGAAAAAGTGCCGTTTTCATCTGTTTCACTTGCCGGTGCAGGTATCTAGCAGTCTTATTAGAGCTTGAACGAGGATTTCCAATACTTGTGTGTGTGTGTGTGTGTGTGTGTGTGTGTGTGTGTGTGTGTGTGTGTGTGTGTGTGTGTGGGTCGCTCCTACGCGTAAGTGGGTTTGAATCAGTGGGTAGAAATGTATTATGGTGCATTTTTATGCTTCAAACTTTCCTAACTGCCAGCAAACTGAGGTTGAAAGTCACATGGTTCACTTCATACAAAGGTCAATAAGAAATTCAGTCAAATTAAATATGTCTCCTCTGCTTACTGTATGTCACTGAACTGCTGAGTAATGAAACACTTATTATCTCTCTACTCTCAGTGTGACGGTCACCCGTCTCTCTCAGGAAGGTCTGAAGATTTTTGAGAAGATTGAGATGCTCCCATCCTCATTGTCGCTGCCATCCACGGCCTGCATGGCCTCAAGGTACAACCGTGTGTGTGTGTGTGTGTGTGTGTGTGTGTGTGTGTGTGTGCGACAGGATGAGCCAGATTAGGTGTGAAAGATGCAAAGATTTGACCACTAAGCTCCAATTTTGTGTCTTTTCTGCAGTTTGTGCCAGTTCCAAATTGCCACAAGAAACATAAATAAAATAAAAAAAAAGGTCCCAGGGACACCAGAGGTCATGTTGGGATTGCTGCCCGGAGCAGGCGGCACTCAGAGACTGCCTAAAATGGTATACACACACACCCTCATATTAATCAGTTATTCTCTTAATGGCTTGAAAGCACTGCCACAGTCTTGTGCTAGTGGCTACTGAGTTACACTGGAGTATATTAAGGTCAAGAGCCTCACTTGGGGGGATATCTGCTCACAATATCTGCAAACCTGCTTGTTGAATGTGTGTGTGTGTGTGTGTGTGTGTGTGTGTGTGTGTGTGTGTGTGTGTGTGTGTGTGTGTGTGTGTGTGTGTGTGTGTAGGTGGGTCTCCCTGGAGTGTTTGACATGATGCTGACAGGCGGGAACATCAGGGCAGATAAAGCCAAGAAGACGGCTCTAGTGGACCAGCTTGTGGACCCTCTGGGTATGTTCTGCGTGTGGCATTTCTTCATTTTGCTGTGCTTCATGAGACAGATAAAAGGACTGGTTTCCTGCTGTAATCCTCTGGTTTGCCCCTCTAGGTGAAGGTGGGAGGGGAATAAACTCTTGTGTTTGTTTACTCCCAGAGAGGAATATTGAATACCATGAGGAAGTTGCAGGACGCGTAGCCAAGGGAACTCTTTCTTGGTCACATAACGCAGTCAACTCAGACATATTTTCATTCAGTGTGACTTACTCTTTCTGCGGATATCATTACATTTGATGTCCATTGTAATATAAACATCCATTAATCCTCTTAGAGTTTGCGTCTTTTAACTCAGTCTTAAAGTAATCTAGTAGCTAGTAGTTAATTCGGCATACATTTAATGGAGCCAAAATGTAAACAAATACAGGTTTTAAAAAAGCATAGCTCACTGAATCCATAGTCACTCTTCCTGTTTTCATTGCCCAAAGCATCTACTGTATTTCTAAACAATAGAATATGTGAGCATGGGCCCACAGTGTCCCACAGTGACTATGACAACCTCTGCTCTTTCTTGTAACTCATTGGCCTGTCTGTCTGTTTTTAAAACCGGTCTTAAAACCCATCTCTTCTCTGTGGCCTTTGACACCTAGTAAGATGTCGACTTTATTTACTTGATTTATTTTTTGTATTTGTTATTTTTACTTTTTGATTGCTTGTTATTGCATGGTTATTATTTTTATTTATGTCTTTTCATTTTATTGTTGTATTATATGTTATTTTGCGCCTCATGTGAGCTGTTATGTCTTTTATTTATGATGTCTTATTTATTCTCCTGTACAGCACTTTGGTCAACTTTGGTTGTTTTAAAGTGCTTAACAAATAAAGTTGGATTGGATTGGATTGGATTGGACCAACACTGACACTGCATGTCTGTGATAAGCTCTAATTGTCCATGCACATATACCGTCAGGCTCTCAATACACCTTGAATGGTCCACATGTGTAAATTGTTATTGTGTGTGTGTGTGTGTCTGTGCAGAGCTCCAGGACACAGTGATGGGTGAGGTCTGTGAGAATGACTGTCAGTGAGAAGGCCCAGAAACAGACTAAAGGCCTCTATCTTTCGCTCCTGTCAATGTCATTGAGTAAGGAACTCACGAATGGGAAGTAGCAGGATTAACACATTTCCACATGATGTTGTTCATGTGTGTGACTTTCTGTCTTGTGTTTGACTGTGCAGTGTGTCTGGACCGGAGTGGAGGAGGGCAGAGAGGTAATCTGGATGAGGCTGAGGTGGGTTTGTTAAAAAAATAAGAAAAGTAACTTAACATCAATTAATTTTTTTTTTTTTTCTTCTCCCAGTTGTATAAAAACAATGTTTCTGACAATTTAGTCCCTAATCATGGTCCTTATATCACAGACTAACTATATCAGCTAGATTCCAGTCTATTTTTGGCTCTTACACAGAACTTTAGGAAGCTGACAATGTATTGTTAACAACACCTTAAACATGTGTTCTATTGCCTCAGTGTCAGCAATATGACAACTGTACAATGTGTTGTATGGAGGCTGGCTGATGGCTGCTGGTGTAGCCCAGGTATCAAAAGATAAAGGCCAGACCACATCCTAAAGGACACCACAGTGGAGAGCATCAGCAGGGGACATGAACAGGTCTACAAAAGAGTGAGATGCACATGTAGATTTGCATTTCGACATTCCTCATTAATGATAAAAGCAGGTGGCTCCTCTTTAAAGTGTTACTTTCTTTGTCGTCGTCACACTGTCCAGTCTTTCAGTCTGATAAAGGCTGCGTTCGAGGACACCGACCTTAAACAGTCCTCAAGGAGGCAGTAGGTACAATCTCATGCTCTGGAATTTCTTCAGTTTAAAGGTTTGCACAGTTTTAAACAATCCAAAATGGTTGAATTGTTTCACACATTTTGTTGAGAGTAGTACTAAAAAGATATTCTGTACTATCAATAGTACAGTAAATGTGCATTTGTTGTGTATTTCTGTGTTATTTGGAGCAAGATCAGGTAACCTTTTGGCTGCAGACCTAACTTGTTAGCTCAGTGTGAAGATGCACCGCTGACATACTGCATATTGCACTTTTATATTTTGTTTTATTTATGTATTTGCACACTCTACAAGATGAATCAGTATCTTACATTAAACTGTCCCCCTAAAATCAGTGGCTGTCTCTGTTCATTTTCCCCACTAAAATTACAAATATTTGCAATTTTATGTAAAGTATAAACCATCAGCAATCAGTAAATATATTGAGTCAATAATTACAAACTGTATCCAGACAGTGACTCCAAAAAACAACTAGTTTTAACCCTCTGTCGCACTCAATGAGTCTAATATGTTTATTATCAATTGTAGAAGTCTTAAAAAAGGCCTCTTTATCAATAACAGTGGAGTGGAAGACAAGAGTGTGAATCCTGAAGTTGAAGAACTCTTCAGGAAATACAAACTGACAGCTCTTAATCTATCTGATCTTTTTCTCTTAAAATGATCACGTGTGCTTGACATCCCGCACCAGTTGCTTTATAAATGAGGCAGTTCTGTGTCTCTAGGAGGGAATACAGAGACACCCAGTAGAGGGAGACATTGGAGCCGTGTTCAGAGCTGGCTTTCCTCCCTGCTGTGGTGGTAGGTCTCAGTTTGATACTGCGAGTTCCTTTGTGAAGCACTACACCACCCTCACGCTTTTAGTTTAAGTACCCACCATAACAGAGTCCCCTTGTAACACCAGTGGTGACAAATTTGTATTTTAGTTTAATGCACTTTACACTTATACTCTATCTACAATGATCTGAAAGAAATGTAGTTTCTAGGGATTTTTTAGGTTAAGATTTTACATTAAAAAAAAAAATTAATAACATTATTACACATTAAATGTTCATTAAGCTCTTAAATACAGTCTGTGATATAAAGTAGGTAAAACTAGCTCAACAGCTACATCGGTAAAATGCTGCTTACATACTGATGCATCAGTAGTAGTTTATAATAATCAGGCACAGTTCCATTGAGCTGTAAAACAACTACTTGATATTTTAAGTACATTTTAGCAATAGTACTTCTGTATTAAGATTAAAGTAAGAATAAGATTTTGAATGCAGGACTTTTTTACTTTGTGCTGAAGTATTATTAGATTGTTTTATTGTATTGATTTTACTTAAAAAAGGATCTGAGTACTTCTTCCACATCTGTTTACCACTGAGGCATCACCTTGTTAATGATCTGTACGATTGCTGTTGAGGTAATCAGTTTTCTCGTGCACCATGTTGTGTGAGACAAGAATTTATATCCCGTAAAAGCTTGAAAAAAAGAAAGTAGAAAAAAAATGTTTTCTACTTCTGATCTTTGTTGTTTTTCATATCTGTTTATGAATCTGTCATAAGCTCCTGATTCATCATCTGCTGGGTTCAGTTCAAAGTGTAAAACTCTTCATATCTTGTTTTTCTCTGTTTATATGAAGGCCAATTTACTTCTGAAACCACAAACGTTGCAATGTCTAAGCTGTGCTTGTTTTATTTGTACCTGGAATAAGATGTTTACTCATGCTTCTTTACTTAAAAATGTTTATTTATACTTTATGATATACAGTTGTGGCTGCAAACTACATATGGCTAAACAGCCTGTGGCACTGCCCATTTCTCTGATAACTGATCTGGGATGCTGTTTTATTTTATCTTTTTCTTTCAATGCAATAATAGTGCCACAGTATCCGGCCTTATCTGCAATAAACCTCCAACCTCCTGTCTGTGAGTTGTTACGACTGCAGCTCCCCACAAGCACAAGACAAAACAAAAGAGGATAAGTTGATTTTCAGAGGTCATTACGTTTTTTATTTATTTATTTATTTTGTATTCTCTTATTTATTTCTTCATTGTTCCTCTTACAGTGGCCTCGCTGTTACACGATCACAGAGAGAGGATTTATGGAGTTTATGAGATGTCAGGAGAAACAATTTGGGGAAACATGGCATCAGTAAGCAGCCTTTGACCCGACTGCAGCCTTTTTTAAAATCAAATTTGTTATTTGAATGTTATGGAATTTAAAGAGGATAATTTCAGACATTACGAGAGAACAGCAGCTTGTATGGCAACAAGAGAATCACAACAAACAAGTTTACTTTGACATTAACAACAACACAAATTGCATTTTAAGTTATCTGGCTAAACTGGATAGTCTTACTTCTTGAAATAACCCTCAGTGTTAGCTGAGGCCACAGTCCCTGCTTACATAACATTACTATCATCATGTGTACCTGTATGAAGAAATAGTTTGTATCCAGATTAAAGCTGGATATATGTTTCAAATTCAGAGGAAAACTTCCATCTCTCTATCTGCTGATGTCCAGATTCAGTCTGGAATAACATTTTTAATCATTCTTGTCATTTTGTTACTGTCAGATTTTGTAGGTTTTGTATGTTCGGCCAATATAATTCAAATCTGTAGCATGTTTATTTAAATGTAGGGGTGCAACTCAAAACTCCCTTTATCTTATTTTTTCATTAGTTAATCATTTGGTGAATAAAAATGTAAGAAAATGTAAGAAAAGAAAATAGCCCATCAAAGTTTCCCTCAATTTACTTCAGAACATTAAAAAGTAGATGTTCATATACATTTTCCTTTTTATTACTTAATAACTGGACAATTACAACAGTTGTTTTAATATCTTATGCAACATTAATAATACTTCAATAGTTTATAATATATAATATTTTGGACCTCCTTTCCTTAAACTGTCAATACTTTTGACACGCGCCATATGTTTTTTACCTACTTATTACTCATCTGTGTTTGTTTGTCTAGTGGTGTGTAGTGAAGTGAAAACAAATAGCTATGTGAACATATCACTTAGTGTAATTTCATTTATTATTATGCATGGCTAAATCAAGCATATCTGAACAATTATCTGAGGTACATTTTGAAAACTCTATTTCTGAGGCAGTCGAAGATTTCTATTTTAGCGTGGCAACACATCTGTGTGTCTGACTACTGACAGAAAGACATCTTGTGTTACCCTTAAAGGGAATGTTAATACAAATGTCACTGTCCCAAAGCATAAAATGGCCTTGATACAAATATTGTATATTCAGAGATGGTTCAGTGAATCATTGATCAGTACCAGAAATTCAATAATTACTTCATTGGGTGCTTCTGACTTTCACACTTTCTGCATTTTCCTTTCAATTGGCTTTTTCTTATCTCTCAAGAACCACTTTGTTTTTTATGCCAATCACAGACCACTGAAGCTCAATGAGACAGATGAAGAGGGCTGTGCAAGACACTCAGGTAGGAAACAGGTTCAGTGTTACATCTGTATTGTTACATGTCCTACTGGTCATAGAGAATAGATGCTGTAAATCCCTTAATGCCCCTTATATTGCAAAGACTCACATTAAACCCTTACTGTGGCGTGAATAATGCAATATGTGAAAACTGCAGAAATTCTGTCAAAATATCTTTAAGTAAAATGAAGGCATGTTTTCCTCTCATATCAGATTTTGTGTGACACCATGTCCATGTAGTGCTTACAACCTTTAGCTGTCTCGCAGCATGAAGATGTGTTGTGGTTGACTATCTGCCCCAAAGACGAATTGAAACAGGGTACTTTCATCGTGTAGCTCTCTGTCGTAGCCATTTGTTAGTAAACTAGTCCCAGTCTGTGATTCAGACAGAGACTCCTGGCATGTGAGCCAGTCAAGTGTCAGTTCTATAGTTCGACCACAGGGTGGCGTGGTTTCCTTCAGCAAAGTTTCAGCTTGAGTCAGTGGGGCTCAGCAGCCGGTTGGTCACAGTGGAAGGCACGTTCAGGATGGCTCAGTAGCCAACAGGCACATTATCAGGACCGTGTGTGTGTGTGTGTGTGTGTGTGTGTGTGTGTGTGTGTGTGTGTGTGTGTGTGTGTGTGTGTGTGTGTGTGTGTGTGTGTGTGTGTGTGTGTGTGTGTGTGTGTGTGTGTGTGTGTGTGTGTGTGTGTGTGTGTGTGTTAGATCTTGGGCCTCCAGCCCTGTATGAACTGTGTGATTTTGGTGACATGGAGTCGGCTCAGGTGGAAGTCATGTGACAGGATGTCCTCAGTCAGCTGCACCAGGAGGCTGCCGTCGATTCGCTCCCTCTGGAACACAGCCACCGCTGCCTCTGATAGGCCAATGAACCGCAGGCAGGCCGACACTTCCTCCAATGACAACACTGACAGGTCAGCAGGAGGTCGCCAGGTGGCGTCAGGGGGCTGAGACAACCCTTCAGTGACCCCTGTGGATGTCCCACCACCCTCTGCACCTCTGGAGGAATCTGTCGTGGGATTGGCAGCTGGCTCAGGCGAGGGACAAGGGGACTGGCGGTTGAATGGGTTCAATGCCCCAAAGGGAGCAAATCTACTCTGTGGAGGTGGCGGCCTCAGTCGAGGTCCGGAGGAGGTGAAGGAATCTACCCACGGCTCTGCCCAGGTGGCCTGTGCTGGCTGAGGACTGGCTGTGTTGTCTGCAGGAATGGCAGAGACTGGCTCAGGACTGGCTGGGTTGGGGGCGGGACAGTCCGCCCAGGAGCACGGGTAACAGTAGAGGGAAGCATCTGGAGAGGGTGAGCAGCTGGGACAGAGCAGGAGAAAGTGACATTAGCTTCTAGTATAACCTCAAATTTATCCTATTTCTGCACGTGAAGAAGTATTGTGGCCTGCAAATGACCAAATCAGTGCTCGCTGGGTTTGATTTGATCAATGTGGATTTCAAAAAGTGTCTTTTCGAATGCCTATTCTTGTCACTGTACAAAAGGCTGTAAACAACCATAAAAAAAACTCTTATTTTATTCTTATTTAGGCTACATCTAAAAATCGTAGGGCTTACACATTTAGTTAATTAACTGAGTAGTTGATAATATAAAATGATTTAAAAACATTTTTGATAATCGATGTACTTTTTGGAAAAATCCAAAATGTTGGCTGGTTTCAGTTTCTTAAGAATATGTGTCTCTTCTCTGTTTTATATCATTGTAAACTAAATATCTTTGAGTTTGGGACTCTTGGATAACACATGCAATTTATAGATCTGACTTTCTGGTCTCTGGAAACTTACGTAGCTTATTTTCCCATTATTCTTAGATTTCCTATAGACTAAATAATGAAGCAGTTAACTAAATAAACCAAGAGATGAATCGATAATGGAAATATTTAGTCTCTAGCCCGCTCCTCCTCTCTGCTCGAGGCTAAATTCATCACTACGAGTGTAACACACTCAAATCTCCAACTGAACTGTCCCTGGTCAAGTTGCATTGTGGGTAATTAAGTGTCTACTGCAACAATTTTGATTCTTATTTTAAACTGTCCATCATAAAAAGTTATAAAAGTAACTCTCTTCTCTCTCACCTACACACAAACACACACGCACAGACACACACACACACATAATGAAATGCTAAATTGGTGGAGTACTCTTTTAAGTGATGCTAACTCTTATGTGTGGGTGGTATAAGTAGCTATTATAAACATCAATTTATTATAATCAAAGTCATTATGTTAGCCTGGGATCCAACGGTACTCTCTATCTATCCTGTCAACACTAATCATATCTGAATTTATGAGATTTGGTAGCATCCTTTGATTAGGAAACAGAGCTTACATTAGCTCACTATGACCTCTGCCTCTGTTTGGGATGTAAAGAGCACATCACAAGTAAACCCTTGCAATAATTATACAAAATAATTCCAGTTGTTTTTTAGTAAAAACAACAACATCCACACCGTACCTGTCCTGAAGTCCAGAGGAGTAGAAGGAGAGGTTGGGTCTCGGGGAGGTGGAGGCTTTGGGGAAGCGAGGTGGGACGGGAGGGCTGGGGACTGGACTGGAGATTGAGCCTCCTTTAGAGCAGCGAGGGGGAACAGGAGGGGCGATCAAGTAGCGGCACTCCTCTCTCACCTACACACAAACACACACGCACAGACACATACACACACACACACACACAAAAATAAGAACTACAGCAGAAAAAAAGTTAACTCCTAAAACTTGACTTCTCAGGAGGCTTTATGTGTGTGTGTGTGTGTGTGTGTGTGTGTGTGTGTGTGTGAGAGTGTGTCTGCTGGCTTGTCTCAATGTTCTGCTTGGTAAATGTCAAACTTGGTGACCTTTACACCTCAAACAAACTCCCTCACACATAGTAGCAAGCTCTTTACACACACACACACACACACACACACACACACACACACACACACACACACAGTGTCTTGGCAGGCTAAATATCAGGGAATGAAGAACGCAGTGTGTGACAGGGTATAATCCAGCTGCATAGCAGACATCAACACCCACGCACCCTTTCTGTACCGCTGCTAGCTGCCATCACTCTGAGAGACAAAAGTTAATTAAGCAAAGCAAGTGTGATAATATCCCCCTTGCAAGCATAGACAGGCTATATACATTAACACATGAACATTAATACTGGTGAACAACCTAATAACTCCAAAATAAGAACAGCACAACTACAAAAAACAACCTTGTTTCCAACACGACACACCATTTGTTTTTGAGATTGTTTTATAAATGCAAGTACTGGTAATTTAGAGAGGAAACAGAACAGCCTTCAGTTGAACATGAGAAGCATGAAAGAGCAGACTGAGCTTTGCCAGTGTACACACAACCCTCAACTTAAAAGTTAAAAAAAAGATAAATCTGATAAAAAAAAAAGTAAAGCTATAAAACTCTGACAAATAATTTAGTTAAACATCATATATTACACATTCCACTCAAGCACTATGAAAGGAATATTCAACAAACGTCCCATATATGTAAATAAAAGAGGTGACTCTTTCTGTCACTGAGTGATGTACCACAGTAATGTTATGACCACATGTTGTTTATGAAAGCCTGAACTATTTACAGTTCTACATGCTAACTGTCTGGTTGTTACAGTATGTAGTGGAAAACTAGGTTTGGTTACCATAAAAGTTATTTTTAAACACTATTCATTCAAGTCCTCTAGATTGAGCGCCTCAGCTCTGTAAGTCCCCTTTCCTAGCTGATGACTGTTTAACTGGCATCATCAACAAAATAATAATTATTTTGTTTACATTCAACAACTAAAGCTCTAAGTTGTTGAATGTAAACAAAATAATTATTATTTTACTTTGTTCAAATTATGAGGTCCTCAAAGTTGCTATCAAGGTACCCTATCAGCTTAAAATATAGACAAGAAACCCTAGATTTGTCGTTTGTAAAACAAAATTGTTTAAAAAAAAGTTTGGGTATATCTTTAATTTTTTTTAACAGCCGTACAGGAAAGTGATTTCAAGATGCCACCTTGGTAAATGATATTTAATCAATTATATGAAGCAGAAAAATCAACACATTAATTTAAAATGAAAATGTTGTGAGTCTAAAATCTAGTTCCAGATATACATGCAAAATAAGTGGCACTGTCCCACCTGAACAAATGTGGGACGTGCTGGCACTAGCAGACAAAACCTACAGAAACCTACTCAAACTCCAAGACAAAAAAGACTGTCAATCCTGTTTGACTGACAAATGATTTTTGTGGAAGTGCAGTGCTTGTACAAAATCCCTTGGATTATTACGTTTACCACAAACAGTCAATGATAGCTTTTGCTTTCTGTTCGATTTTCGACTGTGGCCACGTTTTATCATTAAATCGATAATAATTTTGGTCATTCTTAAGCCTAGAGGCTCCATCAGTCTTATACTCTACCATGATGGGACTGAACTCTGTACTATTTATTGAATTTTTGTATTCCAGCATACAGCACACATGTACCTGCATCCTTGGTGATGACATATGTAGATATGTATTCATGTGCTCTGAGTGTATAGCAGCCTTTCCAGGAAGTCAGTGTGTGTTCGTCTGTTAGTGTGTGTGTGTGTGTGTGTGTGTGTGTGTAAATGTGGTCAGTGAGGTTTAAAAGCTGTAATGTATGAATAATTCAAGCCAGGCATCCTGACTTTTAACAACCGGATGCTGCTGTGGACAGATAAGAAGGATGAGAGACTAAAGGACGAAAAGAAGGACAGGAGGTGAAGACTGAAACTCACAGCATCAGATTTTGGAGGTACAGGTGGCGGGGTAGACACTCTTGTCAACACGGTACCAAGAGAACCGTCCAATGAGGAAGACGAATGGAAGGAGATGAGGTTTGGCTCCTTCCCCAAGCCCTCTGCATTCTGATTGGTCCAGAGTTCCTCATAAGGGATTTCCTCACTGGTCCTCATTTCCGCCTCAGTCCACTCAGGAGTCACATACTCCCTCTCCTCACCTGGTCCCTCCCCCAGCCGCTCTCCAAGAGAGTCCCTGCAGCGCTGTGACAGGCTGTCCGAAACCCCGCCCCCATACCCGCACATAGAGAGGCGCTGCAGTGCCGGCGCCAAGGAGTCCTGACCTGACACACACATGCGAGAGCGTCGCGGGCTCACACACTCCTCCGTCATACACTCCAGCTCTGGCCGGGTTTCTCTAACAGCACGAGAGTAGGCATCTGGGTCGAATGCATGTCGCAACAGGAGGCTCTCTAGCGCTGCCGTGTGGACGGAGGCCTCGGCCACGTTGAACCGGGGCATGCAACGCAGCAGCAGGAAGTGGGAGGGGGAGACTTCCTGTCGGCGGAGGACCATGCAGAGGACCACCGTCTTGCTGACAATGTTGAGCAGCTTATAGCGGTGGCCCTCTCGGACTGCGTGGCGATCATAGGGGTTTCTTGGCGGTCGCGAAGGCACGGACACATTGACAGGGAGGCGAACCCTCTCGATGATGCTGCGTACCGTGTGCTCCCCTCCCAGCATGCCTTGCTCCAGAGGGGAGCGTGTGCAAAAGCGTCCACGGCAGCCAAAGGGCAGGCTGACGCTCTGATTGGTCCGATGGTTCATACAGACCAGGCAGGGAGTTTTACCTGAGGAGGCCGAGACAGAAAGGTGGATTAGCTAGAGGTCAGAGAGTACAAGAACAGTAAAGAGTAAATGTTCGGTCACATTAGTCTTCTGTTCAAAGGGAATGCTCCACATTCAGCCCTGATAAAGGAAGCGTTGAGCAGAGTTTGTGGTTTGGTGGTGTGAGGTACTAAGCATGGTGATGAAAATCCCTTTAACACACAGTATATATACAGTATATATCCATTTTCAAGGAGGAACTAACTTCTCTTCCCATACCGATTTCCCCCATTCCCATGTCCTCGTTCTAATAATAGGACTTGTACAGACTCCCAATAACATTGAACTCAACCGTTTGGCCATGCTTACTTCTAGGAGTCTTGCCCAGGCGTCTCAGGAGTGCACTCAGACCCGTTTTTTCCTTAGAGGGCGTGGCACAGAGCAGCTCCGCCTTCCCCATGAGTGACAGCTCATCTCCAGCCTGCAGAGTGAAGCTGTAGGGCTCACTGTCCTCACTGAACTCCCCTGAAACCACCTGCAGGATACACATGTATGGACATGATGTTGCATGACAGAAACTTCAAGTATGATATTCTCATGTTTCTCAAAAACTATGATATAACCCGGGAAAGGCAGACGAAATGCAAACCTTGACGCTAAAAGTGATCGTCTCCATGACAAAGACCCGGTCGGGGAAGACTCCGGCAACTTCCTCCACGCTGGAAAAATACTGGACCGGATCCCTGACGTCTCGGTCTTCATCCAACAACTTGAACTTCCCTACAGAGGAGATGGAAGCAGGACAGGAGACAGAGAAGAAGGGTGAAGGAGGTTTACAAAGGGAGTCACAAAGATGGAAGGAGGAAGAGGGAGTATGTTGGAAAAGGAAGTGAAGGAAAGCATGAAAGAAAAATAAGATAGACAGAAACCAGTGAGGAAAGACGAAGATCCAGAAAAAGAGGAGGAAGGAGGACAAGGAAAGAGGACGGAAGAGAAGAGTAGAGGAAGACAACAAGGGAGGAAAGCAGGGAAGAAAAGAGGTGAAAAGTTGTTTACTGTTCTATCTTTCTTTTCTCTTTTGACTCCCTACAGTCTTACTGCAAACACACACAAACACACACACACACGCACATCCGCAGTAGACACTGTTTGGACGAAAAGAATACAAAGACACCTCCGTGACCTATGACCTGGCACCAGCACCCAGCCAATCAACAGCCGACGGGGTTGGCATGGCAACCAATAAAGGACCCCCATTCTCACGCAGAGCAGAGACACATCACCATGGAGACACTGACACATACACTCACACAGACACACAACTCTCTCTCTCTCTTCACTCCTTCATTTCCTTGCTCATCCCCTCCTCCGTCTGTAAGGCTTTCACACTCGTGCGCTCCAGTGTCGCAGTCCAGTAGCTGTGTTTGTGTTTTTGTGTTCTTTAAAGTGTAAATGTTTTTTGGTTTGTGCCACTTTTTGATGTCGTAAAAGAAGCACTCCAGGAACGCACAATGGGCCTTGTTGAAATCACTTTAACCTCTATCCTTATTTACAAGTTTACCGGATTGCATTTAAAGTACTACAACCCTCGAAGGATCCTTTCTCTGCCGCGCAGAGTCCAAGTGTTTGTGTGTGTGGGGGAGAGAGAGATGAGAAAGTTTTTTTTGTCTGGGAGGCAGAGCAGAATACCAAACTCCCCCATCTTCCTCACCAGCACCTCCCTCCTTTTTCTCTCCCCCTTTTTTGCTCCTCCAACCCCCAACCCTCTAATTCAAACAGAGCCCCCAGGATAAGGAGCTTCCATCCGCCAAACAATACCAGCAAGTGCTACTTTTCAACACAACCCACCAACCCCCCGTTTCAAAAAGAAGTCACAGACTGAGGACGAGTTTCAGATGAAACAGGTTTACCAATACACCTAACCAAACTCGATCCTTATAAGAGTCTTATTAAGCTAGAAGTGAAACCAACTGAATTGACATGTAACAGCGTATTATTAGGTAACTGTTACTCTGTGAGAAAATGTCCCAAAGAATAAAAACGGAATCAGTCTGAGGCTTTTAAATCCCCACACACAAGCCTTTGGCAGCTAGTTCCACATTACACGGGTGGCTGTGGCGCCACTTGCTTCCCTGAAACCCATTCATTCAGCCTTTCTGTCCTCTCCCCTTCAGTCATCCTTGCCTCTCGCTGATGGACAGAGGAGGATACAGACAGAGAGCGAGGATAAAAAGGAAGGAGCATCCTGTTGTCCATCCCCAGGGGGAAACCTATATTGCTCTCCTCCTAAGCTTATTTAGACTTCCTGCATGAAGTCATCGCACAGACATTAGCTCATCACTGGCCTCTCATTCAAGAACAGCTCACCTGTTATATTTAAAGAGTCATGAGTCTAGGTAGTATGCATATATTTTAATTGGCTTTGCTGGCTGGCTTGTCTACCAGAGTGCATCGTTAAAATGGTTTCACAACCGAGAAAGATGCCGGGTTGATGTAATGCTGCAGGGCAAGTAATCCCAATCTGAAAGCACCCTGTGGTACTCCTACAAGGCTGTTACAGTAAAGCTCCTTTTCCACCAGTGTAACCATTTGTCCACAGTTACTTCCACCAACAAAAAACATTACTCTTACTAATTAGCTAAACATAAAAATGCTTTTTTCAAATAATCACAAACCTGTTGCTTTGTATCTTTAATGCTGGGCAGACTGTGTATTATATGTTGTGTTCACTCACACTACACATTTTAAACTGCCTTTCTGCGTAGGCCAGAACGTGTGACTTTTATGCTCAGACTGTGCAGATCAGTTGCGCACCAAACCACCAATCAGATTTATCCGTTGTCAATTCCAATAAAGTTCATTCAAACAAGATAACCGCGCCCTAAACAATGTCCACTGGAAGAGAGAAATGCAGCTTTACTTCTTTTTCGTACTTTAATATGAAAGAAAAGTACAGTAACAGATCTTTGGACAGCAGCCACTTTGGAAACTTAACGCTTGAACTGCTCAAACTGCAAGACAGCCAACCAACCACCAAGCCAGAAATGCATCTGATTGGCCCGTTAGCCAGATTGTTGATCATTAAGAGAAATCAGAAAATCCCTGAAACTAAATGTAAAACGAGAACCGATCTATTTCACATGAAGTACAGTTTACTCATCACAGGGAGTACTGCTCAGCCTGTATTTGTCTTTTGTGGCTCTGGAGAGAGCTTTCTGAAATTGGAATAAAGAACTCTGATGCTAACGAATGAGACTGTGGAGTTGCATTACGGGAAATGCAGGATCCAGAGTTTGCTGAAGCTCTAGTTATACAAGAGACTATAAATCATAGCCTATCACAACCTCTGCTGCTTCTTTTTCAACGTGTCTCTTGTAATGTGCCTCTCTTTATGCAAGTTTAACACTAAATCACTGGAATACCCCTTTGAGAAAACCCCAGTTACACTAAGACTTTAATTTAAAGTCCACTGAAGTGAAACCAAGACACCTCCTGTTGACTAAATACATCTGTGTTACATTTATATTTGTTATTTATTATTTGTTAGAACTACTTGCAGTTTAAGCTGCTAATACTTCCAGTATCGGCGGTCATACGCTTCCAATGTGAAATGCTGAAATCTGTAAAATGACAATGATCTCAACATACCCCCTCCCACTCAAATGTTCTTTCATTCTTCCGAAAAGGAGCCTGAGAGGCGGCAGTAGTGTGAGGTGACATCAGCACTCCATCAGTGAAGGAGACAATGAAGAGGAGGCATTAGGATCCAGTTACACAGCGAATAATGCGACTGGTCAGAGAGTCTGAACAATGGGATTGTGGGGATTGAGCTCCGGTGAGGTCATAATGACTAGATTCATTCAGCAGGAAGACGACAGGTCAATGAACAGGAGGAGCAGGGAAGGTCACATCTACAGTAGCTGGTTGGTTGTGTGAATGGTGGTTGTAATGTGTATCTGTCTGCACGTTAGGGATGGAAATTGGGGTATAATTTAACATGTACCATTATTCAATATCGCTAACCATTGACACTACATGCCAGAAAATCATCATTTACTTCAAGTTTTACAGTATGATTTTTATGGTTTCACCCACAGTTCTCACAAATGTTAAATCTCATGTACTGAAGTTGTTTTATTAACCCTTCAAAGTACAGTTTTCCCCTTTCGTTGAACTTAAGTAGCCTTCAAATTGTTAAAATCACCTGAACTGTCCAACAGTATTATATACATACAGTATATTCTATATCAGCATGTCCCAAGTCTACTTAGAAGCTACTGTATATAATGCTTACACTGTGTAAAAGCTTCAAACCCAAGACTCAATTTTGTTGATGTCTGTACTATTCCATTAAATGGAAATATTCAAGATTAAATGCCCAGAATTCAGACATTTTGCATATCTTTGGAAACTTTAGAATCTCCCCAAGTGTTTAAGCTTTCTGTAGGTTGGAACAAAGTTTGGCTGCACAGCATGAGTTTGTCTGACTGGCTGAAAACAAGATTAATGGCAGGGGTATTCCTAATAACTGACATGAATGCCTTCAATCAATCACTAGAGAGTTACATGAACATGGAAAGAACATGAAAATGCTACAAAGAAAGGTTTCAACCCTGGTGGTCTTTGAACCCACAACCCTGCAACATGTAATGCACGTGTACCATTTCACCTTGAAATTACAGTTTAAATCTCAGACCATGATGGGGACGATTATGTGAAACTCATTCACCTTCTCCATAAAGAAATACATCTTGATTTTGGGAGTTTATATTTTGGCTCTGTGGTATGTCAGACTTGAAAGGTCTCTAGGCTTTTGAAAGTGATCTGCCAAGTTCATGATGAATCACCAGATACAAATAAATAGGAGACTGTTGGAGACTTCTATTGTAAATATGTGTTCCTGTTTTGTCTGAGCAGGACTAGGACAAATTCTTATCAACTTGGTTCATATGGGAATAAAGTACTGAATTTTAACTTATTGTATTTCAGCTTTAGAGTTATCTTTAGAGCATGGTGACCAAATGTATTAAATGTCATTGTCAAAATATTAATAACATTACTAGCCATCAATTTAATCCTACTGTGTCTGTATATGTTTATTGGCCTACCACCAAAGAGACATTTTTTCTCAACAAAAAAAGAGCAAGTGGAAACTGTTGACCTTGTGATAAAAATGTGCATTTATCCCCCACGAACTCCCAGAGGAAATAAACATTTTGGGGAATAATTGATATTTTTAGGGTGAAGACAAAATTTTGAAGACTGTCTATTAAGGAATTTTGGTGTATGCTAATGTAGTGTGTGTGTGTGTGTGTGTGTGTGTGTGTGTGTGTGTGTGTGTGTGTGTGTGTGTGTGTGTGTGCGCGTGTGCTCACCCTGGTATTGCAGAGGGATGTCTATCTTGGGTCCAATGACGTAATGTCCCTCCTCTAAGCTGTGGGCAGTCACTGTGGTCCACTGACGACAGGAGTGTAACAGCACCACATCCTCCTCTGACAGACCCTCCACACATTCACCTGGAACACACACACACACACACACACACACACACACACACACACACACAAACAAACAATTAACAGACAAATCAAAACACATAAAATGGATTAGGAACAAACAAATACTCTACCAGCTTGAGGGCTGCTGAAACAACAGGTTTTTTAATTTCTAAGGTCACACTAAGTAGCTCAGCAATGGAAAACACTAAAACACCTCCAACCCCCACCAACAAACACACACATGCATTTGTGATTCAGTGTACATAATTACCACCATCAGTGACGGTTCACCACCCCTAACCTACACATCAGGACCCCGCTATGCAACTGGCAACCCACTATTACACAGCCCCCACACACACACACACAGCTCTCCAGCTTTAACTAGAGCCATCATGTAGCACAACGGCATTGATTTCTGCTGATAGCACGGCGGTACAATTCAATCACATCGCATACACAACACACACACACACACACACACACACACACACACAGCTCTCTCTCAGACTCACACACCGATCACATGGATGCACATATTTTTGTTCTTGCTGCTGATGGATAGCTGCTACTACCAAACCTTTTAATCCAACACTCATGTTGATGGATGTCTGAATACAAACGCGGGACGGATAATGAGAGATTGTAAGTAGAAAAGTAAAGGGCCCTCTGAAAAGATAATTATCAGCAGAGGACATGGCTTCCTTTTGGGCCTTTGACTGATTGTCACCTTAGGCTTGTTACTAAACTCTATTATCCGTCTGTCTCATCTCAATCTGGCCAGTGAACATCTCAAAGGTTTCGCTGCATGTTAAAAGGTCCGTTCAACCAAACAACAAAGACACATTTCCCTCTTATCCTTCGTCGTTTTGTCGTGCTCAAAGCAAAAAATTGTACACAACATCAATGCCATTCTCAATAAACAACGTGGTTACTCTGGATAATTCAGATGTTGCCGTTTACAGTTTTCATTGGGAACTATTTCCTAGGAGTTAGGGCAAAACACCACCATCAAAAAGGTGCCGGAGTCAATGAAAGAGTGAATGAAAGGAAGTCAACTGCAAACTTGTCTCCATTGCACACACCCAATTTATTATCAAAGCTCTGATAAATGTCTGTTTAATCAAACGCTCAGACAATAAACTGGGTGTTTGCAATGGAGACAAGTGTGTGGAAGGTTTGGTTTATTTTCTTTGAAATTATTTCACACCAAAAGGAAAAGGCACTGAAAACAGTCCACAGTGAAGTGGGGATTATCCTGAGTGACTGTGAACATGTTGACCTGTACAAGTAGCACAATAAAAATAAGACATTAGTCCCACCTTCAACAGTACATCACTCTTACCAGCAAAATCAAGTAAGTATCAAGAGTGAAAGTACTCCTTTCAATGTGCTAAAAGTATATATTATTATTATGTAAACAATAATGCAGAGATCTTATATACCTTACATACTGTTGGGTAATTTAATCTATAACAACGTATTGGATCTTTTAAACTGATCATGTGTTTGTAAAGTCTTAATGAAAAATAAATAACTGTAGCTGTCAAAATGCTATAATAATTCTCTCTGAAATATAGTCTGAGTTTAAGTATAAAATAACATAAAATGAGAAAGCTTGAGTATAAGTACCAGGAGTATGTTTACAGGATGAGTAAATGTACTAGTTACTTTCCAACCACAGCCAGATCCACTTGGGTTACATGAGAAAATGATGTTTTTCTGTGATTTAACCAACACTGACATGTGTAATCATAGCTTTACTTTATCAGCCTGGAGCATTCATGTTGTATCAGCAAAGCCCCCCCCCCCATCATCACACTGAATTACACCCCCACACTCACATACCACTGAACCACAGTCTCCTCACTAAGATAACACTTTTGTAGTTTATTGTTAAAATGAAATAGAGGTGGGGGGGTACAGCTTGCATGAAATGCTGACATCATCTCCTGTTATAAATAACTAACCACCATCTGGGTTGGCTGGCTGTTCAAACAAGCAGGCATCTGTGGGGTAACTACAGTGCGGTTAATAAACACCTACGGGGGCTGTCTCTCGATACAATGCACACGCGCGCTCCGAGAAGTAAGGTGCGTAATTTTCGGGGACCATGACACGGCTCGGGTGCGCGCTTTTGTCCACGATTGGAAAGTTGGAGGTTTTCCTGCTCGTCGCTGCTCGTTAGTATTCACCACATTCACCGACAGATTACAGCATTTACATATGAAAAGAATTGAGCAGCACTTCAGCAGCACAACAGACACTTTGTGGCTTTCCGGGCCTCGCTGGACTGGAACAACTTTGGCTACGACACCCATCGACCGTTCCCAAAGTAGAGACACCAAATCTGGTGAATCAGATAATTATGTTGGCGGAAAAACATAAACATAAAGCAGGTAAATAGAAAAGCGAACACAAATGTTACATAATGACTCCCTTATGCACGTCGGGAAGTTGGTGTGAACTAGAAAAAGTCGGTGTCCGAGAATTAAAGGCTGCAGCTGCATCAAGGTAACCAGATTTAACCAAAATCATAACGGAAATCAGGCGATGTTGGCTTCAAAATAAGAGCACCAAACGTGCCCCGGTCAGTAAAACTTGTCAATGTATCGCATATTTGTCCGTAAAAAGTATTGTGGCTTCTTTAATGTTTTGTTAGATTAAATCAATAATGGATAGTGTTGCATATGTTAAACAAAAACACAAATGATCTAAATCTAATTTATTGTAGACTAATCTACACGGAGTCCTTTTTGTATTAAGAAAGCACGGCTCATATTTAAGAAACATAATTTGACTAATGTATGCCCTGTAAAGCTATTTGAAATTAAAACCAATAAGAGCGACATTCGTTTGAGCCTGTCAGCCAAAGAGGAATTGTGGGTGGTGGACTTTATCAGCCGTTAACACGATGATGATGTTAAAGGTTTAGTCAAAGTTGAACAACCTCTAGTTAGTGAAACACCACCAACAAACACAAGTTTAGAAAATTAAGTAGCACTTATTTTATCCAATCTTAATTTAAAAGACTCAAATCAAAATATGCCTAAAATTATAGGGTAATTTCACCGTCGCCTGTGACTATACAAGGTTACCCTGTAAGATACTGATAACTAGTTACATTTTATTTATCTGATTATTTAACATTTTCATTTCATCTCCAAAAAGTTCACCTGTGTGGCATTTTATTAAGCACTTTATTTTGAAAGTCTTGACCGGAAGCGGTTATTGTTCCTGCCCATCTTGACACCATTAAAACGCAGCACAGATTCTCCGGTAAACTGCAACACTTGTTCTCACCTACACTCACAAAACCCCTCGTTAGAAACACACTCCCCTCGATTAAAGTTTACGGTTTCACCCCCCCCAACTCTCATTTCCTGACACAAACCATGTTTACCGTTGTTTCACATCACTACTGTGTCACGGTTATCCTAACTCCGGTGACACGAAAACGACGGAGAACCGTTGACAGTTAGCTAACAGTTGGTCGGGAGGAACACAAAAGTTTTTAACGGTCGTGCTGGAGGTCGAGGCGCCCGGTACACCGGGGGTCGTCTCTTACCGTGGGCCAGGCGGACCAGGGTGGGCAGACGGAACTTGCTGACCACCGCGTCCAACGGCAGCGCCAACGGGCTCCAAGTGATCTCCGACAGGCTCGCCGACAACTTCTCCATCCTCCCGGGTCATCACGGTACCGGAGATAATAACGGTGATGATGATGATGATGATGATGATGGCGGCGGCGGTGGTGGTGGAGATGATGGTGGTGGTGTTAGTGGTGATGATAACGGTGAAGCGGAGGAGGATGAGGGTGATGGTGGTGGTATAATGTCAAAGAGTTTCGCCATGTTTGAATGTAGGGGGAAAGAGGGAGCGCAGTCACAGTCGGTGCGCACGAGCGGTGGGAGGGAGCGCGAGCCCTCTCTCTTTCTCCTCTGTCTTTCAGTATTAGTCCACACACACACACACACACACACACACACACACACACACACACACACACAGGGGGGACAAACTTTAATTTCTTTTATAGTTTTCTATCTTTATAATGGAGGTTGATATGTTGTGCACAGATGTCAAGAAGTCTCCTGAGTTTACTGTTTGACAGCCGCCCTTGTGGCTTCATGCCCCCCCTCAAACAATGATTGCACCACTTTGTCCACAGAGGTTAATCTTTGGTGTGTAGCCACCCACACACCTGACTGGGTGGGTAGATGCAGGGACCTTCTGGGCAGGATTTTCTCAATCCCTTTCTGGCTTGCTGTTGGGGCCCATTTCAAGACCCCCAAAATACCTCAAATTCACTAAATTTAAATGACAATTAATGTGTACTGCAATACATTTATTTCACAGCTATAGTTACCCTTCACTTTGCAGATAAAATTTTTACACAAGACAATTTACAGGACAGGAAAGAAGACAAACTGTTCTGTTAATCTTTGCTTGTTGCTGATTAAAAACCAGATCCTTTCACCTCCTCTGGCCTCTTAATTATTAAATTATTCAAATGCGCCAATCTGAGAATTAAAAAAAATAGTATTTGGTGGAGCTACTCATAACTCATTGACAGATGAAACGCAATGAGGGTTGTAAGCAGACATTGCTACATTTTCAGGGGACATAAGCTAGAAAGGTTAGGAACCACTGGCAGCAGTACTTTACAGTATGCAGTTCTTAAAATAGCCAACTCCATAAAAATTCTACTTACAGCTTAATGTATTAACAAAAATATACTTTATCAGACCATCAGTACTCACATGCAATACTTAAGGGGGGACATTTTCTGCATAATGAGTAGTTTTACTTGTGATAATTTAAGCACATTTTGCTGAGCCAGCACATTTTCTACGCTATACTATATTTTGCACATTTAGGCATCCATGGCATGACAACTGTGGTACTAGGAACAACCATGAATGCTCCCCCAGACCAGACATTTATTTAATGATGGGGCATTATGGAACACATTTATGAACGCGTAAACGCAGACAAGTACCTCATCTCTCCCGTCAAAGGCAATCAATTCTTCTCAGTCCCAAGAGAGCAACTCTACAAAGGGCTACTGCATGACGTCATCACTAAGCAGAGTTGTATGATGTCTAGTTTTGGAAGTAGGGAGGAGGGAAGGAGTAGACATATTTATTTTATATGAGAGGTAATACCATCTTTCTTGTACTTGTATCTTGTACAGTTGTATATTGATTACTGACACTATTCGTATCAGTCAAATCATTAGCATGCGCAGGCTATGTTTACACTGCAGGCACAAGTAGCCCATATCAGATTTTTTTAGCTCATATGTGACTCAGCTCTGTTTTTCATGACATGACATTTTTCACATGAAATCTGATCTTCATATGGGGTCCAAATTAGATTCAGATCTGATGTCGTTGCAATGCCACCTCAGTGTGAACAGTCATTGTAACAGAATTTGTATGATTTTCATTTCACTCAAGAATTACATTTTGTCATGGATGTCACTTCAGGGCCATGACGTGTTCACACTGGAATCTGATACAGCAAAACAGCACAAAACAGAACAAAAATCGGATCTGAGTAAATCCGAATTGAGGCTTGCCATGTGAACATAGCCATAGTTAGTAGTGATGTTGCAGTAGTGGAAACGGTTTATCCCCCTCTCCATCCAGCACTAAACTTCTGGCCCCAGGCAGGACTCTGGTCAACTCACTCTCAGTTCACTGATCCAAACTGTAAACAGATTCTGATTCATTTGCCATCGATTTTTGCCAACAAACCAGTTGTGATGCGACAGTCCTTTGTGCCATAACCCGGAGTGGGCAGTTCAAAACAATTATATAACTGATGTTAGATTCATCGCTATCATTGTAAATCAGAGAACCACTCACAATATCTGCAAAAGTAAAAGGGTTGGCTGTTCAGATGCAGGTTATCATTATCACATGGGTTTGTCTCATCACAAATATTTTGGTTAAATTTGTGATGTCTGGCTTCCCAGAATGGCTGACCACACCCACACGCACTCAACACCAAATATGGCAGTGCTGTGGTTTATTCTGTCTGTTCAATTAGTTAAAATGTAAACCCAAACTATGATTCATTGGCTATTAATAGCTCACTCATTTTCCACAACTGGATATGGCAAACACTGAAAAAAGAGGATAAAAACATTCTAAGGATCACATAATCTGGGCTGAACACACCAAAGAGCTTTAATAACTGATTATAGACTGCATTTATAGTTTTTGGATATCGGAGATCTACCTTAAACTCTTCATATACCATTGACCAAGACACAAAATAGGGATGCAGTAGTTCCTTGATCATTCTTAGTGTTGTTTTAAATCAACACAGCCAATTATCACTGCTAAATAGTTCCAAATATAATATAATAATATTAAGGGTGTCAAAAGTAATGCAAGTCTTAATTCTACACGAGTAAGCATCCATCCAAAAATGTATTGCTCATGTGGAAATACACAAAACATTCTTTAAGTAACATACATTTTTTTTGTGGAGACATCTTTATTTGCTCACACAGTAGGGCCTAATGTTAATTCTCATACCTTTCTTTTGATTACAACATTTATTAGCTTTTCACCACTGCATAACAAAACCTCATGTGGCGGTACTTTATAGCCACAGCCATACAAAAGTAACAAAAGCCAACAATGAAATGATAAAAGTTAAGGATAGCGACTTTATTCGTTCCATATTAACAAAAAATCTTAAATGAAGCTGGACTTCTCGAGTAACGACTGGGGAATTATTTCACATCAGGTGGTGGGGGGGTCAACATGGTGGAATACTCAATGGGAAGGCTCTGCAAAAAAGGGAAGACCACAAAAGACACATTTAATGACAAATTAATTAAATTAACATGGGCAGACAGTTGCAAATCACTAAAATATCAGTCAGCAGTGAGTGGATAACCATCTGTCAGTGACACCTAGAGGAAAACATATGTAGTTACACAACATTTGACACATGACTTTTTTCCCAGCAGCCTAGCTCACATTCAATGCTGCAACCTTTTTTTAAATTTTTAAATTTTTTATTAAATACTGCCATAAACAGTCCTCTTTATTGAATTGCAACCTTCACCTAAAAGGCCAATACACCAAGAGATCAGGGGTCATTAGGAATGAAAACCAATTATATAAACACTAAACAGTCATCACTGCCCAAACCTCAATTATATGGTAAGAATAAAGAAAATGTTAAGATTACTTACTGTCCTTCACAGCCTTCTTGCCTGGAATATGAAGAAACACACATTATATTAGTTACATTAACCCGTACCACTCAGTGTACCGCTGTGCATTTAAAATACCTCTTAATAAGTACAGCTGCTTACATTCACATTTACTCAGCACTGTGACATTTATTTCACACCTGTTCAAAACTTCTGCATTCTTATATGACAATATAAGTCTTGAACTCACCCCCGTAGGAAATCTTGTAGTACAGGTATGTCATGATGCCAAGACCAACCCACATCTCCGGGTATGCCTTAGTGTAGTAAGGGCCCACCTTGGCCCACCAGTTTGCAAATGCACGTCCAGCCATCTGTGGGAGAAAGCAACAGCATAGTCTCACAACAGTGCTCATGTACGTCAGTAGTATGTCAGTAGTATGTCAGTAGAGGCATGACTGGACCATCAGAGGTCCAATCCCATTGTCTACACGGAGGAAGAGCACACCAAACTTCATTCATAATTTGACCGGTTTACTGATGTGTTGCTCTTACCTAACACATAAGTTTGGATCATTGTCAGTCATAATTTTAATATAATCTATTTAAAACACTAACGTTGACTGGAGCTACATTTTAGAAACAGGTTCCTAATTTGGTTGCTGTACTCAAAAGGCTACTGTGACCCTCAGCTGGGTGAGCCCTGGGGAATGACTTTGGCAAACTAAACTGTGACTTCTGCTCCAAAGGAAGAAGTAATACTGCACCCTTTAACTTTTCTAATGTGCACTGTTAGTGTGGGAGACGTCGCACTCTCATTTCTATGTCCAATAGTTTATCTTTACTGAAGATAACGCAGTGGGCTAACGCTAACATCACAACCTCCAGTCTATAACGCTAACGTCAGCGTTAGCATTAAATGTAATACAAGTCGGTTAAAAGACGGAAAAGAACATTTACAAGCAGACATATTACTGATATCTATATTTAACTAATTTAAATATACTAGTTAACTACTTCAGTCGATGAATGGCTCCTGGCTATTAGCATTATTCTCTGCTGTGGAACCAGAAATAACGCTAACTAGCCTTAGCAAGAAGCTAGCTGGCTAGCCGAGTACGCCTGCGAAAGTAGCGCACACAACCATAGTAAACAAAGATGTTCGTTTGGTTTTAAGCTGCTGTCGTGAACCAACACACTGTTCCTCTGTTATTATTATTATTAAAGACACTTTGCTAAGTGAGTGTGAACTCTGCTCTTACCTCTCAGGTCGTCACGCTGCAGAAGGAAGGTCAGGACAGCCGCTGCTGCACGTCAAAGTCGTGGGGTGATCTTCTTCTACGCTCTACTGTTGAAGTATTTCATTCACGTTTTGGTGTCTAGCGCCACCAAATGGAGGTACGTGTTTAACTTATTTTACACCTGTGTAGCTGTGTCTTGGCTCCACCTGGAGGATTTAACCATGAATGCTAAATTCAGTAAAGAACCATAATTTTCATATTAACAGGTTCCTAGTGAATTAATAAAGCTATATTCAGTATAGTACAGTCAGTGGATAGATTACTTAAACTTGAGCAACACTAACAGTACATATTAGAAAAGTTAAAGGGTGCAGTATTACTTCTTCCTTTTGAGCTGAAGTCATAGTTTAGTTAAGTTTAATTTATATTCGGCAATGGAAAAATTATTTCAACCATAATTCTGTCTAAAGAAATAACGATGAGCAGAAGAATCAAAGGTATGAAGCTCATTTTAGTAATTCTCAAGATACCTTGTGTTGATGACTACTGGGCAAAGCCAATAGTATGTTTTTTAAAACAATTCTGATATCATCCTTATAAATACATTCAGTGTCAGATTGGATGGATTGGTCAGCCATCTGAAAACTCAAGTTTTGGACAATACGTGTGAGCTCAGAGGCCAACAACAGGTCAATAAGAGTTTCCGGGTTTTGTCTTGTTGACATTTAGTGTGGCACATTGGCTCCATGTCTTAAACTGACCACTGAAAATAGTTATAATTTCTCCGGCAGCATGCTCAAGCCTTTATAAATCAACAAACTTTGAGATACAAAATTGACATCTTAGGAGGACTAAGAGTTTGACATACAGTCACATGCAATTAAACCTGACACCAGTTTCCTTCAACTGGGGCTGTGTTCTCAGTGTTTATACAATAACCTTTTTATAGTGCCTCACTTTCAATTTCAATCATGCACATGTTATTATGGTGTTTTTCTGCTTGTTTGTTTTTTACTTGATGTTATGTTACACAGTTTTAGACTTTCCAAAGGCACACTTCAGCTATCCTATATCCTGTTCTGCTTTTTGGTGCCTGTGCCACTGCTACCATAACAGAGGGGAATTTGAGGTGAGGGTGCAGCTGCTACATGGCAGACAGGCTGTCCACCTCTGCCTGTTCACCATAGTGAAACAACAAATAAAACACTGGCAATGCTTTCAAGGGTAAAGATGCCATTGTGTAACTTGCTCTACGGTTTGTGCACCCTCTTTCTCTTCAGGTAAAGTAAATGAATAAAGATTATTAATAGAGTATTTTGGCTCCTGATTTCATTTTAATTCAATCATGAGTCTATACTTTTCAATTGAAAAGCCTCAAAAAGTTGCTGTAACTCAATATGAAAAGCAAAATAACATTTTTAATAAATACAGTATATAAATAAATAAATACTGTATATTGCGAAATCATGAGTTGGAATGACCCCTAAAAGGAACCTGAAACAGTTTCATATTAATGCAAGTTTTTCCCCGTGACCTTGTTTCTCAGCTGTTACATTATTGCACTAGCTCACAGGCAAATGGGAGAAAAGGAAGACAGAAAAAAGATATTTGTAGTGAAACTTATTGTGTTTTTGTTTCCTGAAACACTGATAACGATCTGCTTTTGTAAAGTAAGCTGAGAACCAAACTCATTGACTCAGGGATTTATGAGGGTATGATTACTTTTTAGCTAGAGGATATTAAGTTTGTATGAGAGTCTGCAGGAGTGATTTGGGCCTGCAGTCAGCGTGGGTGGGACTTTCCACACTTTTTTTGTCATCACGCTCCAATAGGCAAGAGGCACCTTGTTTCATTTATGAGCACCTAAAGGCCAAGTCCTATTTGAAGGGACTCAACACAGTGAATCTACGCAGAGTTGTGCCAATATGAAAGGGCACAGCTGAGGACATTTATTGTACACAGTACACACTCTGCTGGGTTCTTCATTGTAATGCAATATGCTGTACTAGCTGTCTTCAGTGCAGCCCTGCTACAGGTAGGCTGAAGATCTTGGAGCAGATGTGATCTATTTTTGTATATCTACATACATACATATCTATGGCAGTGTGGTGTCGGCTCTTTCCAAACAGCACGGCTATTCCTGCTCTTTGAGCTCTTTGTTTAAGTGTTTGCATGTGTCTACTTGCATCTGTATGTGTGTGTGTCTGTGGTAAGGTAAGGGTGTGGATGGGAGTGTTCTTTCTGTAACGTGACTAATCAAGCAGCGGAGGGAGCTAACTAACAAAAGTTTGACACCCCTGTATTTACCCTCAGCACTGTTAGCTTTACTAGATTTACTAGTGTGGATGATTTACTTATCAATGTCTCCTGGACCTTCCTGAGGTTGATCTCGTGCTGTGGTTGGAGACTATATGGCTTCAGGTGGAGCCGAGGAAGAAGATGGAGGAATTCCATTGGACATTGACAACGTGCACATGCTTCTCCAAGGTCAGTCTATTCCTGTACTTTTGTGGATGCTGTGTCATGTGATGTGATGTGGTGGGGAATCACACTGGTGGCCCAACTATGAACTGTGTTGAGGAGATGCTTTTTAATCACTCTGTTATGACGTCTAATATGTACACAACCTAATGAAATGCCTGAAAAGTGAAAATGAAAGTGGTGGAAAAGATAACTGGATTTTGAATGACATGTTAACAGTCAGGTTAAGCTAGTTCACTACTTCTCTGACATTTAAAGTAATCTAGTTAACTGCTGCACCCTCAGTTACACATGGAAGAGGGAATTTGTGACATCTCAGTTTACAAAAAACAGTCTGATATATTATTATTTAGGGGATTTTTGCAGCTTCTGTCCTTACTTTCATTTTTCAATTTTAGAAGTATTAGAACTTACATAATATCTATCTTCCTATATTGCTCCATTTCTATTCTCCTCTTTAATTTAATTCGGTACATCATTTGTGTCATTAGCAGTATAATAGAATACATGTTTTTCATTAAAAGACAGTTAATGATTTTGTTGTTCAGCCCGTTATGCTGACACAGGAAAACCTGGGATGTTTGTTTGAGCCACACCAGTTTACATGTGACACCATCATTTATTAAATGAAACATTTAATTGCTCAAACCGGTCTGAGTAATCAAATTGCCTCCAAAGTCACCCCATTCATTGATCGGACAAATGATTTAGTTAGTGAGCATACAGGTAAATCTTGTCTTTACTAAACATGCAGCTGTTGAATTAAGTGTTGCATCTCTGTAAACAGTTTAAGTATTAAAAGGGAATAAATGTTGTATGTGAGCTGAAAATCTCGATTTTGATGGATGTGCATTATGTTGTCATAATGTAATGCTGTAAGAAGCTGTGCTTTTAAATACAGCTGTGGTTTCATCAATGTTCGGTACCAATAATGTACTGTGCATCAGGTAATATCAGAAATAAACAGTTTTGACAATGCATCAAAATAAAGAATGGCAAGTTCCTGAGTATAAGAGTAAAAGTAATTCACATGGTAAAATATCAAAATTATCTACATGTACACATACTCTCAGAGAATTAAATCATGTTTTTATTATATTTGTTGTAAACGTGTAAACATCAATGATTGTAATTTGACCTGAGAAAACATATTTTACTGGCGCTGTCTTACAATGGCCTGAAGCAGGAAGTTATTATCAACATGGTTGAAGCCTCTTACTGCTGTTTGAATTGGGCAAGTCAGGTGATCTGGGTGGAGTCGAGTGATTAAAATGCTTAAGAGTTTCCTGCCTTGGCAGGCTCTTAAACAAACAACTCTCTCACTGATATACAAGAGTGAGTTCATCTGTAAGTAACTGTGTTTTTCTGCCTGCCGCAGACAAAACATCAAGCTCCTCAGTTTACTATAGACTGAATCATAAATCATGAAATAGTCTCAACAGCTTGTTTGTACTCATAGTCATGTTTGTTCTGCAGGAAAAGAGACTGATGTGTGATTTTACAATTTATGCTTAATGGCAGCAGAAATAAATAAATAAATAAATTCAACATTGGACATTGTTACTAACTGACTCATGGCTGGCAACAAAAAGGGAGGCCACACACAGATATATCAGTCAAAAAAGATCAGTATATCAGTCATGTTAGAGGTGTGTGGGTGAGTGAAATGTGTGTTGGATCGTGCAGCAAACCAAACAAGGGAGAGTGCTGAGGGCTTGTGCGACAGGCTGAGAGAGAGACTGAGACTCCCAATATTTTAAATTTTTCAGTTTTCAAGAGGTTTATTGTCATATGCACAGGAAGAAACACGGTGGTTTATATGTACAATGAAAATCTTAGTAATCTTAAAATATAACTAAAATATAATATACAACTTAAAGTGCAGAACAGTGTATAGTAAACAAAGAAACCTGAGTTGAATAAGGTGCTCTGTGTGCCAAGTGACATTCACATCACAGTGGGAGTGACTGAGTGTGGGGGAGGGCGGTGTGGGCTGTACTGTACTGTAAGAACAAGAAGGGCAGTCTTCTATAACTTTCTGGGAGTCACACTCACATGGGCAGGTAAGGCAGGCGACCCTCCCAGCTCCACCTACCAGCCAACCCGAGTATCTATAAAGCAGACAGCAGAGCAAGATAAAGCACAGTAGGAGGGATCATCACAACATAGACACAGACAGTAGTGGTTAAAGGTTTATAGCAAACAGTAATGCAGGCTGAATAAAGAACATCCAGCTTTTTGTTGTTGGATACAGTTTTATTATGCTTTCAGTGGATTATGAACACAAAATTCTGTAAAAATATGGACACCAAAAGGACTTATGTGTACCCAGATGCTCCATATATTATCAATATAATCTTCAAGCTAAAGTGGACAAACCTGGCTCCAAACGTGGTCTACAATCTAAAGTGGCAATTTCCATAACTAATTTTGAATTTATTTAAGATTTCTGTCACTTTCGAGGTGTCCTTGTTGCTCACCTGGTAGAGCTGGCGCCCCATGTATCGAAGTCCTTGCTGCAGCTGCCATGGGTTCAAATCTAACCTGTGGGCTTTTGCTGGGTGTCATCCCCTCTCTCTATCTTAAGCTGTCCTGTCAAATTAAGACACAAAGCCCCAAAAAATAATATTTCTGTCTCGTCCATAACACTGTAAAAAGGAAAGCCTTTATAATGTTATATATAGTAAAGGTTAATGTTTTGGCAACAGAAGCTAAAGATCTGGTACCTCTCAAGAACCATGTATGATCAAAATCCCCTCAGTGTGTGTGCATATGCCTGTCTGCTGGTTCATTATAGTCATGAATGTGTCTCTGTGTATATTTGCTGTGTGTGAGAGCGTCAGTATCTATGTCTGTCGCTGTCTTGGAAGCCATCCCGTCTTGTAGCCAGAGCCCAGCCGGTAGCCTTACTTCAGCTTAAAGAGGAAAGCCTGCCACTCTGGGTCATGTAGTGTTAGAGAAGGCAGTTATATGTTGTTTAAAGTAGTCTCTTCACTCATGATACATGGATTTATTCACCATTAGTTATAAGAATGGAGGGTCAAAAAGTCCTTCAGTCCTCTGATATTGGTGAGTAGCTTATGACCTACCTGCAGCTCAGATCAGGGTTCCCACTGCTGCTATAGAGTTTCTGGATTGTGGACTTTACAGCAGCATACAGGGTTTGAGAAAGTCAGGTTGATTTGAGGAATATACTCTAATGTATTTGACACGTGCGTTATACATTTGTTTTCATTAGTTGGTGTTCACAGAATTAGAAAAACTACAGTTTTAGATCAACTTTTTCAATTGTGAATGAGAGGAACTTTTATATAAATCCGTCTGCTGGACTGTGTTTGCATTTCCCTTTTTGGAAACAAAACTACATAAAAGCAGTGCAAAGTGTTCATCATATGGCATTATGTTAGTAGCATTACAAATACAGTGTATTTTATTTGAACTTATTCACTGTTTGCAAAACATGATTGCATATATGTGACCATGCTGAGCAGTGATAAATAGATTAAGGGGACTGAGAGAAAATAATAATTAATTAAACCAATTTGCTACTGCCAGCAAACATAAGCTTCCAAAATCCATAAAGAATCAATTGTAAAGAATTATGTTTTTTTATTATGTGTTTATTATCCAGTGCTTCATAACTATATTGATCATTTAAATACATCCTGTTCTGAATGTGTATTGATAACAATTCTTTTGTCTGTTTCCTCAACAGTGGAGCATGAACAGATTCAGAAAAGGACATTCACCAACTGGATAAATGCCCAACTCTCAAAGGTATTTTGAGATATCATATTTATGTGTGATACTATGTGGAACAGGAACCTTTGTTGCATTTGTTGAAGAAAACAAGAAACTGCGTATCTCAGCTTCTCAAAGAAGTGTTTCAACTGTGGGTAGTAACGGACCGCTGATATTTTTAAGTTAATAAAGACCTGGTGCTTTATCAAAGATACTCTCACACAAAAAGTTTACACTCAGCTGTCTAATAGGATATATCTTCTGGAGATTATCTTTATGGCAGTCTGAGCATATTAGTGGAGAGAGGGGCTGGAGTAGTGATGCAGAAAGGCTTTACTTTTCAGAATATTTGAAATAGTCTACCCATTGACCTTTTATTTTCACATAAGGTTGAGTAAAAGTTGTCTTCTATATTTTCCAAAACCTACCTTTAATTTGGGAGACGTCTCAAGCAAAACCTGATCAAAAGTGCTGATTTGAATGTTTTGCTCAGAGTTAGCGTTAAGATATACAAAACATTTGTTCTGGAGAGCTCAGCCTAGGGACTGTGGAAAAATGGCATGATGTCATGCTGTGGTAGGGCTGTAAGTGATATGAAGCAAGCTGTAGACTTGCTGACTCATTGTTCAGACTGTGAGGTGCAGTGAAGCGGCTCACCACGGATCTCATTGGAAAGAGACCTTGAGCTGCTTGTGACTCTCGCCTGAAGTATAAATAGTGCTTCAGTGAAGCAGAACAGCATGTAATCTGAATCCAGTCGCCTCTTCATAACCTCATGTCCATACGACTGCACACTAAAACCACTGGTTCATAACCTGCCATCTGTTACACCTATCTGCGTCCATTAACAACCCCCAACAGCAGAGTCACTGTTGTGACCCCGTCTCTAACTGACCCAGAAGCTTTTGAATGAGTGCACCACAGTTCAGTTCAGTCTCGGATGAATTTGTAGGCTGCGACCTCCGATGTATTTGTTAGCCGATAATGTGAAGCAGTTAAAAGTTTCATGTCATTGTAAAATAAATGTTGATATACAGTATTTGTGTTTCCCACGCAGTAGATCACATTCCCACAATCCGTTTTACTTCATGTTGCACTTAAGATTGTATTTTGTGGTTAGCAAAAAGATAAACATTTTTCCATCAGCCTTTCACTTTTTTTACTGCATGATATGAGGAAACCCTGAACAACTTCCTGTTTTGTATAAAATAATATGACAGAGTGACCTAGGGTTATTTATATCTATTTAGAGACAGCTGTCTAATTCATTATCTAATTCATATTTGTACAAGGTCTCCAATGATGATCCATTTATCTTGATGCTGTTATTGTGCGGAGCACATTTGACAATATGTTTGGACTTTCTTTTAATGTGGTGGATGCTTAAAATCAGTAGCTAATAGTAAATAAATAAGACTTAATTGTGTGCATTGTTGCAGAGATGCCCTCCCTCATTTGTGTCAGACCTATTCTCTGACCTCAGGGATGGGTCACAGCTGCTCAACCTGCTGGAGGTGATGAGTGGCCAACCTATGGTGAGTTACTACAATGTGCTTCTGATATCAGTGAGTTGAATAGATTCCAAATTCCTCCTACAGTAGAGATCTATAATTAAACAGTAGACATGTATTGGGGAGGTAAAAACATGTTCAAATGAATATTATAACCACAATAAAACAGATGTTGTAATTTGTCTCCACAGAAAAGACAAAGGGGCCATGGGTTTTTCCAGCAGAGGGCCAACATTGAGACAGCACTCAACTTTCTCAAGAAAAAATCAGTAAGTTTCTACACACATAAAAAAAATGGAATCTGCATCTGCAGTTTGTATTATTTACATTTGTTGTGGTTGGTTGGTGTAGATCAAACTGGTGAACATAAACGTCTCAGATATCATTGATGGACGGCCCTCCATCATCCTCGGACTAATATGGACCATCATCCTCCACTGTCATGTGAGTATCAGTGGTGAACTAATGCCACCACATATTTATCTGCTTCTGCTTCTGCTATTGGGAAAAAGGATGTAGAAAGAGAAACAGAAGGAAAAACTAAAGCAACAGCATCCTGATGCATCCTTAATAATTTAAAAAACACTTGCCTGTAGCCTGTACTGACAGATTTCACATACATGTATGTTTGTATCATTTAAAAGATACTGATAATTTAATATCCAATATATCTATTGTTTCAAACACTCTGTTTTAGATTGAGGAGCTGGCCTGCACTCTCTCCTTCAGCTCTTGTCATTCCTCCCTCGACTCTCTGACCAGCTTGGACTCCTGGTCTGGCAGCCCAGTCCCAGCGAGTCCGGTCCCTGCAGGTCGGACATCGCCCCTCCACAGACGCTTCCGAGTATCCGCCAAGAAGACCCTGCTCATGTGGGTCAGGGACCAATGCAAAAAGTAGGTTATGTACCATACATATGAATGCTTAAAAAAGGCTGGTGATTAATTCAAGAAGGGGTGTAAGTGTAAGTTAAAGATGGAGGAAGGAAGGAATGTTTGAGTCAAAGCACTGACTTTGCTGTTGCTACAAGGTTGACTAAGACTCTCTTTGGTTTGTCTGCATTCGGGTGTTCATAAAAATCTCACAGACTCCACTTTTTGCTTTAGTTTTTTAGTTGTCCATTTGTCTTTCTGTCTCCAGGGTTGGTTGCTCTGTCAGTATGAGGGATTTTAAGTCTAGCTGGAGAAGTGGAGAGGCCTTCTTGGCCATCCTGTGCTCTCTCAGACCACAGCTGGTGGATCTCTCACTGGTCCAGTCCAGAAGTAACCAGGAGAACCTGGAAGAGGCGTTTCACCTGGCCGAGCAAGAGCTCCACATCCCCTGTCTGCTGGAGCCCCAGGGTGAGGCTGATTTAGTAGCGCTGTTGAGTTCTAATTAGTGTTTCACAGTATTTCCTAATAACAAAGTGCATAACAAAGTATTAATACCAATCAGAAATCATCATGGATTCTTAACTTTCTTTGACTATGGTAGTTAAATTACTTTGTTCACGCTTTTTTCCCCGGACACAACTGTGTCACCTTGATTTCTGTACCTAGGAGAAGGTGTAACCTGTGGCTGCAATTGAATAGTTAGAATAAGGAAATTGGTAAATTACTGCTCATTGGAAGCAAAAAGTATTTCATTAATTTTCATTAATCATTAAAACAAACCTAAAACAGTTGTGCTTAATGTAATTTAAGACAGCATCATTTAAAATGGAAGTTGGGCAGAGTTGCTGGCAGACTGAACAACTGTAAAGCCTTTGTGTATATTTACCTTTACCACAGATGTTGATGTTAAAGACCCTGATGAGAAGTCTATTATGACTTACGTGGCCCAGTTTCTGCAGTACTCCAATGACATGCCAGCACCTGATGACCATCTGCAGGTAGGAAATCAAACCAATATTTATACTTGCAGTCTCACGTTGACTTTCAAAACTTCTAAAGACCTGCAGAGCTGACATCATTGTTTTCAGTCAAATCTACATATTCCTCTCTTACATTTAAACTTAAGTAAGTTCAGAGTAATACTACCACTGTTTCTTTCCCTGCTGCTTCCCTCCCCTGTTTAGAGCTTGAACCCACTATCTCCTGCATGAAACTTAATTATTTTCCCCGTTCTCTTTTGGTGGCGGTGGTACAGCTGTTTCCTCTGGTCCAGCCTTCTTCTCTCTCGCCTGTGAACTTGCCTGCTCACTTCACTCCAGCAGTTTCTGTCTCACCGTTACGTCAGGTAGCCATACACAAAGCAAAGTCCTTCTTTAGTTAATATTTGCCCCTTTTTATACGTCTTTCTCCCACTCTGTAAATTGCATTGTAATTAGCTATTCCTGCAATTTCCTAAATTGAAATTTTTTTTTCTGCTGCTGTTTCTCATAGAGCTGAAACACAGTTGAGAATGACTATTAGGTCTGCATGAATATTGCACATACTTCTTACGTTTGTCCACTGATTATGTAGCTCTAAAGTTGTTGTTCACCTTGATGGACACAGAAGTAGTTACTCACAGTTTGAATTTTAAAAATGTAGGTCTCTCCAAGTGAGCGAGCACTAGAGGTGACTTGCTGGCTGCAGCAAGCCTACCAGGAACTGTCAGAGTCACAGACAGCTACAGAGAAATCAAGCTTTGCAGAAAAATATCAGGTAAGGCAAAGAGCTTAGAGAAGAAAAATTGAATGGGTGTGTATTATTTTGTGTTGTTGTACAGCAATTAGAGGTTGTTACTGTGTTTGGTTGATCAGGTGTTTAAGAACCTTGCTGACTCCTTCACTGAGCAAAGGAGACCAGTGATGACCCTCCTTGCTGCCATAAGACGCCGCCCTGAGCTGAGCCAAGAGCAGTGTGCTCTCAGGACAGCGTGGGATCGTCTGGAGGAGGAGGTGGGGTAATCCACTGTGGATGATAAGCAGCAGGGTCAAAGTCTGCCCTGAGAAAGGTTTTAGTCAGTCTTGCCCTGCTCCCTTATTGCGTCCTGTGCTGTTTTACGTGTTTTTTGTTTTTATGCATTTGTGAGGGAATTATTAATCATGCAATATTGAATTAATGAGAAAAGAGTTTACTCTACTGGCTCTTGCTGATTCCTTTCCTTTGTCTCTCCCCAGGTGAGTAGGACTCATTAGACAACGTTGCAATGACCAGGTTTTGTGCTTTTACCAGGCTGTGTTATGTGTGTGTCATTTCTCAGCTGCAGAGACGTAAAGCAGACCTGGACTCGAGTCTTCCTCCTCCTCTGGACTCAGTTGTTGTGTGGCTGCAGCGTGCGGAGGCAGCACTACACGAAGAGGGAGGAAGAGGGAAAGATCATGCAGATGCTGCTAAAGAAGCAAGAGCTCAACAAGACACACTAAAGGTTATTCTTATTTTGAAGCTGCAGAACAAATTTGAGCTTTCCTGTTCTTAAAAATCGTGTTTAATCTTAGTTTATGTGCTTATAATCTTGTTTTCCCTTTTTTTAAGACTTTAATTAAGGAGATGAACCACCATGTCAATGTCCTTGATACCTACCACAACACTGATGACTCAGGGAACGTAGTAGTGCCCCTTGAAAAGTTTGATGAGATAACAAGACGGTGCGTGAATATTAAAATCAATATTCCCATATGCATGTTTAAACCAAGCAATCTTTAAGTCTCTTGTATTAAAAGCATCTGCAGTTAAGTTCCACTAAAATAATGAAATAATGCATTAACACCTACTTTATTTGACAACAGTTTAACCAATATCCGAGTCACAGCCAAGTATCAAGGGATCAAGTTGGAATACCAGGAATCCCGTCACACTGTATTGGATCTCCTGGGTCGCATCAGTGCAAAGGTTCAGACCTGGAAAGCTCCCTACAGATCCCAGGAGACAGTTCTCCTGCTTCTGCAGGACTGGCATGTAAGTAATTGAAAGAGAGAGAAAATTGAAAATTGTTACACCAATAATCAAACCTCCAAAGGATTCTAGAAAAAATGTGTTAACATAATTTAAATCTAGTGAGTCATTTGACACATTTAGCTTGCTGACGAAAAAGTGATGAATTCTGGTTTTTGGTTTGCTGTCTAGGAGACCGTGGAGCGCCAAGGCCTGCTTTTGATTCTGATGGATGCTGTCCAAAACCTGAAGGAGAAAGCAAATGTTTACACCGGCAAGGCAGCGCTAGGTATGAGCTAAATATGTTTATGAGAAGAGTTCTGTAAGCACAGAAGTCTTGCTTATTATTTGACACACACACACACACACACATTCTTCACTCCCCAGGTGAAGATTCCCAGCATGTTACTCGTCAGGTGAAGGAAGCAGAAAATGAAGCTGAATTGGTTGCACAGGCTGTGACGGCCGTGAAAGGGACGATGGAGAGAGTGGTGTCTGCGTGGGAGACTTACAACAACTGCCTGACTTCTCTACAGACATGGCTGGCACAGAAGATACAGTCAGACGCCCAGTCTTCATCTGTGGGGACGCAGGTATCCTCAGCCTGTTTGTTTGGAAATTTTGTTAATGGATAACTCAGAGAGATTCCGTTATGACTCCAGTGTTTGAAAGCTGCATGTATTTAATGACTGTAGAGAAACCTATATTCACATTATTTTTCTATCTTTTGGTTGGGTTGCTGTAGGATATGAGTGAGTGGACATCATGTCAGGCTAAGTTAAACGAGGCGGGGAACTGGCTCATCGAAGTGACAGAATCTTCAATCAGTCTCGCTCTTGCCGAGCAACTCAGCAAGGTCAACATGCAATGGGCTGAATACATGAAGAGGACAATGTTTGTAAGTATACATGTTCTCACTGTTCTTTCCACAGAGGCATAGACTGTACATGAAGGCACAGTTAAGATTAAATGAATAAATGAAATGAATTTTATTCCAGTGTCATTTATTTTATTTTGAATGCGACAAAACAAAATGTGACATAACAGGTAACCTAACAGGAAACATAGGCATCAATAAAAGTTGCTATTCACGAAGCATGTCTTTCTTAGGAACTATCCTCGGAGCCCAGTGTTGGTCCAATGTGTCTTGAAATGGTGCATTCACTGACCCAGGAAGCCAGCCTGCTACTGAGGCAGCCACTGGAGGTGGCCTCAGCCCCACTGAAGGCTAAAAGACAGAAACTACAGGTTGGCAAAGTTGCATATGAATGGAGGGATGGGTAGATCAAAATCAACAGCAAAATAAACAGTTTTTAAATCTTTGCATGCCGGAGCTAGTCTCTCTATTTACTTCTTGTCTTTCAGCTCCTGAGTAAAAAGATGGCAGACGTGGACCTTTCATCTCTAAGTCCATCTCCAGACTTTCAAACAAGCAACATAGAGAAGATCCAGCAAACTCTCCCACAGGTACTCCGCTGCAAAAATGCTTTGACAAACTGTGATGCATTTCAACAGGAATCATTCCCTCTTTCAGTTTCTGACTAAACCCACTCTGAACCCGAACTTTATTAAACCAGTGCACTGCTGAACATACTTCCAGTACGGTTTAATTTTAATGTAAAACTAGAAACAATACGGTTGTTGCCATTGTTACAGTATAATTACAACAATCATTGGGTTTATAATTGAAATATTATCACAAGCTCCTCTCCTGTATTATTGTATGACAAACTAAGGATAGCGTTCAATCCTAATTGCTTTGACCTCTACAACAGATGCTTGGTGAAGCAGAGAGGACCTGTGGAGAACTGCAGCGGGCTGCATCCAGGCTGGAGGGCCGTCTAGCTGAGCTGGATCACTGGAGCACAGAGGCCCTGGACTGTCAACAGCACCTAAAGACGAAAAAGCACAGAGGACGTTCTTCATTGGAACCTACAGCCAAAGTCAGCAAGCCAAAACTTTGTGCATCTTCTCATGGGGCGTTATTTTGTTTTTTATGTTAAAGTCATCACAAGTGTTTCTTTTCACAAAATGTACAATTCACAAATGATTGTAACTCACAAATAATGTTTATGATTCTAATATGTTTTCACAATTTTTGTGGCCATTTAACTTATGACTCTTGTTGTCTTGGCGGACTAGGTAAGGGCGAACAACTACATAGGAAACGCGACTCCAAAGCAAAATTCTTATAATATTGTTAAACTATGTTAACGTATTCTTTATATCCTAAAAATGAAACAATACAGTACAGATAACACAATAAAGGCTTTATAAACTTTATAGGTGCTGGTCTCTCGAGGGTTGCAGTTAGAGGGCCAGGTTGTAGCTGAGGGACAGGATCTGCAGGACCTTGTGGCACGAGTACAGAAAACCTCTCCTCTGCAGCACCTCAGTACCTCTGGCATTCAGGACAGAATCTCAGAGGCTGTATCCCACTGCCAGGTGAGTTAAATCAATGAATGGTAACTTTTTGCCAGTTCTTCAACATCATATATGTATGTGATTTGTACATGTTTCATTTTTTTAGGAGATTCTTGGAATGTTTAGTTCACTTGGGTTTCTGCAGCGTGTTGAAACAGCCCATCAGAGGCAGCCAGAGGAGGGGTTATTTGTTGTGGCCAGAACCAAACATGTTGACCAGACTGGGAATGTTCTGCTGCAAACCCAGGACCCAAATCACCTTTCACCTGAGGTTCCATCTCAGATGTCTCAACAAAGGACAGGAAGTCTCCAGGATTGGCCTAAAAACCAGCACATGAACACTCAAGATGAACCCACCATTGTTATACCCCTTGTCCAAATACAGATGCTGCCTCAGCCTTTGAGGGGACCAGTACCTCATATTCACTCTAGTCTACTAAGTCCAGTTCCAGAGGACAAGGAAAGCTCATCCCCCTCACAAACTCACATATCGAAATCCAGAATAAGAGGGCAACCAAACACTCTACAAAGTAATACAACATCTCCACAGCCACCAGTGATGGTCCGCAGTGAGGTTCATTCAAAAGCCCAGTCAATGGCAAGGAGCAGACTGGAGAAGGCCAGGTTTCATCTGCATGGACGCATCCAGCAAGCCATCAAGTTATTTGGTGGAAAAGAGTTTTCAGAGTCACAAGCCAAAAGAAAACAGGTAACATTTTTTTAACATGAAATGATCATGTCAAATCAACAAATGTAAATGAATGAATGGTCATTTACTGTGATTTACTTTTGAATTCTTTAACTGGAACTTTATTTTCATAATTTGCCAAAAATACACTTTTGCACTGCCAAATAAGTGTGAGACATGTGTTGCTTATCAAATGGCTTAAAACAGAGCAAATACATCCAGACCTTGGAAACTCAAAATTTAATTTTAGAATTTAGGCACATTGTTTAAAGGTCTGTGGTGTTTTGCTTTGCACGGCTGCCCTTTTTGTATGTGTATGTTTGTCTAGCTTTATGTCTTTCTGTGCAGAGAGCTTTAAAGATTCTGAAGCCTGCTGTCCTGGAGGAGTTCCTGAGTGCAGTGGAGGGTTTTGGGGCCTTTTGCACTGGGCCCCAACTCCAGGACTTGATGCTCCTCTCTGACTCAGTCAGAGGGCAGTGGGAGGTACGACAAGGACTATACACAGACAACTGGTGCACCCACTAAGGGGGTCCACTTCTGTCATAAAGAAAGATTTAATTGAGTTTTACAACCGGTTTAGTGACTTAACCATAGAATATATTCATAAACACACCATCAGTTTACTGGGTTTTATTGTTTGCTCATTAGTTTTAATACAATCAATAACTACAATGATATCAGTCTCATATCTGTCTGTTAAATATTTAACTCAACCGGGCGAGACTTTAGCTTAGTTTATATCTCAATTGTTTAATCTGGACAAAAACCAAAGTGTACAAATGACCATTTCCAGTCGCCATGCTAAGCCAAGCTGACTTGTCTTGGCTATAGCGTCATATTAAAAGTACAAATTTGAGAGTGTTATTGATTTTCTAATCTAACTCTCAGCAAGAACGCAAATATACATATTTTCCAAAAACATCAATTTGATTTAATTTAACTGTTTTACTAACAATATTTTACGTTTTGGGTTATCCCACTTGTAACACCAAAGCACACAGTCCTAACTGAAGATCACATTTAACTCTGTATTTTACTGGTTCCCTTAAGCTACAGTATGATATACCATGATAACCTGACACCACTTACATTTTTCTTACAAGTTTTTATAAAAACATTCTGCCAAGTAAGTATCTGCTTGTTTGTGTCACGCTCAGGATGTACGCAGAGAAATGGCCTCCTTTGTTCCCATCATATGGTCTAAGATCAGAGAGGGGAGGCAGTCATTTTCTGTTGTGCAATGTGAAACGCAAACTAACGCTCTGCACGAAGCCACTGACCAGACTGACCTTGACTTTTTGCTGCAACAACAGGTATTTGCATAACTCTGTAACATTTGCACTGGCATCAGATTGTGCTGTGTGGCACACTGTGTGATTTTGGGAAACAATCTGATAGCCACAAATTAAGATACATAATTTCAGTTTCTCAGATGTTCACATTCTTTCCAGGCCGTCGTGGATGGAGATGCGTCTGCTGATGAACGTGTTGAATCGCTCCAAGAGCTGTGTGAAACACTAACACCAATAAAATCCTCCAGCCTGGAAACAGACCAGCTGAGGGAGTCAGATGAAGCACAGGAAACACAACCCAGTGACTCAGTGCTCCAATTTGACTGGTAAGATGATACCAAGGAGAGGCATCCTGAGGTGTATTATATTAACCGCATTTAAGAGGGAAATAGTAAGAGCACATATCTCATGTGGGTTTGTGTTATGACTGAATCCCAAATGGATCCAGGGCTCTCTTACTAAACAATTTAGTAAAAGATTATGGATTTGAGAAATATACCCTGAAAAGTATTTATTTTACATAGCAGCCACATTTTTCAATATACTGCACCTATCTGGACCACAGCAAGTCTAAAGATGAACTCTACCCACCCTGAAGAAAACAATATGATAGATATTTGTGTTGCAAAGCAATGTTTTTAGATGAATAATTTAACAAACCTTTCTTCACTCGAGAAAATTATGGGTAAAGAAACCTCCGTAATATTTAGACAGATGTTGCGTGGTCACGTTTTAGTGCTGAGTCCATCCCTAGTGCTGTAATGTATGTTGACTTATTGGAAGGTAGCACATTAAATGTTAGGAAGACTCAGATTTTAGTTAAAGGAAATTTCATTTGAATTTACTAAAGTTGGACAGATATAGAACAGAATTTTGTGGCCTTAGAATTTACCCTTAAATTAATGTTGAACTGAATTTGAGTTGAACTGAATAATTTAATTAAATCAGACAGCTTGTTTATTAACAATTGTCACTCTGTAATCCTTCAAGTCTATTAATCCTAATGAGGTGCCTGTAGGACTGAGTGGTTCTAACTGACTGAGCCTGACCACCCCCTGTTGAACATTTCTTAACTCAGCAGGGGACGGCAGCTCTGGGGAAACACCCCACTGAGAGCGACTGCCGTGTCGGCAGACACACAGCGGAGAAACAATCTCCCACAGAAACACAGTCAACAACAAGACCTCTCACCTGTGGGCAGTGCTGTGTCAGTGCAGCATCAGGGAGATGTCCTTCAGCTGCGAGCTCAGGCTGTCCCAACGGAGAGCGAGGATGACCTGACACAGCGTAGAGGCCGTGGGTCGGAGAAAAGTCTCAAGTCTTCACTACGAGCCAAAGAGCAGCCGCTGAAAGCTCGTCTACTGCACATCACAGATAGAAAGCAGCAAACCCAAACTCATACACAGGTATGAAGACACCCTGACTGCTTTTATATGGATTTTTTCTCATTGTTTTTAGTATTTTAGTACTTCTAGCTGCAGCTAGAAACAGATATTTAAATGAACAACTTAATTTTTGTAGCTTTTAATTTTAGCTTACAAACATGTAAACTGAAGTAAAAGAAAATACATTTTAGGAGTAGGGAGTTTGAGTGATGAGTGGTGAGTCCACTTTTCTTTCATGCTTCAGTTTTAATTGCCACAATCTTTATGTTAACATTGCATTAAAGTTTTGTGTTGTATTTGATAGTTTTTGATTTCCTAGGTGAATATGATTGACTACAAGTGTCGATACTCAACAGTAGATAATAATTTGAAACAGTCAGGTAGGGAAAGCTCTATAGTGATAACTTTGATGCTTTTATTTTAAATCCTTTTGCCTTCTTCAGGAACCTGATGCTGATATAATACTGCGTATGCTACAAATGTTAATTACCCTAAATTAATCTAATTTACTCTGCACATTGCATTTAAAGTGGCCTTTACTTAAGTCTTTCTGGTCAGAAAAGGACTCAGCAGTTTCATTGGCTTGTAGCTGACCTGTACAAGACACAGCAGCAGCTGCAGAGCACTAATCCTCAGTAATTGGATAGACTTGCCGCTCCATCTTTTCCTCTTTTCTTCACTGGACTGTTACTATGCGACTCTCCCATCTCCCAGGCAGTTGTCAGGGGCAACACTGTAGAGACCAAGCAGGAGGCAGAGTGGACCGTCATTGCAGAGACAGCCACCCCACCGCAGGAAGAGCACTCAGCCGAACAGGAAGTACTTGAAAGGTGTGGGTTAATATATTTTTTACATTTGTGTGTGTGTGTTTGACGAACTGACTGCATTTGAAATAAAGTTTCACCTTTGACTTGACAGATTAGCTCAGAAGAGCATAATCCAGAATTTAAATCTATAATTTATTTGGCTTTAATGAAGTCTGCAGAATCTTTTACAGTACCAGTTTATACATTTTTTTAACAAAAATTGGCATTTTAGCGGGAAATGTATTAGTTGAGTTATTGCCTGTCTCACCTGTTTTATCTCATTTAGACATCACAATTACCCCAAAGATATAACAGTCAGCCATTTACTTTGTTTTCAGTGTAGTGAAATAAGAATAAAAGACATTAAAGAGATGAACTTGATGTTCCCATGTAGCCTTTAACTCTCACAGAATGTTGTATTGAAGTTGTGCAAATCTTTCACTGTAGGTACAGAAAGTCCTGCTTGCTATTTCAAACTCAACTTCAGAAGAACAAGAAACTTTTGGAGGAGTTTATCCTACACCCAGTCACCATTTCCACCCTGCTGAAGCAAAAGAAGCAACTACTGGCAAGTTGAAGCATCATTTCACCACTTTACATTCATGTTTAGCAATCATTGGATCATTACCTTTTTGTCACCTTTTAAAATCATGATCTTGATGCAGATTAATCTGTGTATAACTTGTGCTTCTCTGAATCTCCTACAACCTGCTAAAGAAACAACTGTTAGGCAGTAATTTGTTTGTACGATCAAACTGTTGCTGCCATTACTTTGTAAATATGATTCTCCACAACAGACTCTAAAACAGGAGACAGAGGCACTATGGTTTGAGTTTGAGCTCCAGTATGCCCAGCTATCCCAGTGCTCCCATCTGAAGACCAGGGAAGATGAGTATGAAGTGAAAAAAGACTGGGAGCAGCTGACTCAGCAGTGGAGAGGCCAACAAATGTGCCTACAGAGCAGGTACAGTGCACCTCTCTGATTAATCTAAAGTATTAACCAATATGTTAAGATGTTAGCACATCTGTACCACTTATTCTTGCTGGTGATATTCACCAGTACAAACTTACATTTTTGACTGATTTAGTGTCTGGCCACATAATAATAGTGTTATTGGATTTAGAAACATTCTTTACCTTGTAAACATCTCAACTTAAGGTCCATTTAGTAGCTGTTCCAGAGCTTTCAATCATATTACAAGATCTTTATCAGCAGATGAGGTTTTCCCAGTCTTCATGTAAACATAGATCTCTATTTTCTTAAGCACTTCTTGTCCACGTTGAGTTTTTATGCTTATTTTTGAACTTGGAATCAACTATCTCACTTTAAGGGCCATTTAGTAGCTGTTCTGGAGCCTCCGATTATATTACAAGATCTTTATCAGCAGATGGAGTTAACCAACAACCATGTTCTAGTACTATACATAATAACAATTTATTCTAACAAGTAAGGATTATTTTACTTTGGTTTATGTCAGGCTGACATCTCTAGACAATACTGCAGTACTGATGAAGTCTGCAGATGACCAGATGGCACTGACCACAGAAAAACTGGACCGCATCCTCAAAGAGTCTGTGGACATCTCCTCCTTCACCTTGGCCGATCCTAGACTGATATCTGATTTAAAGGTACACCTATGCTTTTTTCAAACAATTAACACTCATTCTGAGAGTGAATATTGTAATTAATCCCTCTTGCATTACCCAGGAGATGGATGACAGCCTGCAGTCTGAAATGAGAAAGCTATCAGAACGAGGCACTGAAGAGGAAAGACAAGGGCCTGGAGCCACATCCCCTTCACCCCTCTGCCAGGCTCTGCACAACAGTGTCCATCATCTTGAACAGCTCAGACAGCGGCTGGAGAAGGTTCAGTCAGCTGCCCGGGCCCTGGATCACTTCCTAGCCACAGTGAAGGAAGTCAAGGCCGAGATCCCAACACTGCTGGCAAACCAGGACCCCAGCAGACAGCAGAATGAGGCAGACTGGGAGCAGGAGAGACACTCTTGGCAGGCAGCAATTCAGCAAAAGTTGCAGACTGTTGCGGAACAATCTGATAGTGTTGACAGCACTTTAAAGGGAGTGGGGATGACTCTGACCATGGATGGTGCAACGGTGGCGTGCCAGGATGTGGTGACATCATTGTCTCGGCAAGCTGTCGATGTGGAGAAAGAGCTGATGAGAGCCAGGAAGAGAGAGAAGGGAGAGATGGGAAAGGAGCAAATCCAGGAGAATGATCAGTTGAATCCTGTGGAGATATGTCAGGAGACAAAGACTGATTCACCACAGGAGCATCCCACTCCAAGTAGGACGGAAGAGGAGTCAGGGATGGAAGCCAAAAGGAGTAGGCTGGAAGAAGAAAATGATAGAAAGGCACAAAGGGAGGAAGAGCACAAGGATCAAATGTGGAAGTCTGAAGAGGATGTCTTAAAAGCCAAGGATGAGAGAAGAAGAAGAAGCAGCAAGGTTAAAAAAGAGGGAGAAGAGAAGGAGAGTTTGGCCCAGAGGAGAGTTGCTTTGCTAGCTGCACTGAGGGAGATAAAGGGGAGCAGTGAAGCAGCTCGGGTTACATGAGCCCACCCTGCCTGCTTTACAACAGAGGTACAACACTCATCTGGGTCCAAAAACAAATCGTTCTTAGTGTTTGTTCTTCCCTGGCTGGGATACCTGACTGATGAGGATTTAGTGCATCCAGTCAATTATGATTGACTTTTAGATATTTTCCTTTGGTTACATAAACCTTTTGGTATTTACTATATTATCACAGAATTGAACATGACAATAATTGAACATTATTATCTACATACAGAACAGTTTGCATTTAAATGGGATAGTTAAGAGTTCAGTCCAACATAATACCCCTATATTAACTCTATAAATCATGACTTCTGCCTTCATTTTCCCCCAACACAGATTTAAAGTAAAACATAATTATACCTTACAACTAATACATTTAATATATTTCTTATTATATTTTTGCAGCTATGATGTTTAAAGTTCAGGAAGTATTACAACCTAAGATGCGATGTCTCAAAATTAAAATGGAAATATTACAGTTGTATTATACATAATTTTAATGTCCAAGTATTTTCTGACTGGTGTTCCAGGTATGCTAAAACAATAATAACTTGTCAAATGTCAGTTATCTTCATTTACACCTCTCCTATGTTCCCCAATGTCCATGGGTCAGTCAGTCCACTAATGATTGTTTCATCATTGCTGCAGGACGCGTGCCTTGACGGAGCTGGAAAGTAATCTTGCCTGCCATCTCGCTGAGCTGCAGCACATACAAGATGCATCTTCAAAATCAGGGATTTCTGATGTGCGTCACACCAGAGAGGTGGAGGATGTCTGGGAGGAGGCGACAAAAGCTTTAACTGAACGGTAAAAAGAGCAGTTACAGTCCTTTGTGTTTTACAACTATGTCAAGTTAGACTTCTTTGCTGAGTTTGTGTGTGTTGTGTCATGGATCACATACAGGCTGGAGCAATGTAATGTCCTAACGGAGCTGCTGAAGAGGTTTCAGAGCATTCATGTTGAGCTGAGTGGGACTTTGCAGAGGGCAGAAAGCACCATCAGTGAACAAGCCTCCTACATGGGAAAAAGCAACCTGCAGAGACTGCATACTAAGGCATACCACCCTGTTTAATTAATATGATGAAGCAATATACACTCTTTTAAAGTTTTGGTTGTGTGTAAACTTGCCAATGAAGCACAGTCAACATTATCCAAATCATTTGTGTGTCCCTGGTAAATCATTGGCTTTGATTCTTCATTATGACACTTACATTGTGCGTGTTTGTTTGTGTGTGGTTTCTCAGGTCCAGGAAACAAAAGCAGAGCTGAATGGGCTCAACAACGGCATAGAGGAGGTCCGCAGTGTCTGCAGGCAGCTTCACACTCATCTACGTCAGATCCCAGAATGCACCCTCATCCCATATGAGAGTGAAGCAGATGCTCTCATGGACCGCTGGTTGGATGTAAGTTCAGTCACTTTATTTACCAAACTTTATATACTTTTTTTTTTCTTGTGTTGGTGGCATATTTTTATTAATCAAAAGATTTGGTATTTTCTTTGTTTTTTGTTTTTCTGACAAGCCAATACAACATTTTTCTGTGTGTTTTTTTCATTATTATCTTGCGGTTTTGTAGATGTTAATCCTTTCTCTGTGATTCATTATTAATACATAATTAACATAAGATTAACATAATTAATCTGTAGTAAATAATTCTGATTCTGATTCTGATTCTGAATTATGCAAGTATTATTTTATTTTTTTACCTACCTAGATCTGCTGGGCTTTCAAAAATATGTATTGTGGAAGAAAAATGTCTTCAAACCTCTCATTGTACTTCAGTTTCAGAGTATTATTCCTTAGGTGATATCTTTTGGGTTTTCCTGCAGATTATTGCATCAAGAGTGGATTTCTTACCTATTTACCTACTGTTAGTAAAGCAAGATTTACTACACAAATAGTATCTCCTCTAGACTGTTATCATTGCAAATATCTAATTTCTAAGGTCTTCTGTTGAGTTGTGCTGTTTGTTTTACGTGTCTATTATTGCAGATATCAGAAAGAACAGATTCCCACATTGAAAACTTACACCTTGGCCTGAGTCTGTGGGATGGCGTCCTCAAGCTTGGAGCAGAGGTAGAGAGCCGGACCACCAGTAAACTTGCAGTATTTGCTCAGTCTCCATCCTTTCAAACAGAGGAAGACATCAGGACCTTGCAGGTAAAACTGTCTTCCTGTTTCATTCTGTACATTTCCACAGTTGCTTCAAACAATGATCATCTCCCTCTAACTGTCTCCTAGAATGAGATTGTGTCCCAAGAGCAGAACATGGAGCGTTTCCACCAAAGAGCCACTGAGATTCAGGCACTGCTTCAAAGCCCAGAGCCTCCTGTGGAGCTGCAGGTACAGCATGTGATTTAGTTTTCTGTTTTAGATGTGTGTGAAATAAAGCTGCTGGGATGGACAGAGGGAGTATATACATATAGTTTTGGTTTAAATTTCTAGTTCAACTTTTCAGTTGTATAATGACAGGAGACATTTTATTGTTGCAGGTTTTGGCGCCTTGCTGCAGTACATTATGGCTGACTCTGTGACTTTTGAAACTGTTAGGTAGCACTTTATTGGTCAGTTTATGATTGAAAGCCAAGAACAGATTAACTGAACTATTAATGCTGATACTACTGTGTATGTGTGTCTTTGGCCAGCATGAAAAACTAACAGTGATGAGATGGAGCTACAACAGGTCTCTTGATTGACTTTGTTTTGTCTAGGTTGTGGAGACCCAGACGAGGAACAAGATACAGCAGCTGAAGGAGCTTAGTTCTGAAGCTGAGGATGTTTATAGGCAGATAGTAGCTACTAAGGGACAACTTACTGCTAGGATGGCCGAATGCTTTAACTCCCTCCAGAAGATTCAGGAGTCTCTCCTTACACTCAGTGGTTCAGATGTTGCAACAGTCCTTGCAAAACTAAAGGTGAGTGCTTAAATGAGATATATTTGTACATAAAATGGCCTCTTATCTTACCTGCAGTATAAAGATGCTGTATATTGGGTGTAGTTGCTTACATTTTGGTATCAGGTGGGACATCTTCCATTCACAGAGGAAGTGAAGCTGGAGCAACCACAGATGTATTTGTTGTTGTGATTTCCTTTTTCCTGATATCTTGGTTGTGAAGTCTCAAGTTAAAAATGTTACATATTTACAGGTTTCCTACACTGTATGGATTTCATTTTAGTATTTCCCTGGTCTGGATAAGTATGGGGAAAAAAAGAGAGTATGAACACATATTTTATATATATTCTATTTTCTAAAGTATAAAGTTCAAAATTTCTTTTTTATTATTATTAACTCAATTTTATCAACTAAACTGATCATACAAGCCCAGTGTTTTTCATGGAGTTTTTTTACAGGCAACCAGCAATGCCAAAATGTTTAACACTGTGTGACAGAGTGAGCTTGATGTCATCAAAAGCAACGTAAGAAGTACAGTGTGACTGAACGCACACTCCTATGCAGAGCTGCTGGTGCGTCCAAGCCTGCAAAACAGCTCTGTCTGCCCCAAGTGCTTTCAAATTAGTTTTAAAGAAAATGCTGCAATATCTTTATATATATACATAGAAAAATGGCAAAATTCCTGTATTTATTTCTAAGACATATTGTGCAAGTAAAAATGTCCGACAATACAAACAATTTCTAGTAACAAAACTTTTTAAATCAAAAAATCAGGAAATCTGAGGTCACTGAAGTGAGTCTTCTAACCTTAATGTGGTCTATAGTGGTGGGATATACTGTCGGCCAGATTTCTGTTGATTTGTATTTTGAATAAGTGTTTGTTTTGAGAAAATTTCTATAATGACATCAGCTCAATTTGGGCCAGTGAATTCAACCGACTGAACTGTAGATAACAGTATTTTAATGCCACTATATGGTGAATTAGACACTGAAACAAATGTTGTAGTTTTTTTATATTTGTACAATTGTACACAGAGTGGTGCTAAAGTTTGACAGTGAATTTAGTGTTCATGTAAATGTTTGATGTGGCCACATTAGACAATGCTAATCACACACAGTAACTCATTTTCCTCTACAGGATCTACTTTTTGAGCTCCAGACCCAGGATGAGCAGGCAGAGAGTCTGCTGGAGGATCTGCGTGTTATGTCCTCCATAGTGAGTTCATCCAGCCTGCAGAGTCTGTCTGTGGATGGGAATCAGCTGCAGGATAAAGTCAGAAACACACACCAGCTCTTCTCTGAGGTGGAGGAACAGACTGAAAGGAATATCCAGGACCTTAACAGGTAAAAGACATCATGCTTAGATATTTCAATTCATACAATGTGCACAGATTCACACATCTGCAGTGAAATGGTGATTGTCTCTTTTCAACCATGTAGCATTGCACACACACATCAATGTAACACACAGCATTTACACATTACAATAAGGGTTCAACAAGTTTTGTTAAACTATAAACATCATACATGTCATTACTCAAAGTAATTGATTGTAATACTTTTGTAATACTAAATTTTGTTTGTTTTTTTCAAAAGTGGTTTCAGAGTTTCAAAATGTTACAGTTGTTCTTTGGTACAATAATATATAAATATATTCAATATTTGCACGAAAAAAGCTACATTTGGTCTGCTGGTTCTTTAGATTTATAGTGCTGTATGTCTATAACTCAACTTGATTTAAAGGTTGGCAATATTCTATGTTTTTGATTTTGTCAACAAATCCCACGAAAAGACCAAATCCAAGAATGTGCTGATCTGTCTCTCAGTACTTTCTGTCATCCCTGGGGTGTCTGAGTCCATTAGTTACAAATAAAGTTGTGCAATAATGCTTTAACAGCATTTTTAAAAAGAATAAATAACTTACTATAGTTTTTTTTTGTTTGTTTGACTCAAATTAAACTACAGTTCCTTAATTTCCTTTGTTATTAAGGAACATCATTGATTTATTTTTTAATACTTTTTCGAGAGCAATCAAGATCTAGAATGGAACAGAGGAATAAGGTATATGAGTGGTTTTGTAATATTTTTGGACCAAAAAACAGAAAACGGACAAGGGATTATGAAAAACGTTAAAAAATAGATTTATTCACAACATCAGAGATGCAAGTTTAAAATCTTGGTTAGATTTTTATGGTGGAGCAAAGCAGGCAGAGTCAGCCGGGCAGGCAGCAGGAAAACAGACGAGACACTAGACAGAGCAGGCGAACTGAATGATCTGCCGAAGACTGGAGTGAAGAAAAAGAATATACTGCAGAGGCTTGTTAAGTGGATGAGTCACAGGTCTGCAGGTGATTGGCAACAGGCGTGAGACTGGTGCACCACGCCCAGAAAAACACACACACACACACACACACACACACACACACACACACACACACACACACGCACACAGACACAGAGAGATAATATACAGGGGACAAACTTGAATGAGGAAGAGGCACAGCTGGACCATGACAATATGACACTTTGGCTATACAGGCAATACTTGTTTGTAGGATGAATTTCATTGTTGGTTTTGTTTTTTTTGTGTGATTTGTTCACAATAAGGAATATATAGAATGTCACCACTTATCCTTTAAACTCTATAATAGACACAAGCAACAGTCTACAGTACAGTTCAAACTCAGTGGGACAAGTTCAACTTGTTTTCTGAACTCTACAACACAACCATTTGTTCACTGTGACGTCACTTTAATACAGTGCATAGTCTACACTGTACATATGCATGTATGTGCCCTGCCTGCATTCATACTGTACATATGTGTTGTAGGCTGCAAAGGGAGAGTGAGCATTTGGAACAATGGTTGCAAGCCCTTGAAGAAAAAGCAGCGAAGGAGGAGGATCTTAGTCTCCTGCAGGAGGAAGCACTTCGACAAAGGTAAACTGATTTCAGATATATGCTGTCCAGCTGAAAATAAGCAAATCTTGTATAAAGGTCCTGAGGTCAAGAGTTGTCAGGCAGTGTGCAGGGTAATATATATTCTGTGTATTTAGTTTATGGGGGACTACAGTTGATATTCTCACTAAATGATTTTGGAATTCTATCCTTCATTTTTGTATATTTATTGTCTGTCATGTTTTGTGTATTTTCTTTGTGCTACATAAGGAGATCTGCAGTAGACTAGACTAGAGTTTAATCAAGTACACAGAAGGCTGTAATACTGTTGATTGACGTATAGTTAACACAATATAACCATGTAACCCTGATTAAACACATTGGAGAGGTACGGTCTAGAGCCCACCGCTACACTTCATTAATTAAGTGTAGGTGAATTTATTTTGTTTTCTTCTTGTGCACCCCGGAGAAGGTGCAGGTTGTAGAAGGTTTTTTCCCTCTCTACTTAATTACCATGTTAGTACATCCTTGTTAACCTGACAAAGTCAGTTTTAGTTCCCCTCACTAACAATTGTGTAAATAATGTTTAACTGAGCATTAACACTGTTTTTTCCCCTTTGCAGGGTGAGAACAGAGGAAATCAGTCAGCTTGTGTCATCCTTACAACGCAGCACACTTCAGCAGTCTGCTCTGGTGGAAGAGAGCAACAAACTGCTGGAACGATACAACAACTTTCAAACCAACATACTGCGTGGCTCCAAAGAGAAGAAGAGCTCTCTGAGCAGAGACATTGAGGTGTTTCAGACTTCCTAACTCCTATATCTTTTGTTTTGTTTCATGTAGTTGTAAACTGGCAGTTGTTACAGTGGTGTCTAATGTCATGCAAGGGTGTGGTCACACAGATCCATTGTTTCTTTTCATCTACAGTATATTTGTTTCTACTTGTTCTTCAATAAGGAGTGCCCATTTGTTGTTGTTGAACATTTTGGAATGGAGGATTTGTAAACCAGATTAAAGAAAGAGACACTCCTCAGTCTGTGCAGTGACAAACTGGGGCCCCTGCTTTGTGAAGAGTTAAATAACTAATCTGTGAAAAATATTTTTCAGGCTGTGGTGAGTGCAACAGAAGAAGGGGTGGCTCACCTTGAGGAGTTTAGAGTTAATGGAAATAGTCTGAGCCACAGACTGTGTGATGGTGGCGACCTGAAACGGGACATTCAGCAAACAGAGGAGCAGTCGAGGGACCTTCTCCACTTAGTTCAGCCTCATCACAGGTGAGTGGAGCCAATGTGCCAAATATTTGGTGAGCATTACTATGCAAGCATTTATTCATGTTACATTTTGCCCATAGGCCTACATAATGCCTGTTCAAAAATGCTTGCTGCTTCATTTGTTCATTCACACGAGCATCCAGTGAGTTTAATTCAATGCGGCAACTCTCAATGACCGCTGCTAGTCTCGTCAGCACTTCTCCAGGTTTATTGCCCTCAAGACAGGGTTGTTTTAGACCCTGATAGAATGTGCCAAAGTGAAGCCTGAACATAAAGGACATGGGTCCTCTCCTATCCATCCTCCCCAAAATCCAATCCCAAGATTTTGGGGAGATGGACACACATCATAAGTTGCTCCCAGCATGAATCTAAGTTTCTTCTTTTTCCGTACTTTTCCCAACTCATCCACTCCCAGCTCCCAGCTGGTGTTGCTTTGCTCCATGTATCCTGTGGTATGCTGAGTTTAAATGCTCCACACCCATACTGTGCCTATCCTACAATTTTCCAATGTCTAAGAGCTTCCTGAGCCTGTGAATCTGACTCCCTTGGGTTCCACTTCATCCCTGCTTAGAAGTTGGCGCTGTACTCCATCCTGCTATACCCCTAGATTCTTACAACATCATATCCAGGCTTGCTTTTGCACATTTAAACTCCTGTTTAAACTGGTTATAGGGAGCTCCAAAATCCCTTTTCCATATAGGGCCACACTGCTGAGGCAACGTGGGGCTCCCAGCTACTTTCTAATGTAAGAGCTAATCATTCTCTAGCTTTGCTACCTTGAAGTAGATACATCATACACCTTCAGGGGCGACAGTAATCGTGGTAGCAGCCCAAACTGCAGGAATGACAGTTTGAGTTTGCCTGGAAGGCCCAGTGTTTCCATAGGGTTGGGGTTAGGGTTAGCCTATCCTATTAGACATCCACTACCTGCGGTCTTAATCCCTGGATCTGCTCCTTATCACTAAGAGCAGCATCATACCGTCTACATAACTTTTAGCCCTTTAGCCCACTTATATAACCCTCTTACTTGAAAGCACACCCCTTTACAATTGAAATACCCCTTGATTTCTTTGGTTTAACCTTCATCCTAGCCCACTTGAAATTAGTCTTCACTTTATCCAGCAGCCTAGCAGGATACATGATAGGACTGTTTTATCTATGGTTGTCATGTCATGCATGTACTCCTTTATGGGTGGTAAGCTGCCCTCCCTGAAACGTATCTCCCCCTACCACCCACGTAAAACCCCTATAATAACCTCTATTGCCAAGATAAAAACAGTGAAATTAAGTACTGCATGAGGTCTGAATGGTCTGTTAAACTCCTTTTTTTGTTTCCGTTGATGCCTCAGTGTCACCTCCTCCTACCTGGCCCAAAGACAGCAGGCCTGCAGCAGAGTGGAGGAGCTGAAGCAAAGAATTGCTCAGCTCCCCACTTTATTCCCCTGGCCTGGCTCGACTGAGCGCAGACAAATCTGCCTTCAAGCCCGTCAACTGCAGGAGGAGACTGAATCCCTGCAACTGACTCTTGCCAGCCTGGCTGAACAGAGGAGGGAGCTAGCTGAACGAACCAGCGACAGCATCTGGAAAGATTTCTCTTTGGATGAGCTGGAGACCTGCTGGTCATCACTAATGGCAGAGCTGAAGGTAAAATCTTTCATGTTTAACTGATAATCATAGTGGGGTACAGTGATTCCCAGCCAAACATAAAGGATAAAACAGCTGAAATATTGGCAAAAAATAATGGATAAACAGGTTAGCTAAAAGTAATAGATAACAATGAAATAGTTTAGTTCTATTCTAAAAGGAATAGATAAGTGGTTAAAAGCTTCAACGTTTATCCCTCAAACTGTTATTTATAGGAATGCAAACTTGACTAAACCAACCCAAACATTGACATTTCAGTTGTGTAGTTGTAGTAGTGTTAACATCCTCATTAAAGCTAAACTTGCTAGGTTGGGTCAATGAAGGGATACTTGAGCTCATTTGATAGGGATGATAGGGATCACAATAAACCCCGAAATGGTAAGCCGTCTGACTGTGGCTTGGTGTGCCTGAAATGTCCACAGGGTGTGTGTTCCCGCCTCGAGGAAGGTGTGTGTAATGAGGAACATTTTGGCCAGTTACTGCAGGACTGCCACCATAAATTGACATCCCTGCAGGAAAGGATGTCAGTGCGTCAGGCCCAGAAGGAAAGCTCAGCTGGACTGATAACTGATGTACCAGCTCTGGAGGTGAGGTCCATTAAGTAAACTGACCCAGTGAATCATGTACAAGCTCTCTTACATTTTTATTTCATATTACTTTTGCATTAAACCATGAAAAAGACATTTTAGGGGAGAATTTCCTTACACTATACCACCTATATTGTATTTCTATTTAGAAGAGCACACAACATGTTTATCTGTCACTTTCTCCGCTTTTCAGGCTTTGCTACAAGAAGTGACAGAGATAGAAAAAGACCTTTTACAGATTGTAACACTCAAGGACTCTATAACAGCCAGTTCCACGGCCGAGGCCCAGGCCAGCCTCTCCCAGCAAGTGGGCAGCCTCCAAAACCACAAGAGGGCACTAGAAAGTAGCATCAGAGAAAATCTGGCACCGCTCACAGCAACCGGCAACCAGAGAGTTCAACAAGTGGAGGAAGAGGTCTCCTGTGTACAGATAGCACTGAAAGACCTGGCTGAAAATTTTGGAAATCTGTGTGAGAACCGTGAGGTTTTGCCTGATATCAGCCAGCTCAAACAGCAGTGGTATACACTACAGGTATTGTTAAAAGATCCTATGAAATGTGGCTTTATCCCTGAATAATAATATAACAAGTTCACAGATCTTAAACACTCTCAAATGAGAGACCAAATCATCAAAGACGCATTTATATCTCTCTCAGGATTGGGATACCAGACTAACAAAATTGGCTATGAGAGTCAACAACCTGCAGAAGACTGGAGAGTCGTGCATCACACAAGAAACGCTGCCCAGAGGTGTCCTTTTGACTGTTGATACAGTTGCTAAAGACCTTGACAGGTACTTAACCTAATTTCTCATTTAAAAAATGGAAAAGTTACATTTATCACATTGATTATTAATCCAAATGTTTATACACAAGATCAATGGATACATTTAACTTAAATGTACTATTTGCAGCGTTTTAAAAGAACACTGGTATAATTATAAACTAATAACATGGTAAACCTATCAGGGTAAATCAGAAGTTGTTACATAGACTGTAAGATGACCCTAGTTGAAGGTGGGATTGCTTAAGGAGTGAAAGGTTGATAGAAAAGTAATTTTCAGTGTAATTTTTAAAACTAATTTACAGTTACGCCAGGAAGAAAAGGGTTAGAGGGAAAGGATGGTAATGCTCTATATATATTTGATCACAACACTCATTACATTTTCCTAAAATTATTATTTGTTATCTCTCTCATGTTTTCACTGTAGCCTCAGGTCTAGTTTTCTACAAAAGAAGCAGCAGTGTGTAGAAAACACTGCTAACAGGGTGAGACAGGTCATCAGCCAGCTGCAGGATTGGAGCCAAACAGTACAAGCTGAACCGTCATCACCCAGCCAGGTAAAACAAACAAATGTGTCTATCCATTCAAACCCACAATATTAACAAATATACACATTTATATAACAAGTTTAAAAAAGTGACAACTTCTGTCCTTTTTTTTGTAAATCTGAAGAGTAACTTCTTTACAACATTAAATGTATTTGTAATAGATGTAATGAAGGCATAATCTCAGCCAACAAACTTACCTATTCTATTCTTTTCCTGGTTCGTCTCTTAATATTTTTTCTTCATACTTTCCCTGTTGATTCCTACTGACAATGCAAATCTGTGAAAGCAGCTCACAACTATATAGTTTCATGCCAGCCTTATCCTTTGATATAAAGTTGTGTATACATGTATATATATGAAATAATATGGCAACTGTTTATTAATGGTAAACTTATGTACCTTTTCAGCTTGTATAGCTAACCATTTGTGATTCAGTAGGTTGGAGGATTCATGACCTCGGGCTCTTTGTTCACATATCTTAGATCAATATTGTGAGTTTATGTATCTGTTTGTGCTCTCATAGGCAGCTCTGGATGAAGGTTTGTGCCATCAGCAAGCTGTTCGTGAAGTGCTCTCAGAGCAAGATTTTCTTGTAATCTGTCTGGGAACAAATGTGACAAAGAAACTGGAGAAAAGTGCTTCAGACGCTATGAATGAAAGCACACCTGCACTTAAAACCGTATCTAAATGCCTGGTGAGTTTCTCCTCAGTCAAAGACTTCATTCTGTCATTCAATTCAATGACTGTAATAATGACGATGATATCAGGATTTTGTGGTTAATATTTTTTTGGGTTTCACAGGTGAGTCGTGGCCATTGTGACGTGGAATCGGAAAAAGTCGTTGAAGAAACTTTTAGAAGTGAAAGTGATGCACTACATTTAGCTTCACCTGATGAAACTCTGGCCATGTGTCCTCCTGCTTCTCCTTTCTTTTCTGCAAGAGAAAACAAGGAAAACTCTGAAAGTGATCAGAATGATAATAAAATGAAAACCAAAGGTACACTGGAAACAGCCAAAGAAGATGCCTTTTTTCCGCATCAATTCCCGTGTATAGAAATCCCTGATGTTTTTAAATCAAAAATCCAACAAGAATCACATCCATTAACATCAACTCCACCAAAAATAAACTTGGAGACTTGTCTCGGGCCAAAGGATGATACAGGCACACTGAACACTGATCCTTTAAGCAATGGGCATAGGACACCTTCTGGGAATAACACAGTGCCTTTAATGTCAGACTCACTTCCTCCTTCCAACAAGAGTTTAACAGCCCAGCAAGAGAGCACTCAACCATTGCAGGAAGACACTACCTCAACCCAAGACTCAAAATTCTTAGCTATAGGCACAGTCAATACCAAAGAAATCATTTCAGCACACTGTGTCGCATCCATGGTTGCATCCTCAGCGACAAAACCAGACAACTTCCCCCTTTCTACCCCTGAAAATGCATCTGAACATCTAGCAGTACAATCAGAGACATTTAAGGCTGTTAGCGATGCTGAAGAACAACAGAAAGACGGTGAGGACACCAGTCTAACCCCAGAGAAAGTGTTGGACATGGAGCCACAGGACATGCATAAATTGGAAAATGTTGGTCCGTCTTATGCACTCAGATGTTCTCAGGGAGCAGAGCTTTACAATGCACAATCAGAGATGTTTAAGGCTGTTACGGATGCTCAAGAAAAGGAGAAATCTTGTGAGAATATCACTGTGAGACCAGATAAAGTGTTTACAATATTCTTGGACATGGAGCTGCCTGAGTTTCAGCCACAGGACATGCAGCAAAGGGAGAATGTTGGAGCCAGAGGTCTTGGTGTACTCATATGTTCACAGGGGGCAGAGGTTTGTGATGCAAAGCCCACTGAAGATCCAAGTATAGGATTACCTGAGAATAAATCTGGACTCACAACATTAATCAGTCCTGAATCAGACGAAACAAAATTTAAATACCATGGTTTAAAGAGTGATTTAAATGCGTCTCAAGTAGCAGAAAGCCCTCTGGCGTTAGGGAGTACAGAATCGGAGGAGGTAAAATGTACAAATGCCAAAATATCATGCAAAAAAACCTCAGAAACCAATGAGTTAATGCACAATGAGGTGTTGAATTCCTCCAAATCATGTAGCAATGTCACTGAATGTCAGCCCACTGGTGCGCATGCAGCAGAAACATTTCTGGATGTCAAACAAGAGGAGATGACAGATTTCTGTCACACCGAAGAGCAAACAATGAGTTCAGTCTTGTGCACTGTGGACAGAGATACCTTAACTGAAACACAAATACCTGCTGGTGACAACAAACAGCTGACTGTTGCTGACACTGCACAGAGCACAGGTACAGGACATTTGGAGATGGCAGAGGGAGATATCACAGAAGAAGCAAGTGACCTTGAACACCGGGAGTCCAGACATACAAAAGTGGCAGAAAGGCAAGCCAAAGCTACGCTGCCAATAGAAGAAAGGGAACTGAAGGTACCTGCATCGCTGGAGGACACTGAGGTGACACAGGGACAGGTAGATGTCACGTTAAAAATATACTCTTCTACTGTTCTTCCTTCAATCAGCTTCTTCTTCTCAGAATTTATCTTCCCTGGTAGAAAAAGTATATTAATGCCAAAGTTACCAACCCTTTTGGATTGAAATCCCTTAAAACAAAGCTCAACATTCCTTATATAAATAAGGCATCAAATATAGATATATGTATGAATATATAGTGGGAGGACATGCATCAAAAGTTATTTGAGGGTCAGGGTCAGGGGACATTGCAATTGCATGGTCAGCGGCCTACACCTCTAGTCCCCCAGGATGTCCCATAAAAGATCCTGATACATAACATAATAAAAAATACATAAAAAGATGAAAATTAAATCAGTATTATTGATGGTTGCTTTCCCGCTTTTTAAAACCATTAGAGCAAAAAAACTATAAAATCTTTAAAAGTTAACTGTGGTTAAGGTTTTTGACCTCTGCTGGCAGAAGACCCAGATGTCCTAGCTGAATCCACAGTCCTTGCTATACTAAATAACACTCATCAAACAGGGTCTTCTTTGACATTTACAAACCATTCTTCTTCTCTTATCTTACCTCCGTGGTAGAGAAGGTAGGTGTTGACTGAAACTTTGGTATTTCTGACATTTTGCAAGTGTTATTTTATCTCACATGCAACCCAAAATTTAGATGAAACTTATTTGCTTTTAGTCTATTTATTCTTCCCGCCATTTGGCATTTGAATGTCATGACATTTGCCAAATTCCAGTCAGTTCTGGCATTCATCTTTTTGTGGAACTTTGTTCATCTGGTAGAAAGAAATAGATTTTTCTCATGACAAATGGATAAAGTCCATGCTGCATATTGCCTTGTTTATTTTACAGAATGTCTTATAAAGCCTAAAGCCAAAGTAATATAGTGTTGATCTATACTAAATCTAGTAAAACAGTCAGTAGTGCAGTCACTGGCAAGACATGAATTTTAAAATGAAAGCTGAAAAGGCAAAAATAAAGACGATGAGGCAGAAATGTGTGTACAGACAGCAAAGCCATCAACGTAAGAAGAACCTACGTTCACTGCCAGGGAAAACAAACAAAGCTTGAGACAGTTGCCTGAAAGAGACGAAAGAAACACACATTATTGCTTTTCTACTGTTAATGGTAATTGTCAATATCTATATAATATCTGTCTTTCTTGGCATTTTAATCATCAGGGGGCCACTCAAAACCTTAGACTTAATGGTGAGGTTTGCACTACCTGCCACATAACAAAGTCAGTTTGCTCGAATGTCTTCATGTAGTTCTCTTTAGTTTCTAGGTGTCTTTTGGTAGTACAAGCCACAGTCCTCAAAGGAATTGAGGAATTCCTCACAAACACAACCTGTCATTATTCTTAGTAATAACGCACATTTGCTCTGTCAACAGCTGACATTATGAATGTCCTAAAATGTTCCTCCGAATACCGAAATATTTGTATTTAAGAAGCCAGGCTTTCTGGGCCTATTTTACAGCTAATTTGAGTTATTATTGGATGCTGCCATTAGGGTGGTTAACAAGTTGTGCTGAATATATACAGTAACAGTGCCAAGCTGCCTGATTAGAGTGATTGTGATTCAAGTTCCTATGACTTAAGACAAAAATAATAATAATAAAAGCTTATATCTGAGTTCATGTAAAAAATGTTTTACATTTACATTGCTTGAGATTTTAATAAAGTCAGTACACTAATATAGTGTTCACAAACTTATTAAGTGTACAGTATATCCAACCAGTGAAAAGTATTCATATATATGATATTTTTTTACTCCCTAACCCAAATAAGAAATCCTGTAGTTTAAAATACATTAAGCTTCCAGAAAGAAATGAGCGTTTCCTTCATAATCTTCCAGTTAAAGTTGTTACATCACTTTTGAGAGAGAAATATTTGTAACTCAAACTTGACGTAAACAGCATAAGATATTCTTCTTTATACTGTTTTTCTCAACAGCGAATCAGAAACATGCTGTACCTTTTCAAACCCTCCTCCCGCTCTACCTGTACCCTGGTACAAGACACACCTTGATCATAGTCAAAATATTTCAAAAGGCAACTCCCCTGTTTTTAATCTAGTAACCTAGCAGTTCATGTCATGTATTGGTGTTTCCCTGCCTTACCATGTTATAACAGATCACTTATTCTTTAAAGAAGCACGGGAGGCTGAACTTTCTAGACGAAAAGACTGAGTCCTTCTCCCTCAGGGCAGACTGCTCCCTACTCAGGCACATTCTTGTGTTAACTGTACCGACTCGCCAGGCCACCGTCAACATGGTAATATTTACCACTGTGGAGCAGGGAAAAGAACAGGAAGCTCTGTTATTATCTGTGGGCGAACACAGCGAAGAAGAAGGCTAAAATGTGACACCACCCCTGTCATCTGTGTATGTAGCCTCAGATCCAAGACAGCATGGAGTCTGAGAGGACAGCTCCGGGTTTGGAAGCTGATCTCCAGGCCAGGGACACGGCAGGTACATCACCAGAGACCTACAAACACAAGTGCAGCATGCAGGATATTTTGTCTGAGGTCCAGAGCTGGGTGGAGAGAAGTAACATAATAAATGTGAGTATCAGCTGGTTTTAATGCACCTCGCTGAGTTAGATCTGCTGTAGGCATTCTATGTCACAAAACATGTTTCTGTGGGTTAATAAACTGATGTGGAAAAGTCTGAACTTTAGAGTGTGTGCAGGAAAGGTTACATTCTTAACTGATTTTGGGAATTGAGGTTAAAAGAAAATCACTGATCGTGGCAGGGATGTGTTCCTGTAGTTGCACACAGTATGTTTAATGAAAAGAGACATGAAAATCATCATTTCAGCAGGAAATGGATTGGAGTTGATGATGATGATTGAATAACCGTATAGCTTCAAGTGTCCAAAAAGGACATTTGCAATAAACACTGAACAGATTGCAGTTTTGATTGATGTTTGTGTATTCCCATGACGCTGCTGACAGGAAGATCCACAGGAAGGATCTATGAGACAGTGATTTCCTGCAGGGTCATTAGTGGGTCTAATTACTCACAGTATACAGTCTGTGACTTGCACTACCTAAATGTGATGTTTAATTTTGGAAAGACTATCATGTCGACATGTTTAATAAGAAAGGACTGCAGTTATTTTTAAGTTCATAGACAAGAACACCGCTGTAATCTGATTACCATGTTTGATTTTGTTTTTTGCCCCATTTTTTGGATTGTTTTTCTCCTGCCTTTTTACATTATTGTCATTAAAGCTGAAACCATTAATTCATTAATCAATCATTTAAGTCATTTTAGAAGTAACATTCCCTTCTCTCAGCTATTTTTCCTTGTCTTGTGATAGTAAATCAATTAGTTTTGGGTGTTGGACTGTTGGTCAGACAAAACAAGAGAATGTGAATGTGTGAATACTTCATCTTAGACTTAAGGAAGTTGTAGCAGGGATTTCCACTGTTCTGACATTTTCCTGACCAAACCATTAATCAATGAATCATACAAATAATCTGCAGATTAAGTGACATAGTGTACAGTGCTGTAACAAACTTTTTTCAGAAATTGTTTACCCACTATTTTTATTTTGTTTGTTATAATATTATAGCGGACACCACACATTGATTTAACCTGGTACCTTAAGTCCTCTCCTGGCGAACCAGAGATTCGACTGCTACGAACTGTCCAAAAAGTTCTGGCATGTCGCTATCAACCTGCACAGCTCGATGTCACCGTAATGGCCAGACAACTGCAAGAGGCAGAGGTATGTACTTCTGTTTACCACTTTTCTTTTAGTATAACAAATGTATTTTGCACCAACCAAGAGCTTTATTTTGGTGAAATGGACTTCCATTCTAAATGTCAAATCAGTAATGTACAAAAATATTTTTATCTAATGTCTGATCTGTCTACTGTAGGACTACAGGCGCTGCGTTCAGGAGCAAGTGGATACTATGAAAAGCACGAGTTCTGTGAGCATTTGTGAACCAGATGCCTTAAAAAGTGTTGAAGGACAGTGGAGTGCTGCACTGCTGGATGCCTCTGCCACAGTGCAAGTCAAAGCAGCACAGCTGGATCAGGTCAAACAGTATCATAAACAGATGAAGATCATCAGAGCTTTCCTGGAGGTTCTAGCTGTTGAGAAGGACAAAATGAGCTTGTGAGTATTCTTTTGATTTTAAAGTAAGCTAATAATTAATAGTATTTGTTTGTGTACTTTCTACGTGATACACTTATATTCTTATTCTTTTTTTATCAGAAATAATTTGGGAAGCAGTGCCCTTCAAGCTGACAAACTCCATGCCCTACTGCGAACCATGGTGCACAAAAAGAACATGATGGAAGAGCTCCTCCAGTTAAGTAGCCAGTTGTCAGTCCACTTGAGCGCTGCGGAAAGTTCAGGTGCTCTTCTTGCCCAGCTTGGAGATGTCCAGGAGGAATGGAGGCTTTTAGAAGGAAGTATCAAAAGAGCTCTGCAGCACGCCTCAAACTCCACCTCTCAATCCTCCCTTCTAATAAAAGAGGCTGAACAGTTCAAAGCCAAGCTTGAAGCTCTTCAACAATCCAACTTTCAAAGCCATGACAGCAAAAGCTCTTTAGAACTTGTTTGTGTGACCACAGACATAAAACTGTACAACCAACTTTACTTGCACTTACAGTCCCAGTCAGATGCTCTTGTCCATTTCTCTCTGGGTCAGAAAGAGAAGGATGAGATCAAACATAGTCTTCAAGAATTGGGGTCCTTGCTGAATGTTACCAAGAGCAAGCTTGACATTTCCACATCCAGCTGTGGTGGCATTTCTTCAGCTAAGATCAACAAGCAATTACAAGACTTGATCATATGGGCCAAGCAAGCAGAAAACCACATCTCTATTGGGAAAAAGTTAGCCCTTTTCCCAGAGGAGGCTCGTATTCAGATTGTTGAGATGAAGAAATTTAGGACTGATATTTGGTCTAGAAGGTCCAAGATGCGGGTAGAAGTTGAGCAGATGAAAGGTGTAGGCTCTGATATGGAAAAGGAGGAAAGTGACCAAGTATTAAAGACAATAGAAGACTTGTATGAAGCTATTTCTGACAGTTTGGATCATGTTCTTGACAACATGAAGAAAAGTCTGCAGGAGAGGGAGAAGCTGTTATCCCAGCTTGCAAGCATGGATGCCTGGCTAGCAGAAACACTTGCTAAAAGAGACCCCTGCGACCATGTTGAAAATGTTTCAAAAGCTGATAGCAGAAAGCTGGAGAGCGAGCTGAAAATTCACAAGTTAGCCGCAGTGGAGATAGAGAGCCAACTGAAACAGCTGGAAGCAATGGCAGACAGTTACAGGGAAATAACCGTAGGGTTGAGTCCAGGAGAGGGCCGCTACCTTGTCAACAGACTTTCGGGCCTCTGTACAGAATTAGATGGATTGCTAGCTCATGAGAAAGCAACCAGCTGGGAATTAGAGGAGCTGATTCATGAGAGAACCACGTCAGATGAGGAGTTATCAACCATCCAGGCTAGTTTACAGCATATTTCCACTGATCTGCAGCAGCAGAGGTTTCCTTTAACACTGGAAACCCTTTCAACAATTGCACGTTTGAAGCACATGCTAATGGAGCATCAGTGTGAAGTACAAGAGCTTCAGCACTGCCAGGAGGCCAAGCGAAGCTCCCTGCTGTGCACCATTGGGGAACTGCAAGACCAGTGCAAAGCTCTTAGTATTAATGCCTTTGAGCAAGACAAATATCTGCACCTGAAGAGACAAATGGAGGAATCTAGGGACATTGCCAAAGAGCAAATCCAGCATGCCAAAGATAAAACAGTCAGTATGGGTGAGAGGTTCAGACTATGCCAAACACTTTTGGTTGAACTTCCTTTGGTAAAGACTCAGTGTCAAGAGGCAGCGGACCAGTTAGAGGCCATAGCCCAGGAGTTGTACCCATCAGAGCTTAATTCAGAGAGGCAAAGTATTCGCTGCACTGTGGAAACTTTAGTCTCCTGGGAGTATTCTATCACAGATGATATCAAAAACCTAGAGGCCAAGCTTCTGTTGGGTCTGCGTTTTTCCTCTGAGCTCCCTGCCTTAATGGAACTTTTCCAAATAACAAGAGTGGAGCTGGAGGGTGCCGAACCAGTTAAACCAGATGAAAAAGCCATAGATATTGCACTACGAAGGTGCTGGGTAATTTGGAGAAATATGGAGTCTGGAATGAGGGTGTTGGAAGGTCTGGGACGGAAAGAAAAAATTAACCTGAAGAACTACAAGGAACTTTACTCCCTTAAGGATGCAGCCAAGCAAGACTGCCATTTACGAATGGTAAGTTTAAATGTTCTGGGTTAATCTGGCCTACATTTGAGGATTTTAAATTTAACATTTCATACTTTGGTGTGTTGTTTATCTAAACTATGCTTGATCATGTAACATGTATTCAACAGGAGAGTTTATCCCAGGCTAGAGAATCCTTGAAAGATTACCAGTGGGCTGCTCAGGGAGCAATTGGCTTTCTTCATAATGCTGAAGCCACGTTCTTATCAGCTCCTGGAGGGTTTTTGGACTGCACTGAGGAACAGAGACAGACTCAGCAGGCTCTAGAAGCTCTTGAAGAGGGCTTTCAGGCTCATATCTGCCACCTTGGGGAATTGGTGCCCCAACAACCTTGCCTGTCTCGCCCAAAGACTGAGCAGCTCCACATCAGCATCCTCAGTCAGTTGCTGGTGGGAAGAGCCATACTGGAGGCCCAAGCCCAGCTCAGGCTGGAGTCCTTGCAGAGGTACTGACTATTAACTGAAACGCTTCTGCATAACTTTTGTCTTGCATTGTTGTGATTATTTATGTTTTTTATTATTCATAATTTTAATAAAGTAAAAACAACTAAAACACAAATTTCTCATAGGTGTGAAATAAGACAACAAAGCCACAGGAAGTGTCATGAAGACGTACGTCAACGTCTTTCAGGGTTTGAAGCCAATCTTTCAGAATGCGCTGCAGAACAAGTGACGTCACATGACAAATGTGTTGCCCAACAAAAAAGAGCTAAGGTAGGTTTGATGCAAAATTTGTTTGCCGATGATTAGCATGCATTTGTGTACATACGCTGGATCTACTTGAACCTTGCATGTCATAGGTTTTGACAATTTACAATTGTTGGCTAATGGCATGACTCTATGGATGGCAATGTCAGTTGGTTGGTCTGTCAGTCTGTCAGTCCACCACTTTGGCCCAGGATAAAATATCGACGACTATTTGATTGATTTCCATCCCCACATTTTTTTTCATTTTCATGATGATGAATACTAATGCTTTTGGTGATCCCCTGACTTTTGACCTCCAGTGCCACAATAACATTTGTGGTTTTGAGTGAAATGTCTCTATTGGATGGATTTTTTCAATGAGATTTGGTACAGACATTCAAGTCCCCCTCAGGGTGGATGGGGTTTGATGATTACTAGACTTTTCATTTGGTATCATCAAGTCAAAATATTTAATACAGTACTTTTTATGACTAAATACCAAACTAATCACATTTTCTCAGCTGTTTTGTGCTAATTAGTAAATAGCGAATGTTGTAACCTGCCAAACATTAGCATGTTAACATTGTTATTGTGAATATATTAGCATTTTGACATCAGCGTTTAGAAGCTTCACAAAGCCACTAAATGGTTGTAGACTTTGTTTTGTTCTCACCGGTTTAGAGTACCACGCTTACCTGTAGTATTGTCGAGAATGCACTGGAGATATGGATGAAGATTATGGTACGTGTGGAGGGAATGCTGTCTGATTAAAACTTTAATTTGAACTTTATTACTATTTTCTCTTCATAAAGCTTCTAATGGAAGATCTTCGCAGCCTCGCTGGTAAGATAGAAGAACTGAGAGCTGGATGCCCGATGCAGGGCTGTGGGGTTGGAAAGGATGGCGAGCTAGGTGCCCTCTGGAGGCGCTGGGTATCATTACGACGTGGTGTCGGCCTCCTGATGGCACACACAGAACAGAGAGGAGAAGAATGGAAGGACATAACTACAAGTGTGAGTTTTACCAACATAAAATCCTTTTACAGCTTTTGTGTCTAAACATGTACACCTAAATATGTACACCTAATGGGTGCAGGCCTCAGAGTTCCCACTTTTTCTTAGGAAAGGTTCACTGTGTCAAGTGACTTTTATTTCTTTTCTGAGACAAAATTGGGTTATTGTAACATAATATACAGGACAAAGATAAGTTATATATAGATACAATGAATATTAAATTCCATTCTCTTCAGATGGAGCAGTGTTGCAGCTTTTTGGCCAGTCTTCAGGCTGATGTCCCCGACCGCTCCACTGTGAGCTTCGCTCAAGAACCCCAGGATCTTCTGGCTCACGCTGAGATACACCAGGCTGGACTGGAACAGGAGCAGCAGGCCTTAGCTTCCCTGGAGCATCGACTAGAGCATGCACTGAACTTATCTAGTTGCCAGGATCCCATCAGCCCTGGACCTGTTGGCAAAACACTCGTGAAGATCCAGGAGAATGTCAGGAGGTGAGATTTGTTTAATATACATGTGGAAAGTCATTACTCATTAATGTCAGAGATGCTGAGAGGATACTGTTCTCCACAGCTTGCAAGAGAGAAACCTGCTCGTGGTAGCTGCAGCCCAGGCAGAAGAGAAAAAGAGAAGGCAATTCCAAGAGGAGATAGGAGAGGTGGAGCAACACATGTTTTCCATTCTTACCTCACTGGAAGCCTGTTCCGATCCATCCATCCAACAGGTCAGGTTCCTTTATATGCTCTATAGTGCAAGCTTGAAAATTGGAGGTGTAGATGTGTAAGAATGCAGTTGAAGTGAAATTTCAAAAGCAAAAAATTTACACATGACATTTTATACTTAAGCAAAATAATGATATAGACAAAAAGAGTGTTTTTTTAATCGTTTTACTTGTATATGTTTGGTTATTTATCAGTGATGAAATTGTGAAGTTATAATAAGGTATAATTTTATGTTATGTTTAAGTTTCTTTTCACATCAAGATCTGTTAAGAAGCCCTTGAAAGTGCCAGAAAGAAATATAAATTGTGTTCACAGGCCTGTTGCAGCTATATGTGGTCTATGTAGCATGTAGATGTATAATTAGATTACAGACCCTAAGTGATCTTTTCAAGTCAATGTTGGTTTTAACAGTCATTAGCCAGTCATCAGTCTCTTTAAAGGTTGACCATACTAAAGTTGTGAGGGGCTTCTGTAAGTTTACCTTTAGCCTTTAATTGGAAAATAACTTAAACTCAAAATTGAGAGCTCAACTTTTGACCCTGTCTTTAAGTCTTTCATATTTATTGTGCATTTCCACACTGACAGGAGCACAGAAACAATTTGTCCTCCCAGAAGGCCAAACTTAAGCGTATCATGGACGGTGTGCAGAGCCAGTATGCTGAAATACCAGCTGATATCAGCAGAAGATTACAAGAAGTTCGACTGTCTCTACAAAGAGAGGAGGAGAAGGTAACTGAATGTCACATGAATTATCTCCCACTAAAACCTCTTATATTTTTCTAATTGTGTGCATGTCTATGGTCATTCTGCAGCTCATGGAGAACCCAGTACGGAAGCTGGATAGTCAAGTGGTGGAGTTGGCTACTGGGCTGGAGAAAGTGAAAGTGTTACTGGAACAGAGGAGTCCAACAGTCAATGAAGCACAAAATGTACTCAAGGTGTGTGTTGGTTTATGTTTGCGTGTGTGTCTGTGTGTGAATATTAGCTAAACTTGTAAACTTTTTTAAAACATAATTTATTTTTCTTTTAAATTACTCTTTAGAAATTGATAACAAATACCACCTTTTTTAAAATTACTCTTGAATGTCACATTTGATTTGAACAGTTAGCATAACTGAGTTTGAGGTAAACGCCTGTACTTGCTATGTTTGCATTTGTGCAAATGTATGTAGACATAAAAAATCATGGTGACTAACTGACCAGAAAGTGTAGTAAGCTAGCCAAAAATTATTACATTATCACCTCAAAGCACAACATACTTAACATTGTTTGTTCTCCAGCGTGTGTGGGATGAGCTGGATGCATGGCACAGTCGCTTGATGCTCCTGGAGAATGAAGTTCAGGATCTTGCGGAGGATCATCCAGATCAAGCCCACCTACTCATGGACCAACTTACACAACCGCTGCAGCTCTACCAAAACGCAGCGCAGATGGCCGAGCAACGCACCGCCTTCCTCAGCAAGGTTGGGCATGTTTACACTGTACTGTATTGCACCATGTCTATAGAACTTCTGAAGCCACCTTCTGCTTCCTTATATTTTCTATACTCCTTTGTCAGATCCCTGCCTGTCTTCAGGAGTTTGATGACATTGTGTACGGCGCCACCTGTTGGTTAGACGAGGCCCAGTCATGGCTCACTGCTCCCTGCTCGTTCACAACAGCCAGAAGCCTCCAGAATCATGCAAACTCCCTGCAGGTCAGAAATACCAAATAACACAGAAAACCTTTGAAGCTTCTGAAAATCCATGACAACTAATATCAAATTATATATTAGGTTTATTCATTAAAGGAATAGTTCAGGTTTTTTGCAGTGGGGTTGTTTGAGGTACATGTCCAGCTAAGCTTCCATTACACACACATATGTATAATGTATATTTTATACAGTATATCTGGTTTAGTCCGGTGACTTTGCAGAGAGCATAAATGGATAAAACGGCTTCAGTTTCCCATCGGAAAGGGCTGACTCACGGCAAGGTATAAAATAAATATAGCATACACTTATCCTCATATACATTTTTTTCTAAAATATTCTAAACTAGAATAGCTTTTGTGCTGGGACTCTTCTCTGCTTTAGGTAATACACTGACTATGAATAAGTACCTCATACAACCCCACTTCAAAAAACTTGATCTATGCCTTTAATTTCATTCATGTATGTATTTAACACCTACATTATAATATTGTTTTCATTCATCAATTCTATTTCCCACTGCACATGCCAGGCTAAAGACTAACCAGTCTAATAGACTTAGTACTGACCGCAAGTATTTTCACATATTTCATGGTATGGATGCATTTTATTTTAAATCCTGAACTACAGTTGGTCCTGGATGACTCTGAGAGGATCAGACATGCCCTGCAAGACTTCAGGCCAGTCCTGGATGAGATCTCTGCTGTGTGTGATATGAGCACACAGAAGGAGAAGCTGGACCAGAATGACCAACAAGTCCACAAAATGCAACTCAAGATCCTAGAGCCACTGGATCAGCTCCTGCAGGCTGTCCCGGTAAGACTTTTAAAAAGAGGAATTCCACAAATTTTAGATTGTCAGGTTGTTAGTGACCCCAAATGGCAGTGGGAGGAAACTGCAGGGTTTCCCCCCCCCCTACATTTTGGTTCCTCCCACGTCCTTTGTGCAGAGAAGACTTTCTTTCAGTGAGCAGATGTAACAACTGACTTCTATTTTGGCAGATTAACTGAATCTGTGGAATCTTTCAGTGGATGTGATGTTGTTCTTCTTTGTGTTTGAAATTTAAGACTGATGAAACAGACCATTAGTGAGGACAGGAAACATGAAAGAGAACAGAACTGAACCAGGGATATTGTGGCCCACTTTGATACATGTTTCCATCATATAAAACTAAAAGAAATGCTGTCAGTAGCATCTTGAAAGTGCAATGCTGTCGATCAACAAGACATTTGTATGGGCAGTTATATTCTTGGACGTGTAGCATGTGAAATACTCCTGACTATAAAAGTCATATCACTGAAAAAGTTGCTGGAAATCTTCATGTCAGGTGGTGGAGGCAATAGAAGTGGAGCTGAAGACGATGGAGAAGAATGTCCCGAAGATCAGAGCGATTTTATCCTCCTTGGACAACTCTAACATCACTCTAACGGAGCATCTTCAAAACCGACAGGTGATGATATGTCTAATTTTATTTACGAATTTCATGCAAATAGAACATTGGCACACATAGAACATGCAAACAGCAGTGTAATAGTACAAATGTGAAACACTTCAGGCTTAAAAGGATTTTAAAAACAAGGTTTGAAAGAATTCTCTGAAGGAACCATCTTGTCTGTATGGCAGGTAGGTTGTGCGTTTAGATGTTTCTCACTGAAGAAGGAAGGATAAAGTTCTTCCTTAAGCATAATATGACATCTCACAACTTTTCTCTCTGTCTACTAAAATAAATCAGTGATTTAACAGTGTTCAGTTCACATTCATTTTAACTAATTAAAAATGAATCCTATTCATCCTGTCAAAACAAAGCTTAAAGCTTGACCATGTTAGTAACCATTTTTACTTCTATCTATCTTTGACCATCTGTTATCTCTCTAAGTTAGCATATTCAGGTGCATGTAAAATCTTTTTCACAGTGACTATTTACCACATGCAAAATAAAAAAGTTCTTGTTAGCAGCAAATGCACCCTAACTTTCAAATGTTTTTTAGGTGTCAGTCGCCGGTATAAAATTATTGGTTGTGTTTTTTATCCTTCCAAATGTATGTTTTTGGCTGTGCTAGATTTCTTCTACAAAGTAGGCATGCTACCATAACTGAAGCACAGATGTACCATAACACTTTCTAATACCTTTCCTTCAACGACAACATGACTGAATATCGTTATACACTGAAGGTTTTATATGACAGCCAACAAAGTAAGTTATTCATAAGACAAAAAAGTTAAAGTTACTGTTTAATCAGTTCATCTGTTTCAACCTGAAGGTGATCTTGGCCAACGTGCAGTCGATGCGGAGGACATTGGAGGAGATGGAGAGATGCAAAGAAGAGCTTCACCTCCCTCAGGGAGCACAGGAGGGCCTGCTGGTCGTCTCCAGAGCCAGACTGCTCCTGCAGCCACTCGAAGAGCTGGAGCAACTCACCCAGCAACAAACCACCCTGCTGGAGGTACAGCATGAAGTCTGAATACCAGTGCAAATAGAAAAACAGATTTTTGTTATTTTAGAAGAGTAGGGAGGTTCAACAAAATGAATTTTATAAATGCTTACAGTTCTTTTTCTGGTATGACTTCACATTGAACTGAATTGAAGAAAGCAACCAAGCAACAGGGTAGCAATGATAGTAACAGGGAACTAAAGCCAAAGTATGTGTCTTTATATAATTTTTTTTTTTTTTTTTTACAATGCACACTCAAGATTGTTCTGTATCTTTTATTAGTGCAGCCATTGTGCTGACCTTCTCCACCTTTGGTAGCACAAACATATGCACAATATTCTGTAGTAAAACCTTGAATATGTTTTTCATCAACTTTTGTAAACTTTTTTTCACATCTGCTTTTCCGTTTCTGTCTATTTCTCTTGTCTCTTTGACTAACCTAGAACAAGATTAGGGAGGAGGATCCTGGCATCACCACAGTAGACAGATCACCACAAAGTCACTCAGTCCAGGTAATAATCACAATAATGATAAGGTAAAATTCATCATCAGCTAAATAAGTAACACTAGTGTGATTGTACGTGTTTGAATGATCTTTTAATCTTATACCAATTAATCTTGTCTTCTTTAATCATTTTATGCTGACAATTTGTCCACCACTGTTTTGGGATATAAACGTGACAGTCACCAAGTCCAGGATTTCCACTGGTTTCCAAATTTTGAAAGGTGTATTTTAAAAAAGGGAATTAAAGTAAAAATGCTGAACTCTTAAAGAGAGTCAACCTTGGTGACTATAATTTATTTCCACTGCTATCTGGAATTGGTTGAACCTGCCTGGTACAGTCCTTTTCCAAGAAAACATCACCCTAAAACATGCAGTGTCCATTCTAATGGGCTGTGAGGAAGGCTCAAGCATATTGTTGTTGTTTTTTGGGGGAATTATTCTATTATTGCCCTACTGTAGGGCAGACTGGCAAACTGCATATTATAAGCTTTGCATGCAGAGATCAGATTAGATCAGTAAGCTTTTGGATGTCTGTGGTATCACCTTCTGATTACTTTAAGACTGCACACATAAATTAAAATAAACTGTTTCCGGTGTAAGAATGTATTTATTATGAATATCCCCAAAAAATTAACAATCCTTTCAAGCAAATACGTGTTTACTAAATTAACATGAAATCCTCCATGACTACTTAGTCAAGCTTTTTTCTAGTCTCTGTATAGTTTTTAAAGAGTGAAATTATTTAATAAAAAGTACTTCAAGTCACATTTGTCAGGTTCCACATAAAAGATGACAGATGGTAATTTCTCCTCACTGATTTTGCTTAAACATTACACAAAGGAAAAGTTGTATTTAAGATAATTTAGGAACGAGGAGTCAATAGAAAGATTTGCTTTTCCGTATTCCTTTTTAAATTACACTTTTGATCATATCATTCACCCTTATCACTAAAAGCAGGAGGCTTTTCAGGTGTCTAATTCAGAGGAAGAGGAGGATGAGGAATATGAGAGTTGTGACTCGTCGTCCTCTGACACACTAACATGCAGTATTCCAGAGGTAAATCTGAAAAATAATTACAGCTCGAGGAGAGCATGCTTCTGGGTACCTCCTTTTTACTTTGGGTTTCATTCCAAAATGTCACATTAAATAGTGTTAAAAACTATTCAGTCATTAAAACTTTATTATTGAAAATGTAATGTATGTAAATCCTCAATACATTTAGCACATGGCAAAGAATTTGGAAATTACACATACTGATTCTCTGAGATTTGGAGTGAAACTCAACATTTCTTGGGCTCTTCTCATACTTTTCCTCCTTTTTTATCTATTTTTTTGATTCAACTAATAATTTTCAACATTAATATTGGCACTTTTTTCTGTGTTGTGGAAGATTTTCGCAGATTCTTGCATGTTTGTATGAAGCTGTGTCAGACAGGCTGTGCTATTACCTGATGAATCTACTCTGGCACTGTCAGAAGCAGCTGCTTGAAATATGTTGCTTCTCAGAAACCTGTCCTTTCTCTCTCACACTCACACACACACACACACACACACACACACACACACACACACACACACACACACACACACACACACACAATGAGAATGCCGTGTGTGTGCGAGAGTGCATGGATTCAATTTGCATTTGTGTATTTATACGATTCATGTGTTAGGACCCAGAAGAGACACTCAACGTATCAGATGTGCAGAGTGAGGATATTGCTGACATTAAGCCACTATCAGAATTTAAGGTAAATTATATTCTTAATTTCAGAGTTTGGACTTGTTTAATGAGCACTTTGGACATTTAGCACATTTGTTTTGAATCTTTAACTATTCAGATAAATTAATATGGCAGTAAAATTGTGAGTTTTTTTTTAATTCAAAGAAGTGTCTGTCCTGGTCTTTATTCACTGACTCCTACAAAGATGAATAATTTTCAGTAAAATCTTAATTGTCTTCCAGGCTGTTCAGAGTTTGGCTGGTCAGTTTCCCTCTAAAGTGGAGATGAGCTCAAAAGGTGTGGAAACTGAACTTTTATCTGTGAAGCCTGGGTTTGACACTAAAGGATCAGAAATTGTTGAAACTGTATTAATAACATTGGATTCCGATGTTGGAAAAGCATTTAGTCCTGAAACTGCGACGTCTCAGTCACCTCTTGCTGCAGCTGAAGACGAGCTCGCTGCTGCTGCTGCTGCTGCTACACTGGACCGACATAGGTCACCTAAACATGAAAGCCTTGTCACTTCCCCTCATACTAAGTCCCTTCAGGCAGCAGCTGCAGTGGAAGACACAAGACTGATTCCTACAAGACCTATAACTCCGTTCACTGCCACAAGAGCATCAGATAAGTTTATAGAGGGAGACAAAGATCTGTCTTTGTCCACAGCTCCACCTCAAGATGTGGTAAGTATCTGAGAAAGAAAAGAAATATCTTTTTTTTTTTTTTAAGTTGAACAAATTAAATTAAAACCTTGAACATGAATTATGTACAATGTGATGTTTCTCATGTTACTTTTAAATTTGACATAATAGAAACAACAATACAATACAATAATGTCGCAAATCATTTTTTGGTTTTCCTTTTGTTTCTCTTCAATGTCCGGGTTCATCTTAAGTTGTTAAAGGAGCAAAGGGAAGTCAGCACCAGTCAGAGCACTTTAGTGGACGAATCCCAACAAGCCCAGGAGTTGTCTGAGGTGCCGATCAGGTAAAACAGTGCCAGTCATAGGAACTGGTGACTAACTCACATGCATGTAGCGTACCATAGACTGAGGCTTATTGTGTCTTTGGTCCCTAGCTTGGCTACACACAAAGAAGATGACGAGGAGCAGCTAAGGTGGAGTCAACTTTATACCCAGATCTCACAAAAACTGACGACTTTGAAAAAAGTTAAGGAGGAGCATCAAACCCTGATCAACTCAGAAGATGAAGGGACCCATGAAAAGGTAAGAAAATACCTAAAAAATAGTTGCATTTTTTCTGACTTTAGGATGATGTAGAAAAAAGTTGAGCATTGGATGAGACATGATGAGCGGTGAGTTGTGACCACAATAGAGAGAAGCAAATTCATTTCTAAGATGGATGCTAGACTATCAACTCCACCATCTGTTTCTAGGGCAACGGTAGGCAAAACCTTTGGTAAGCAGGTAACCTTGAACATTTTTTTAAAATGTATTTGTTGGAACATTTATGTAAGTGATAAAGCAATCACTGAAATATTTTGATGCACGTGGAGGAAAATTATGGTCCTTTATGTCAGTAAAATTACAAGGGAAGATGTGAGTTTGTGCAAGTTGAACTCTGTCCGATTATTCCTTGTTCCTTCACTCACTGTGAAACTTAAACTACTAGTTTCTGGTTTTGTTTAGGTTCCAGAAAGGGAGCTGATATCCACCGGATCTGCTTCTGCTGTTATTCAGCAGACACATGAGTCCATCGCCATGCTGAGACAAATAGTACGTACAATAGTGACACAGGTTAAATCTTTGCATAGTTTACATACAGTATGTGTTCTTAATCTAAAGGACTTGTTGGTTGACGCACAGATTATTTACTATTTTACATAATACACTGTGTTTTTGATAAACTGTCCCACATATGATCAGCCAACATGGATCTCTGTAGCTTAAAAAGGTATTCTAAATAAATGCTTTGATGGTAGTCTCGCTCACAGCAAACGTCTAAAACTAAATGGTTATATTGCTTATAGTTGCCCAAAACTTGCAAGTTGCAAGCTAGAAACCATATTTAGAAGATCTGATTTGTTTAATCATATTTATCAAATATTTCAGTTTTTCATCTATCATTTAAGTAGCAAAGTGGAGGAACACAGTGTCATTACTCCCATTATACTAAATGCATAAAGTCAATTTCAATGAATCAAGAACTACAATGGGAGAAATTTCTTTGCCATGACAATCATTGCATTAAGTGATATTGATCACTGTGCATTTGGTTATTTCCCAGGTCACCTCTGTAGACTGTTCACATTCAGGTGTGAATCAGGAGTTGTACATGGCGATACGGAGGGTCCTCCTCTGTCTGGATGCTTTGACAGACCTTCTTTTGACTCCTAGTATCACTGGTGAAGATGATCCCCAGCTGAGGCTGCTACAGCAGGAGGTGACTGACCATTATGCTACTCAAGCGTGCACACACAAACACACACACACACACACACACACACACACACACACACAGTATAACCTACATAACTGCACATTTTGGTAGTTCTGTATTATGTAAAGTCAACTGCATTTAAAAAATTTGTGTTTCTGACTTTATTCCTGCGTAGTGTGTGTCGACTGAGCTGGTGACTCTGGCTGAGCTGTTGAGTAAAGTGGAGTCAGAGACCAGACCTAAGCTCTCAAGGGAAGAACCAGAAGCTCTCCACTGTTTGACCTCCCTTCAGGATTGTCTACACACGGTTCAGATGGTCTTTACCTCATCCCAGAATCTGCTCATTGAACATCCGGGCATCAAATACCACCATCAGGTCTGAAATACAAATCTGTGACAGAGTTCGATATATTCCAGGAATAAATGTAATTTCTTATCCGTAACCAAATCAACCAACTTTTAGTTAGTGATTTTTATGCTGTACCATACTTAATTACAAATTTGAGGTACTTGTACTTTTTATTTCCATTTTATGCCTCTTCTTATGCCACTACATTTCAGAGAGAAATAATATAGTTTTTACTCAACTATATGACAGAGATGCAGTTACTATTTAGTTTGTAGATTTCACCTACAAAACATACAATCAGTTAATGAAATATGAGGCATTTTTATAGGTTAAACCTAACCGCATAGAAAGACATTAAAATGAGCTCCCTCTTGACCAGCCGTTAATTAAATGCTGCTTGTCATGTAAATGCATCAGTAACAAATATCCAATAATACATTGTAATGTAAAACTGACAGGAGCTATTCTGTTGCCCAATAAAATAAACAATATTATTTATTTTTTAAAAGTAAATTTTGGGGATAATAAATTTGAGTATAATTTTAAATGTAGGATCTTTACTTGTAAAAGAGCATTTTTACTTTGTGGGATTCCTACTGAATGCATATTTTTTGTAACATTTTGTCACACAGGAGCTCTCCTCCAACCAGCTGTGTATTTTGGACGAGTTTGAACTGAGTCAAAGTGAGATGTTTCCTAGCGTAAAGGATGCTCCCAGTTTGGAGGTAACCAGTGCTTTTCATGAGCTCTCATGACGAGAATATTATATGAAGAAGGCCTAATTGGAAAGCTGTTATCAAAGAGCAGAAATTTCAACCATTAAAGGCCATAATAGCAGAATTATAGGCCAACATTTCTGTTTTCCTAAGATAAGAGAAAAAAACATATTACTAGATCCTTACAGTACAAGCCCTTCCACTATCTTGTTTGTGGTGCTAAACGGAAGTCATATAAGTTCCAATGTTGAATACCCAAAGGCAGAAAGGTAGCGCACACACAGATTTTAAGGCCAAAGTGGACTAATCACAATTTTACCAATTTATTCTGTTTTTGTTTCTGTTTACAAAACATGCTAACTAAAATATGGCTTGGACTTTAATCTACAAGTCACAATTACAGACTTATATCAAAGTAAGAGTGATGCAGTATATGTGTTTCAAAAGTAAATAGTATTTTCCTTAAACTTTGTGCTTTTCCTGCATCTCTCAGCAGTGTGTGCTGGGCAGACATCTGAGGGAGAGTCCAGGGGAAAAAGCCAAGCTACAGCAAGCTTCCCGGTCCTTGCTTCAGGGGATAACTCGCCTCCTGGAACTGGGTGAAGAATGCATAACAGAAGGGCAGATGAGCCAGGTTCACAGCCACAGCAGACTTCAAGCTGTTCTCTGCAGACACAAGGTATATCACTGTGCTTTCGACAAGTTATTCAACAGGCAGGAAAACACACAGATTTAAGCTAGACGCTTTCCCAAGAGTGTGTAGAAGCCTCTTAATGGTTTTCAAAGAGATGCCCAGACTCAAACAACTAATGATTAGACTTTTGGACTATTCTTTGTGTGGTTCCTTTGTGTACTGCTGCTGTGACATGCAAATTTCCCCTTCAGAGATAAATACAGTATTTATCCAACTACGAAGATATTTAGACCACAGTCACATTCCTTTTCTTTCCTAATTTATCAGGCCTACTTTGCAATTATTAATTCTGCACTTCTGTCATAAATCTGGTCTCTCTGTGATCCAGAAGCTCCGGCAGGTCCTAAGCTCTCAGATGGCTTTTGTGCAGCATCTGTTCCAACGTGAGCCAGAAGCACTGAAGTGTCAGGAGGATGAGCGGGTACAGCTGGAAGTTAGAGCCAAAGCTCTACAGCAACAGGCTCTGGAACAGGAAGTTGCTTCTCAAAGGAAGATCCAGGTTTGTAGTGCACGTTTGCTGAGGGCCATATGAATTCATACATAAATATAAGTGAATATTCTTGTGGAGTCAGAAGATTTCTTATATTGGTTGTTTGTGCTGACAAATCAAATTTGATGAGTGGTTTTATGGTTTGACCTGCACCAGGAGTGGACCCTATGGGAGGATAATTGTGGTCGACTAGGAAGGCTGCTGGATGATCTTGAAGCCTTCATCGGCAGTGGGGAACCAGAGGGAGACGACGAGAAGTTAGCACAGCACTGGCAAGATGCCTGCCAGGTAAACCTACTGCTTACAAACATACTGAATTTGTTTGTTTGTCATGGTTTGAGTTTCTTTTTTTACTCATCTCCTCAGCTTTAAGTACCTCCTATAATCCTGTACATATTCCCTCTCAGGTTTGCCTTTCTGCTATCTCATCCCTACAGTAATACTGTATGTGTTGCAATATCAAGTTCCCTTTGCTTGAGTTTGTACATCACTTGCCTCCTGATTTATTTTGAGGAACTGACAAATTTGATCTGAATTTTTTAGTTACAACTAAATGACCAAACACTGAAACATCTCAGTCCTCAGTTTTGGACAGTTATCTTACCTTCAAACACAAAGTGGATTTCTTCCTAGAAAGAATAAAAAGAATAATTGGGTGTATGCTGCCTCAACAAGTAATAAAACTGAGGACCACACTGGTGGGTACATTAGTGGTTGTGGCCCGGTCATGAATCTTACAATGATCTTATTCACCTTTTGTTTAAAATTTAAATGTCTCTGTCACCTCCAGACCTCACCTCCTGATGTTCTTGTAGACTACTTTCTTTTAAACTCATTTTTCAACTCAACTCTCTTTTTCCATTGATCATATTTATAGTTTCCTCTGTAATTTCACCTTTTTGCCATCGTCTGCCATTTTTACTACACTTTATATTTCCACATACTCTTTAACGCACTATTTTCTATACTTTACAACACAGTTAGTCCACATGGTCCCATCAAACAAAATTTCAGGAATTGCCTTGTCAAGAGATTATTCTCCTTTTCACACAGCAAACATTGGTGCAGCTGGATGAGAGCAGAGCTGTTTTAGGACTGCTCCTGGATCAGGGGAAGGTGCTGCAGACAGAGCCAGGGTGTGCTGCCACAGTCAGTCATGCAGGAGGTGCCCTGGAGCTGCGATGGCAGAGCGCCTACAGACGGACAGAGCAGGAGATTAAACACTGCAGAGATATCCACGACAGCCGGGCCAGGTGAAACAGGCTCTAAAATACCAACTTCCAACTTCCAACTTACGTTAAAAAGTTGAATACTTCTATCAATGTAGGCTAGGCAGTTTTAATTATTTCCTTATCAGTCTGAAGTAAAAATATCGTATTGCTGATTACTCGAAATCCAGAGCTTTGAAAAACAATATAAGCACAGCAACTTGGCATCTAGGCAAGGTCAACTCATGGGGTCCCAAGTCATACTATATGTCTTTATTTGGGGTTTGCAATGTGATTTGACATGTACCTATGTTAAAATATACAGTCATATTTTTATGGGTCTAGTATGACCTGGAAACCTTCTCTGATTATGTGAAGTATATATTATTATAACACGTTGGAGATATGCCTACAGTAGACTTTAGTTATATCAAAGGATAATATATAACTCCTAATTCATTTAGCTTTAAAATGTGCCACCCGAAAAACACAATTTGCATCAACAAATAAGCAATCTGTTGTTCACACACTCCAGTGTACATCCATGACAAATGGTGCCAACCATTTACAGTTTTGTTTAGCAGTATTGGACCCATGCTATGACCCAAGGACCATGTTCTGCCGCCTTGGATGAGCTATCTGTGTCTCTCATCCTCCCTACAGATTCCAGACCGACTTTGCCTCAGTCAGTGAATGGCTGGTTGGTGCCAGAAAACACCAGAAGACTTGGTCAAACCTGGCAGACACCTCTGACCTGAACCAGGAGTGCATTCACAACCATCTGATCAAGCTGCTGGTAAGGCTTTCTTGTCTACTCAGTACATTTGTCAATCCTGGTGGTTTGAAACACAATTTTGAAACAAAGTAGCTTGTTAGGTCTGTAGTACAGTATGTATCCCCAAATAACTGTATTAAATGTCTGCATGCATTTCACATTTCTGACATTTGGTCCCAGAATAGAATAAAGAAAGTTGCTATATGAGCAGCCACCATGACAGAATAGGTCCCTAAAGTGCCCCACCTACACTAACTCAATCTTCATTGGCATAAAATCAAAGAAAAATGACTTCACAATACTTGGCACACTGTGAACTCTCTCTGTTAGTGACAGTTCAGGATGTAAGAGATAATTAAACACATTTATTATGGACTACCAGCTGCTAAATGTAGCTAAGACAAGCACGGGTTGATTGTGAAATTAGAACTCATTCAACACTTTAAAATGCATCAATTACACATGATAGACATGGTTTCTGACACTGGTTCTACCCACATCCCCCCAGGACTTCTCCATGGAGACAGAAGCGATGTCGGTGCAGAGGGCGTCTGTATCCAGGGAAGCCTCTAAGCTGCTCCACCTGAGAGAAGCTGATTGTCCCGGGCTGAGGGCTCAGCTCGCCCAGCTGGAGGTCAACTGGAGCCAGCTGACCTCTGACCTGTCCACGATACAAGACCGGCTGCAGCAGGTACAGTATTCACAGAGAGTTTCTGCTGGAGAAAAAGTTTCAAATATAAGTCAGTTACACCATAAGATGAATAGTTACACTGTGGTATTATCGTCTTAAATAAATTATGTCACAATGATCACTTAGGATCTCTTCCTGATAGCTCCTTTTTGCCAAAGAGTGGATCAAATGTCTTGTAAACTTTTAACACTACAGTTTTCCAGTCCTCCAATGAATTAAAATCTAATGGTCCAAATTCCATGGAAGTGCTGTTTGTTTTCAAAAATAATTAGGCACTAAAAAAATCCCCTCCAGTCAAAGGGAGTGTAAACCCTGTTGAAATCACATTCGGGGTGATTTAGGACAGGAAATTTGGGAGGACTTAAAAAGGAGGTGAAGGACATTTTTTAATATTTCCTCACCATTTATCACCAGTGAATTGAACCAGATATTCTCCATTATAATAATTACTCCAGTCCTCCCAGGTTTCCTTTTGATGTCTTACACGTTGGCAATCACCTCAGGAGAAGATAAAGAAATCTTATCTACCAAAAAAAAAGAAATAATTTGGACAGGCACAGAAGTCAGTTTGTCATAGGCTGACATTTACTGTATGACTACATACCTGGATCAATTAAATAAATAACAGCAAAATTAGAAATGGAAAGTATTAGTATAAAGTTAAAATCCCTTTCTTTTCTGTTGTCTTGCTGCTGTTAGCGGCTGTTGGTAGTATGGCCACCGGTCCCGCTGCTGTCTGACCTGGAGGACTGGCTGAAGAAGCTGGAGGCTCGGCTGAGTCTGGAGAAAGAAACAGTCCTCAAGGCTAGAGATGCTGCTCAGATCACTGAAATCCTGCAGCACTACCAGGTACCCATACCTCCACTTTTTCTGTGCATCTCTTTCAAGAGTGATTCTATTTGAGCGGTTATTTCAGTGTCAGCGCTTCTATTTTAAACTTTGCCCAGTTAGTACATTTAGAGAAATTAGCTTGACATTCATTGACATGTGTTCATCCTTAAAATGTTTTACATAATTTCTTTATCTCTGAGAGAAACTAGTAAAAATGTTTACAGTTTCACATTCATAATTAATTTACTTTGAAAGGCAAAGCTTGTCACTGCAATAAAAGCACTACTAATGAGATAAGAACTACAGTATGGAAATGTGTGAAATATTCATGTTACACTGGAGATATGTTTCTGGTCAGACAACTAAAATAGAAAAAAAATGTAAATCAAGCTGCCTCCATAATATAAGAAGTGGATGACACAAATATGCAGATATAGAGAAAAACAAACTAGCAACCTCCTCTGTTATTTTTTACTTTATATGAGTGTTTGTATTGATTTCTGTCTTTGTAATGTTCTTTCTCAGGAGCTAAAGGCAGGTATGGTCAATGGGCAGCTCCTTCTTGATTTCCTGTGTCAATCAGGACCTCGGGTGGTGGGAGTGGACGTCCAGGCTCTCCGCTATGAACACACAATGTTTGCAGAAAAACTTGGCGCCCTCAAACTGCAGTGGCTGGAACTTCAGAGAGAGCTGGAGAGCCAGGTCTGTTCTTCAGCTACTAATATACAGTATAACACTAGAGCCTGTAGAATCTGACATTAGATCACCTAACTGTAACCTTGTCTTTCTTATTTCCTGGTCTGCTGTTCTTATTTAAACTAGGTTGGGCTAGTTAATGGTTTATGTAACTACTGGAGCCCATTAGTCAAACCGTAAACGTTTAATTTAAGCTTGTACAGTTTAAGTCTCCAAATGGATTTAACTTTTCATTGACTATTTTTATTTCTACACATAAATCACTGTTTGGTCTTTGTCCCTTCAGATTTGTGAAGCTGAACAGATGCATCACACTTGCGCCAACAGAGAGAGGCGGTTACAGCGTCTTCACAGCTCGATAGAACAGCAGAAAAAGCAGCTGAATCAGAGGAAACGGCCCACCAGTCAAACTCTGGCTCATAAGGCTCTGCTGGAGTTGGAGGTACGGTAACAGGATGTAAGCAGGTGTATGTTTGAATGGTCTCTCTTGCTGTTGCCCTCTGATCTGAGACTGCTCTGGTTTTCTTCCAGACTGTTGTGGGCAGACTGAAGGAGGTGGCTGCAGCTTTACAGGAGTTGAAAGCCACACAGGTGCATCTTGAAAAGAAAGATCACCCCAGTGATATCTCCTTTTCTGCCCAGACAGAGAGGGTTTGTCATGCTTGTGGGGATCTGAGTCAACAGGTAAAAATACATCTGTTATGACAATCAGACATGGAAAAATGTGTTTGAAGAAGGTGAATTAAAGTTATTTAACAAGATATTAAAGATGCCTTTTCAGATTAACTACAAACATGGCTCCTTCTTAAATTGTGAAAAACCAGAAGGGTCCGCTTGTCTCTGTATTAGCAAACTCATCATCCTCGTCTTTGTGCTAATTTGTGCTAATGCAGATGGAAGCTCTGAGACCAGCGCTGCAGCAGGCTGTGGAGGAGTGGAGATGTTTTGAGAGAGATCTGAGGGAGGTTTCGCTGCTCACCACTAGGGTGTGCTGTGCTCTGCAGCATCAGCCTCTGTTCTCACTAAAGCAGGCAGAAGGATACATGGACCTGCTCCAGGTGAGCAAATGCTTTAACCATCCAATCAAGAAATAATCATATGCTATATTTTATCATAATGAGCACCACAGTAATTCATGACTGTTAACCTACAATTTAGAAAAGCCAAGAAGTTACTCTAAAACAACAAGTTGTTGTGACTGAAAGTGAAATTCCCTTTTATTTATTTGTTTAGATTCTCTAAAGGTGTGGGCGTTAATGGATGTCAAGCCCTTAGCTCGTCATTATACTAGGTTTTGAGGTAAATAAATGCTCCTCTGAAGTGAAAATGTAAAAGGTGTTTTTCATTCACAGCTACTCCAGGATAAGGCCGGAAAAGGGGAAGAGCTTTGGTCATCCGTGGACAAATCCTATCAGAATCTTGTGAAGACAGTCCATCATGGAACAGCTCAGGCACTGGTTGATCAAATGGACGGAGAGCGAAAACGGTCAGTGGTTAGCCGGGAATTAAGAAAACAGAATGGATCAGTTCACGACTTGACATAAAATCTCCCAATTTGGTAATTTAGATTTAGAAAAAAGTATCCTTATTTTTAAACTTAATGAAAAACATACAAAATCTCCAAATGCTAAAAACAAGGCTGTTTGCTAAGCTCATTAAAATACATACAAATACATACAGGAGATACATTATTTTCAGAAGATAGCAATGAAATATGAATATGTTTCCATGTATACATGATATTTATTGTATACATGAATTTTTTTATCAAATGTTAGTAAAGTCATTTTACTACAACTTAATCAGTATGCACACAAACATAGAGTTATGTAGAGTTATATAGTTCTAATGTATTGTGTTTGTGTCAGGTGGAAGAATATGGTGCAGCAGTTAAAGGATGAGCGCATGAAGACTAGAGAGACACTTTCTCTCTGGCAGGAGTACACTCGCCTCTCTGATCGATGCTCCATTCACCTGCAAAAACTGTGGCATCAGTGGGAGGAGATTTTGAGATCTTTACCTCCACAGGACACACAGGCCTTGGTGCACTCAGTAGAGGTGAGTTCAAGGTACTTTTAGCAGAGTTTTGAATATGCAGTCTGGTCTAAGTGTGTACATCAAGGTGCAGTGATGTGTACTGAGACATTTTACAGTAAGTTGATTTCTTCTTACTTGTCAAGATAATTTTTATACAACAGATCAAGTGGGAAAGTGCAGCAACTGATGTATCTGAGCAACTGAGGAAGCTTTAATCTTGAAATTTAGCGTTATTGCAGAAACATTTGTAAGTTTGTGGTGTGTATGCTTTCATATTAAGATGAATCTGGTATAACTATAAAAAGTAAGAACTGGCAGTTTAAGTGAAACTAATTTCTGGCATTGTTGAAGGTCACTGAGTGCAGACCTAGTTTGATAACATGCTTATTAGACTGCTTGTTTTTCATACAGTTATGCAATTGTTTCTTTTAGAATTATCAGATTTCCTGCCTGACTCATCCTGAAACCCTGTGCTGATTCAGAGACTGTATGCATTACATTCACAATTTAATTTAATGTTTTTCTTAATGACTGGTTCCTTGGAAAAGAACTGACTGTGTGCACTTATGGGCAGACATATCAGCAATGGTCTGCTATGTGTTCACTCTGATGTTGTACTTACCTTACTACCTGCGTAATCCAGATGCTGAATTACATGTTTTTTTGCACATTGAGGCAAAAACACAAGCTTCATGGCATTTTTTTCCATTTCTACCCTCTTCAAAAGCACACTAAGAGGTATATTTTGGGATACTTGAGTCGGAGCGATTTTATGGAAAACAAGATTTTTGTTTTTTTCAAGAGGGGAAAAAAAGCGGCTGTGATGTTATGATCTTTCATTTTTTTCTGCAATGATGCGTGTTTAGAAAGATGATGGCAAGCAGTCAATACTGAGTCCATTCTCCATTGTTGTCCTCCATCTAACTGGTTGTTCTTTCTCTCACAGCAGTTGCAGGATGCTGCTGAGGATTTGCAAAGCAGTGTGGGAGATGTTCTCGCGGCTTCCAAGCCTCTTATAGGACGGCTAGAACCCACAGCCGCAAATGTAATCCAATCAGAGACTAGACTGCTGTCACGTAATGTCGTCCTGCTGAGCCAGGCAATGTCAGGGAAAAAGAAAAGTCTTCAGGTGAGGAAATGAGTCGAAATATCAACTTAATTTTACAAAAATAACAGAAATATTGGTTTTAAATGTAATTTTTTTCAATAGTTGTAAATCAGACCAACTTTTCTCACAGTTCAAAAATTGGTGAAATATCCTCTGTACAATGACTAATATTAAAAACTATCTTTCATCTTGACATTGAATTGATACAAGTGTGTAATGCATGGAGACCAGTTTCCATGAAGTTTAATGTGAGACTTAATGGTCAAGTTTGACAAATCCAGGTTAATATTAATATCAGTTTTCTGTGTTCAGGAGGATTTGGAGCAACAGAAACTATTTCATACCCAACTGGAGGCCCTCGAAATGCAGACACAGAACATACAGCATAAACTTAAGGCCAGCTTGAGTGACACAGACTATGTGAAGGTTGGTCAGAATTTCTATTTTTATCCATAAATGATCTTTCAAACTGAAGTTGAATTGGAGGAAGAGACGTGAGGACAGACATGATGCACTTGTTTTTAGATTCAGACTGACTTACACTTCTCGAGTATATTATCTCTGATTATCTTCCATCGTGAATAAATCCACTCAGAAAATAATAGGATGGAGTGGGTTAGCGGCAGTTTGCTCATGGACTGAAAATGCGCTGTATGTTTTTTATTTCTTGGATGTGTAGCAGGTTCTCTTGGAGCTCAGTGGTGTGTTTGCATCACTGGTTGACATCAGAGAGATGAGTGGTTATGTGACCCTCAACAACCATGAGACTGAGAGAATGCACATGCTCAGCAGGCAATGGGTTGAAAGCATGACTTATACGTCTGACATGAACAGGTGAGAAATTTCCAAAAGATGAACAAATAAAAATCCAGAGAGTGTACAGTTGTGTTGTATTTTCTTCGTTGTTGCTGCTTGAATTTGCTAAGAAAAAGAGCTGTAACCAATATTTATTTATGGTAGCATTTCAAATCCGTTCTGGCTTTGTGCAGAAAGTCAAAACATCACCTGTTATTTTACAAGATGTGTAAGGCTTTAATAACTTGAAAACTTGTAAGAATTGTCCAATCTTTGTGTGAACTGTAACATTGTAAGGCAATGTGCAGTTTTGTTCCTGACTGCCATTCTAGGGAACAGTCATTTATCGTAACCTTATTTTGAAATGGAATACAGAGGATGTGTGCATTTTGAAAGCTTTCAGTTGTAGTCTAATTTTGTGTCTATTTTTATATTTTTTTCCCCCCAGAAAGCTGCAGGCTGAGCATCAGCGTTCCCAGAGCTTTCAGGAGAAGTGTAAGAACCTGACGTCTATCCAGAAGAAGCTTGAGGAGGAATCAATGTCCATAAAACCTCAAAGTTACTCCACCCTCCAAGAGATGCTGACTGTGCATCAGGTACAATACATTTCTATTCTGGGACATCTTCTGGGACCAATGTCTAAATGCCTTTAGGATTTTGTTTCTAGAACTCAATTCTAGAAGATAATTAATCTTATCACTCTGTTAAGTCTACTTAAAAGTAAAGTTAACCCATCTATTCTCACTTTTAAAGGGAAAAACTTGTGTTAAATTGTTTGTTGATAAATTGTTTGTTGATAAAGGCTTTCCCTCCCCTACATCTGCAGATTAGTCTGATAAACAGCTCATTTGCATACTGCCAATGTGTTACTGTGTGTTGACAAAGAAATATTTGCTAATCAAGTCTTGAAGTAGCTAAAGTCAGCACAAACACTTGTTTAATACTTCACACAGGACGTTAGGAGTGCAATTTGTATAAGTGAATGTTATTTTGAAGTTTGTTGTAAAATCATGCTGGTATTATTGCCAACTAATGAGTCAAATCAGTTAAACTAGAGATTTGATCTGAATCTCATTTTGTTCTTTCTCCTGTTGTTGTTTCCCACTCCCACAGAGGCTTAAGGCTGAAATGAATATTGGACAGCAGGTTCTGCAGGGTCTACTCTGTCATGCAGTTGCATCTATGGAAAAAGAAACAGGAGAGAAAAGGTATGTTTCTTGTAATATTAAGTGGTTTGATACTTTACAACAATCTTTTAAATGTGTAACAAGCTTAATGAGCTTTGGGTTTGAGATTCCAAAATACTGCTTAAACAGCTTCCTCTTACAAGCCCTAATTGTCCCTGGTTCTTCCCTTCATCTATGTCTCCTTTTAGGATAAAATGAAAAGAAGAATGAAGTTAATAAATTCACAAAGGATCATAGCATTCCTCAGATTCAGGAGTATGCTCAGTTCAGCATAGTCCTTGGTTTGATTGCTGTCTGATTCACAGGAACCGCAGGTGTTTTGCACCTTATTGGCACCAAAATCAGACCCATAATTCTAATTTATTAAATAGTTTATGATTGCACATTGAAATATTGAAAGACAAAGAAGCCATATTTTATTGTCAGTTGCGTCAAGGCACAGGCAGTGCTGGAGAAATAATTTATTGTTGCGTCAAGAGGGAACTAATTACCACTAAGCCTTGCAGCTATACCAGCTACTTATAGGCTGCTCTGTGGTGCGCTGTCAACTGACTGCTCACAGATTTGTGTGGGTTTCAGAGTATTTAGTATTTAACAGAAAGAAAAAAAAAACGCAGACAAAAACTAAACCAAAATACTTAAGGAATGTCGGCTATCAGTCATTATCAATCACTGTCTCAACAAAAGGAGTTTAGCATTTTTCCGCTGCACGTCAGCTTTCTTGTGGTAGTGATTTCTTTGTCCATCTCGCCCTCTTTTTGTCTCCAAGGTTCAAGGTTTTTCAACCTCTGCAGGCTCATAATTAGATTAGACCCAACCTTTTGACGTTAAGCAACAAATAGACAGGACTATGACGACAATCATGTGACCATTTGAGTTTTCAGTAGTAGTAGTAAAAAGGGAACCTGAAACTGGATGGTACAGGGGATTCATCATGGTCACAGGAACATGTATCCAAGGAGGGTTGTCATTTGTCAATAATCGTATATCTACCATTTGTGGATTGATGAATGTTTTACTAATCAAATAATTTTTGGTATTTGGAACAAAACCAGCAGGTACCTTACTGGCACCAGCATTTAAAAAATATTTAGCTTTGTTTGGGTGCCATGCAGCAGAGAAGTCTGAGTATTCGCAGCGTTTTAATTTGTAGTCTTGTGCTCTTCACAGACCCTGTCACCTAATAAAGTAATTACATTTGAGATTTTCCGGTCGAATTCCTTTCTTGGCTTGTAAGAATCACACATAGTGGGTGTACGCTGACACACAACAAAATGCGGTGTGTGCAGGTGTTTCCTGCTCTGGAACAGTTAGATGTCTCTTCTTTCCCCAATGCTTCCTTAAATCAATTTTACAGCTTGGAAAACTTTCATTTTGCTCCTTTTAAAAAAAATGCCTTCTCTCACCCCTGCTGGGATTGCTTTTTAAGGCTTTAAGACTGTCTTAAAATCCTGCTGAGTTTGTGTTGATTTAGCAACTGCCTGTGAATGAACTATGACAGACCCATTTGCAATTTTTCTCATTCTACCGTTTTATTTGTATGTATTTTTTTGTCTGTGCTATGCTAAATTCCATTTTACAAAACCCAATATCCCTGTAGAGCTCACAGAACCTTTCCACTCATCCCTCATTTTATATTGAATATATTGCATGTTTTTGGATGGATGTCAACAGGTTTGCCAACAGGTGTCAATAGCCAACAGCAATACCAATGTTTTTCCTCCAAATATAACAAATTTTAACCGCGTGTGTTGTTTCTTGCACAGATCTGAACTGATGGCACAAGTGACCGGTGTGAGGGAGAGCTGGCTCAGCTCTGTAGCTCTGGTTGACCAGTGCAGGTCCTCGACAAAAGAACAACTGAGCCAGTGGAGAGTCTACCATCGTGGCTTGAAGCTGTTGTGGAAGCTGTTGAGAGACGTTGACTCCTTGTTGCCTCCCGCTGGACCTGCTCTGTGCACACTGCATCAGCTACGGAGCTGTGCAGATGACTACCAGGTTAGCATGCATGGGTGCCAGTGAAAGTGCACTTTATTCCTAAAAACTTATTTTGTAGTGGCACAATAGTAAAACGCTAAACACCAAGCACTGTGTCTCCCTGCTTTTTTCCTAGTGTGTTGAGTCTGCACTGGGTCTGCACTCCGCTGTGTACACTCAGACACTGGAGGCTGGCAGACATTTAAGTGAAACCATGACAGAGTCAGAGAGTCAGAGCCGACTGCAGTCAGAGCTCCAGGCCGTACAGGAGGCCTGGGAGCGAACCACCTCATTGCTGGAGAGGAGACGAAACCTGGTCAACACAACTGTTCAGGTAACAGCCAGATTTTCCATCAAAGCCAAAGACTTTTCATTTCATAAAATCTTATATTATATATTGAAATATTTTACAATAAAATCTCTTTTTTAATTATTATACCATTGACAAAATGTATTTACTGGCAAGAAAATCTAGATGTCACAATTTATACAATGTAATCATTCGACTTATTAGGAGCGCCAAAACCTAAAGTATGAAGCTTTTCATAATAAAATAAAATAAAATAAAATAAAAATCAACTAAACATGATAATATGACTAACATGCCTCTGAATTTAACTCATTCAAGGAACATCAGGATACAAATTAATTCGTAAACAATAGCCAAGGGACCTTACTGCCTCAACTGATGGCTGATGATGACCAATCCCGATTTACAAACATTCAGAAATAGTGTTTTGATTGTTAGTTGTCCTTAACAAGCAGCAGAATCCAGTGAAACATATTTTAACTTACAGTTGTAGCTTATCGAGGGCTGACTGACAATATCCACAAGAAGAGCATGTGTGACAGTATTAACAAGAGAGTAAAAGGTGTCAGTTTTGAATGACCCATATCCAGGCCCTGATCCTACCCCAACGCGCACGCACACACACACACACACACACACACACACACACACACACACACACACACACACTCAAACACACACACACTCAAACACACACACACACACACACACACACACACACACACACACACACACACACACACACACACACACAGGACCTAGTGTGTTGCCCTGGCCCAGACATCCCACCAAGAGGGATCGTGAGAAGCTCAAATCTATCCATGATCCACATCCAGAGACGGTCCAGCTGTCCTTTCATTCCATCACTGTTACACTGCATTGTTCATATACCATACAGTAAGGCATGGGCACACACAGAATCTAATAAAATACTATAAGAATAAAGTAAAATACACACACATACAATGTGTAGGACCAAAGCATACCACTCGTTCAGTGTTTTGCCTGGCTGTCAGGCAGAAATGTTGGAGAAATTCTGATTGGTTAATACTTTAATTGACATTGCTGATATTTTAGTTAAATGGTTGCCCCTTTTAACTTCTGACTGATCACGGTTGTGACTGAGAATTACAGATGAGTTGTTCAGCTTCATGCACTGTGTTATATACATCATTTAAATGTTTTGGTGCCAAGGCCCAGTAAGGTCAGGGAAAGTTGTGTTAACCCCTTTAAGCTAAACAGGATCCACCAGCGGAGAGGGAAATCCCTCTGAGCAACATGTCAAAGATCACACAGAGAGTAGCATTAATGCACAAAGTAGAACTGACAGCAAGAGACTAACTTGGTAATCATATAATTGTCATAAAGATGTTGTTGCTTAGGAAGCACACTTCCTTGTCATCTCATCCCTCATGCAAAGGCAACAAAGCCAAAGTCATATTATTTTTTATGATATAACTTTTATTATATGGCATGTAGAAAATCAGGTTACCTCTGCAGTGATTTATGTCCCTATTTCATCTGTTATAATGTAGTGATTTTCACAAATATGTATATATATAAAGGTACTTTGTGGTTAATGTCAATGATAATAACGTGTGAGATATTTGTTAAAATGACTCCTTCCTCTATGTTCTCCTGATTATTTAGAATTGGTCTCAGTGTCAGGATGGGATAACCGGCATCATGTCCGAACTGGATGAGCTGCAAACAAGCCTAAAACAGCCGCTGCCTCAAAGACCGCTGGAGGACGAGAAACACACTGAGGTAAATACAAAACAGTTTTTTGCCATATGGAGAAAACTAGTATTTAGACCTTTCTGTGTGGCAATACATTTCACAAAAATATAATTTAACAGAGAGAGAAAGAGAGAAATTACCACAGCGGCAATAGGACACTAAGAAAACAGTCTCCCAAAACTCTCTGTATTAACAGAGAAGGACACTATTTAGGAGACATTTTCCATAAAAGTCAGATTATCTCTGTGTCCATGCTTTATTTAGAAGAAAAACAGGTAGTGAGGGTTACTGATGTGTTAATGTCTTAATTGCATAACCTGATGTATAATAACAGACTTTCGTTTTGGATGGAAATTCCAGTTATCACACTGAAAATTAGTTATCATTGTACAATGTGTATTACATTAGCATAAAGTTGCTAAATAAGTCCCAGAAGCCGTTGGAAGAAGTCAACTGGTCTAAAAGTTGGCCAAAGTTGTCAAACCCCTGAACTACATCAGTAGCTACCCCCCATCGCATCAGAGCGCCTCTGAGTTTCCCCCCCTTTCCCCTATTTAATACCCCCATGCTTTCACTCCCCTCCCCCTTTCTACCCCCTCTACCCTCCCCCTGTCCCGTCCACAGCCCTTTAATCTGGACAGTCAGAGCGAGAAAGAGGGAGAGAAGCGTGAGCACACAGCTTGTACATGGCCGTCTGAGCGGGTGTTAAAGTGTCCGTGTATATGTGTGTGTTATGCAGGGGACAGAGCTCTCTCTGCAGCGTTTGGCCAGTGGATTGAAGGAATTGGCCACCATGAAGACAGACCTGTCCCAGTACGTCGCGGCCGGTGACTCTGCTCTGCTGGAGCAGCAGCTGGAACAACTCCACGGCCAGTGGGAAGAGCTGTGTATGAAGGTGAGAGCTGACAAAAAAGAAATAGGGGAGAGGGAGAGGCGTAAAAAGAACCAGAGAAAGTGAGAGAGAGTGCAGGTGGAGAGGAACTACTGGGGAGGAGAGAGGGAGAGAAGGAGGGAAAAGAGTTGCTACCAGCGGTGTCTTGGCGGTGACCAGCAGCACAAAGCCTCTGCACCACTGGGACTGAACACACACACACACACACACACACTCACACACACACACACACACACACACACACACACACACACACACACACACACACACACACTCATTTGTGTGTGAAAAGAGCCACCATGTGCAGGTTCATGGAGGGAAAATCACACCAACTTTCCTCCCCGCAGGTCAAATTAATTTGTTTTCTTAACATTTCTACTACAAAAGTGCAGAAACACAAACTCTACTGTTTCAGTTGGATGCATGCTGTAATGGGATGGGATCGTCTGGATTTGGTTGCCTCCAAAGATTTTTCTGCTTGTATCAGCATATAAAGGAAACTGAAGGCTTTTGCACAGCTTTTTAGGTTGTATTTAGCTCCTGACTCAGACTCACTGTGCTATCTGAGCAATCACATGAAACTCTCAGACAGAACAGGCTGTTAATTCTGTAACTGCATTATTGGTGAAAGTAGCTCTACTGTATACACACAAGTTCAAATTCCTACAGTTAAGTCTTTTGGCTTAAAGACAAACACACTCTTGTTCTTGATAAATCAACGGTTATGACATGCTCGCGACATTTTTGTCAGTTATTAGGGTTAGGGGATAATTTGCAGTCATGCTAATTGGATCCCCAGTCAGGCTGGCTGCTGCCACCTGCTCCTGTCTTGGCAGGAGTTACTGGGATTCACAGATGCAACAACAGCAGCAAGTTTGTCCAATCATCAGGTTTTCCGTTGATGTTTGGTGCTATGTATGTAATCGTCTCTTTGTTATCTCTGCAACTATGTTTGCTGCCCATCCTAACCAATTAATTCATCTTAAGTTTGTCCAAAACAAGCCTGAAATATATAATACATTATTTTTTGAAAACCTCTGGATGGTTATTTGAGAAAGTACAAACTAATTTCAGATGTTAAATCACACAAGATTTTTCATCCCTCCCCATTAATTCCTGACATGGCTGGGGGGCATGTATCTGAGCCACAACAGTTTCCTCTGCATAGTTAACAGGTTGTAGGTGGGGGAAGCCACTGGAATGAGTCCGATGAGCAGATGGCCTGGCTGGGCTAAAGGGATTCAGAGGGCAGGCTCTATTGTTCCAGGGGAAGCACAAAGTCCTCACGGGTGACAGCAGCTCACAATGCACCCTAAATTCTCCAGCGTCCAAAAGGCCCAGCAGTGTTTAGTACATTAAAACCAAAGAAGGCCTCATTTAAATCAAATAAATGCCACTGAACAGTAAAATATAGCTGGTTCAAACATGCCCTGTGGGCTCGCTAAGCCCTTTTAACCTCAAAAAGATCATCTGCCCCCTCCTCAGCTATGTAATGGGGTGTTTTCATGCCATTAAGCTGTCATTAGGAAAATGGACCTTGTTAATTTTATCAAACAGCCCCTGAGGGATTTCTTTCAATTCAGTTGATTACTGACTTTGATGGAGATTAAATGCTTATATGTAATACAATAAAACACTTTAGTTACAATTCAGTTAATTTGACTGTTTTTATTCACTCCTGTACCAAGTAATCTGTTATATTGAACAGTTATTTAATACAAAGCTACAAGATTTTGAAAGATTTTTCTTCAGTGATTTGCCAGGTTATGTGTCCTAATGCAAATCTACAAAATGTACTGTTGTGTAGGTCAGATTATCCTGGATACATACCAGGAAGAATCATTAAAAATGACCCTGTTTTCAGACTTGACATTTGTCAAAATCCATGGCATTGCTGTGTTGTTTTTCCCCCGGGCCTGCACATGTTAAACACTTGACCATGGAGTTGTTCTCAGCAACTCTATTTTAAATTTGTCAAAGAAAGCACCTCATTAACCTCGTAACTGGGACACATTTGTTTTGCTGGTGTGAATGTTGTAAGCTCAATGGTTTGTTTGAAAATCATGTTTAGTGCTTGGTGTGGACAAAGTACCATTGTCATTGGTTTGTCCCTGAAAGATTACATCTGGTTACCCTAAAATAGCATGATAATGGCATAAAAAGTTGCTAGTGTTAATATTAAACCAATACTCATCTGATACCTAAATGCTGTCAGTCATCCACAACTTATTCTTTTTCAAACTGCAGCTTAGCTGACGCCACAGGTGTCCTACCACCAGCATGATGGTAGAAATTGGTTTTATCACATGTTCTGTTCCCAGGTATCCTTGCGTAGGCAGGAAATCGCAGACCGCCTCAATGCCTGGACCATCTTCAACGGCAAGAACAAAGAGTTCTGCGATTGGCTGACTCAGATGGAGAACAAGGTGTGCCACAACGGAGATCTGAGCATCGAGGAAATGGTGGAGAAACTAAAGAAGGTATAAGATCTGAGGAATATTAATATCTTCCTATCCAAACATGGCGGAACAGGTGTTTTCATATTGTTTCATGAAACAAGACTGATACTCTCTGATAAGTATTTGACCGTTATGAAATGATTGTTTTTGAGTATATTTGTACAAATATCCACCCAGCACTATATCAGGGTATAACATTGGTTAGAGTGGCATTATTTGTTTAATTAATTTGGATGAAATATGACAGTTCTAGTAGTTCTCTAACTTCAAATATGACTGCTGGATTAGAGTTTACAGTGGAGATATTATCACTCTTGTATGCACATGATAAAACTTTTATATTACATGCACGCTGTAATATATATAACACATTCTGAAATTCTCACAATCAACCCACTTGGACGCCACTTGAGCAGGTTAAAATCCATACATGAGCAACATGCATTATGCCGTTTATAACAGATGGTGGCCTGGAATGTAATGGCTGCGTGCCCTTTGTTTCAGTGACTGAAAGCCTTTTGTACCTTCCTGTCTCATCATGAAGCATGCTCATTTAGTCAGATAGATAATAATTGGTTTGAACATTGCAGGATCATTGTTTATGATTGTTACATGAAATGAGAAAACTAGAGACACACATTATTTGAATAGCTAAAGATGGCACTTCCTGGCGATAAACGACTGCTCGAGGGCGTTGAAACAGGTGTTAGGCAAGCTGAGTGAATGGGACACTGAAAAAGGGAAACTGGGTGTTCACATCCAGTAATATACAGTGGGTAAATCAGGTATTGTACATAATACCACTACTGAAAAATATCCTTATGACTCATTTGTTTTTCAAGAATCCAAAGAGTCTAATTTTAAATATATTTGCTTGCTTTGGACAGATGCAGTTTGTGAGTTTTCCTGCTTTCTCTTTCGCACATGTTGTTTATAAAACAGCCTAATCTGATCATGTCATGTTTCCACAGGACTGCATGGAGGAAATCAACCTGTTCAGTGAGAATAAGAGCCACCTGAAGCAGCTTGGTGAGCAGCTGCTGTTAGCCAGTGACGAGGCCAAGCAGACGCAGGTCCACGGCTCGCTGCTGGAGGTCAACCAGCGCTGGCACAACCTCTTCCACCAGATTGAAGCCAGGTGAGAGCCGTCACAGCTGTCAGAGAAGTGATTTAGGTACACACTTACATGCATGTGTGTGTATTTTGTATCAAGTATATTCCAGAAGACCCAAAAGGTAAGTAAACAACATTGGAAGTTATTAGATAGTGTGTGGTTATCAGCACTTTTCAGAGGCAAATAGTGAAAGGGTTCAATTCAATCAATTAAGTGTAGATTTTTTTATGTAGGTTTGGGTGGATGGTTTTTCCGTTCTGCAGAGTACCACTCATCTAAAATTCCCCCATAATTATCCTTCCGCATGAGCACCTTTCACAGCGAAGCCAAACTAAAAAGCATCATTAAAAACTAAAAGGCTTTAACTACGAGCCTGTAATTAAACAATAGCTCTAATGCGAATCCACCCACCTGCTGTTGTGTCAGTCATGCTCTGCAGCTTTCAGAAATACATGGCTTCTAATGTACAGAGTAGACTGTAGGTTAAGCCCCTGTGATGATCAACTGTTACTGCCCCAGACCCCCCCCTCAGACAGATGGACAATCCTGTGGAAGAGCTGGAGATACAGACTTCACTCTTAAACCCACCCAGCCCCCCTCAGGCTCAGACAGTACCATATGTCCGCATGTCCGCACCGACCCCCCCCCCTTTTCTAGTCTGTCAGCGTGGGATGACATGAGGAAGGGTGGGTTAGTTTGGGATGGGATGGGTCTGTCGGCATGCATTAATCGCTGATTCTCAAAGTGAGGCCCCCCTCAAAGACTCAGGGCAAGAGGTGAAATATTGTAACTGAATTTTTGATGGAGTAGTGTTCTTCAGTCACTCTGGGCTATAGACAATAAGTGGAGTACAAAATGATACTTAAAATTAGAAGATAAAATAAAATGTTACACATAAACAGTAATACTTATAATACTGTGAATGATAATGCTGTAACAACTATTGGACTGAGAATAATACAACTAAGTTCTGCAATAGTTTAAAGTAATGTAAGGAATTATTCCAACTAGGAATGAATTATCTCTGTAGTTTTGTACAGCTTAGATACACAACATAAATGATTAGGACACGACTAAGCAGGCTAGTTTAAGTAGAGTAAAAGTTGATGTGTACAGTCAGGTTACAACAATTAAAGCTACGTTCATAGATTTTCATAGAAAGAACTGTAAAGCACACACGGCGGTGATATTACTGCCCTCTGAGGTGTTTTGCTCACTATCACAGAGTTGCACATCCAGCTGAAACACACACAACATTTTACTCTCTTTTTAGTTCTGGTTTGGGCTCCACCAACTCTGAGAAAATTTTTTTCTTTTGCTTTTCTTCAGAAGTTAGTCGCTCACTTTGTCTTTTTGCCGTTAGGTGCTGGAAAGGGAGCGTACACTGGGTCCATCTCAGCTTCACTTTACTGCAGACAGCTGCCTGTCTAACATACAGTTATAAGTAACACATCTATGTTGTGAATTTGTGGGGTTTCATTTTATTAGCTAAGGTTAGCTAATACGTTCCCACTAAGCGAAAGAGCTGGATGATAACTCCGCTAGCGACCCCTTTAAGGTTGATATAAAAAATGTTATTGGTGCAGCTTTAGATTCTGTCCAGGGATTCTTAAAATGTTAAAATGATTAAGCTGCACATTTTTCCAATTGAATAGTATGTATGCCTGTAAGCATGGTAGCCCTTTATGTGGAAACTGCTACGGTAGAACTTGGGAGCATCCACACAAAGCATATTGCAGTCTTTAGGCCTTTAGTTCACCGGCTAGCAACAACTAATTTGATGCAGTGAATTAACCGAGTTCATAAAATCAGTTTTCTCGAATGGATGTAATCAGTTATAACATTGAAAGTCAAAGTATAAATATCTATTTAAAAGTAGAATGATGGAGTTTAAAAAGAAAATCTGAAGAAGCACACGTACAGTAAATAGAGAATAATTACATCGACAAGAGTAAATGTCAGTTGGAGTTTAGTCTCTGAGTAACTTTGAGACCTCCTGTGGTCAGCTGTACTTTGTTAACTTCATCCTCCAACCATATATCCTCACTTATCCTCCAGCTCTTTTCTGCTCCGTTTTCTCCATCCATTCTGCTCTTGTCCTTTTCCACATCAGGGACCCCTGCCCGGGTTTTTGTGTCTTTGTTGGGCCTCCGCATGAAGCTGCTGGTCTTTGTTAGGCTGTCAGAGGTAGAGAGGGAGTGAAAGAGGGAAACAGACAATTTAGTTGACTAGCATGGTTGTATCTGCAGAGGGGAAGAGTATTTTCTGGACAGAATTTACACTGACTCTATTATGTTTTCATTACACGGCCATAAACGTGAAGCCACATAAACCACACACAAACTTCCATTGACTATATACTGTACGTTATTCCTGAACTTTAACTAGAGCTTGGAATTAAGTGAGTTTTCTTGATCTTGGCTTTGGGTGACCAGGGGAAAAATATGGAGTACAATTAAGTTTAATGAAAATAATTTATGTAGGAGAAAATAAAAGCTGATGCTGTTGTAGTGACCTTTATTTAACTAAAACTCAACTTGGATCCTTTTTAATTAGTTAATTCGCCTATCATTGATAATGGTTGATAAAGAATGTGAGGTGGGAGTCAGGAACTGTTATTGGTTTCTGCCAGAGTTTCAGAACCACAGCCTTAACATAAGCTCCTTTATGACAACTGTTTCTACGTAAAATAGTGTTATTTATTAGCAAAGTTATAACTTATATTAGGAAATATCTGATCAAGTAGAATGACCCACTAGTTGGTACCAATTATTTTCACTGTTTTTTCTTTTGATCAGCATGTAGGCAATACTAATCTTTAAGCCTTGATATTGTTTGAAACTGCTGGATAGTGGCAATGCGATACCAGAGTACCAAGACCAAAACATTACTTCTTTTTGATACCTTGTTTAGAGGAAAAAAATGTTTCTACGAAACCTTTCGGCCATGACTCCGTGAATACCTGCAAAACTGATTCCCATCAACCTCAGCTGTACTTTCTGGAAAAATTAGCAAATGTTAGCACGCTAAAATGCCAAGACTATGAAACTGGTAAATATTCATTGTCACTGTAAGCATGTTAGCATACTGATGTTAGTATTTAGTTCAAAGCACCACTGTGCCTAATTGCAGTCTCAGAGCCATTAAACAAAACATTTTGTTCATTAAACAAAAAAAACCAAGGCTCTCAAATGTTAAAATGTTGTCTTAACACAAGTACAAGAACATGATTTCAATCAGAAGCTGTTTGATCAAAGAGAAGCCGAGCATGAATCTACAATAGCATATAATACTCAGTACCAGGGACGTGTTTTAATTAGTACTCAAAAGTAATCAAAAGTGGAATAAAACTCTCAACCAACCATTAACATAACCTTTTCCAATACTCTACATGAACTTTATTGTGATTCTACTCTGAAATCTAAACGAACCTCTAAAAGAACTAAGAGCCATTCGTTATAACAAATATCCGGATCTCCAGAAGAACAGATCTAAAAGGGCTCTCACACATGCACACACTCAACTTATCTATAGCCGTCCCAATGTCCGGCATCTGTTGGGACCCTTTCATGCATTCTTCAGCCTGCCACTTACACTCACGGCTGTTTTTTAGTGCTTATTATTTTGGTGGAGAGCGTCTCCCTCTCAGCCCCGACAGACCCTGCTGGACCTCGACAGGAGAGGAAGGATCAAATGGGAAATTAACTGAAACTCCCAAATGGGGCACACTTCAGGCTTTTAAGCCTGAGAAGAGAGCTTGTATTGTCCCAAGCGTTGCTATGACACCAGTCAGTGTGGCACTGTGTGTGTGTGTGTGTGTGTGTGTGTGTGTGACCACAAGGGGGTCAGTTGCCATGGTGACTGGGAGTTCTAGTGTAAGATACCTGAGAATGTTGTAGGTCAGTGAATAGCTACTCTTTCTTTCTTTCTTTCTTTCTTTCTTTCTTTCTTTCTTTCTTTCTTTCTTTCTTTCTGTCTGTCTGTCTGTCTGTCTGTCTGTCTGTCTGTCTTTTCTTTCTTTCTTTATTCCTCTTTGTCTTTCTTTCTTTCTTTCTTTCTTTCTTTCTTTCTATTTTTTCAGTTTCTTTGTGTCTCTTTTTTCTTTTTTCTTTCTTTTATTATTGTCTTTTCATTCAGTTTCCTTTCTTTCCGTCTCATTGTTTATTGCTCTTTTTTTTTGTCTTTATTTCCTTGTGTTTTTGTCTGTCGTTCTTGTCTTTGTTATTTTAATCTTTTTTTAATTACATTTATTTGTCAGGGACAAATAACAGTACAAAAACTGTCTCATACAAAGAGAAGATATGCTTTATCCAGTAGAACATTTACCTACAAGCTTTTCTGTTGTCTTTCTATCTTATCATTTTAAATGTGTATAAAATAGAATAAAATAAATATCCCAAAGGCTCGGTGGCCCTGGGGGGTTGGGGTCACAAGATATATTTGCCACAAAAAAAATGTCTTATTTATTTATATATTCCTTTAATATTAGCTTGCTTGTGTTTTATTGTGGATTACTGGCAAATGTATCTTTATTTTATAAAATATATGCTACTCACCTACTTACTGTAGGTGTGTAATAATGTAGATAATGTACTCAAATACATTATCTATACCAGATACAGCCGAGTACACACTCAGTCCTAATAAATAAGTACAGATCTTTGTCATGAGTGCTTATTCGAATATGGATTTCGTAATGTGAACGTTGGATCGTACAGTTCATAAATCTGCGTGTGTGTGTATAGGGTGAAAAAGCTGAAGGAGACTCTGGTGACGGTGCAGCAGCTGGATAAGAACATGAGTAACCTCCGCTCCTGGCTCTCTCGAATGGAGGCCGAGCTGTCCAGACCCATCACCTACAGCGTCTGTCACCACCAGGAGATCCAGAAGAGGCTGGCCGAGCAGCAGGTACACAGAAACACGCACAACCACACATATCAATTCACTTCAGTTCATTTGTAATGCTTATCATTGCTAGGCCCATCCACCGGTGGTTTAAACTTTTGTTTTTGAGGTTACCTCTTTGATTCTTTGTGTTTCACTCTTTCTAGTTGTGTCGTCTCTTTGTCTTTACAGTTACTTTATTGTTTGTAAAGTTACATTTTAATTTTATGTTTTCTTCTCACGCTTGTTTTTCCGGTTCACTGTCACTCCCTCTCACTCTTCGTCTGTCTTTATGATTAATAATTCATATCTGTCCTTTGTTTAATTTTGGGAGTGGTGGTCTCATGCAGTGAGCCCCTGTCGTCTGTCTGTACGTCTGTGGACTGATGTTTAGCATATGGTTTCACTGGTATGGACTGATGCAATGCCTGTCTTCATGTCCGTCAACGTGTCTGTCCAGGAGCTGCAGAGGGACATCGAGCAGCATACGGAGGGCGTAGCGTCAGTACTCAGTCTGTGCGACGTTTTGCTGCGGGATGAAGATGCTGCTGGCGGCACTGAGGCGGAGAGCGACTCCCTGCAGGAGACCAGCCGTAGCCTGGACCAGCGCTGGAGGACCATCTGTGCCATGGCTCTGGACAGGAGGCTCAGGTAGGAACTAAAACACACACACATACACACACTAATACTGTACGGTGTCCTCACATCTTTCACTACAAATAAATCAGTGAGATCAGTGCATACAAGATGTTACACAATAGGAAAACTTAACTTCTTTGGGTTCTTAGTGTACTACTAAAGAAAGAAGTCCACTTATAGGTCAGAAAAGTTGTCATGTGTTATAAAAAAAAAACCCTCCACAGCGGACTGTAACTCCAGTACAATGTCTCCTTGTAGGATCGAGGAGACGTCGAGACTCTGGTGCAAGTTCCTCGATGACTACTCACGGTTTGAGGATTGGCTCAAGATGGCCGAGCGCACCGCTGCCAACCCCAACTCTGCAGACGTCCTTTATACTGTTGCCAAGGAGGAGCTCAAGAAGTTTGAGGTCAGTTGTGAGGTCAGCAGATAGAAGAGGTTTGAAGTAGCTGCGTTCTGTTTGCTTGTTTGTTTCGCAAAATGAAATATTCTCATTTGTCTGTATTAAGTTTGTGAATTGTTGACTTGGCAGAGTTGAAGGGTGTTTGCCTTCTTGCTATTGCACAACCATAACTATAGAAAAACGCTCTTACTTTATTATCATTCAATCTTCTGATTAGTTTTTTCAATGAATCAAGTAATCCTGGTCTATATAAAATGTCTTTTTGTGAAATAGTTTTTTCCCCTAAATCCATGGTTCATCCCATCTTTCCCTGTTCTTTTCAGGGTTTCCAAAGGCAGGTTCATGAGCGGCTGACGCAGCTGGAACTGGTCAATAACCAGTACCGCCGCCTTGTCAGGGAGAACCGCACTGACCGAGCCAGCCAGCTCAAAGCCATGGTCCACGAAGGCAACCGGCGCTGGGACACCCTGCACCGCAGAGTGGCTGCCATCCTCCGCAGACTCAAGGTACAGTACAGGACAGAGAGGGCATGACACTGCAGCGCTGTTAAAAACGCAGAGGAAAATGTATCATCATCACACCCTCCTGTTTATTTTCCTCTTCAACACATTTTAATTGAATTACTTATTGTGTGTCACTTTGTGTTCTACATACATACTGTATCCACATATTTATGTTAGAATGACATTTACTTTATCTCTGAGATCCTGGGTGTAAATCTGGACTGAGACTTTCATTGTCTGCTTCCCTCCTCTTTCTATCAGTCTTATCTTTATATATTTTTGATCTGGTTCATTTAAAGATCTTCAACATAACAGCCAAAGATTTCCAACATGATGCTAAACAAGAAAAAAAAGACACTAAACATTTAACATAAAATCAAACATTAGAACATTAAAACTCAAAATTACATGAGTGCAGTAGACCTGAAAAAGAAAACCCAGAGTAAATGGACACTGGATGGCAATTGTTTGTCCAAAGAATGAACTGTGAAACTCAAGAAACTGCAGGAGGTTTTAGCAAAAGTAGCTTGTTGAGGAGAAATGCATTTGTGGTGGTTTTAAGATGCACCATGAAGTTTTCCCCAGTTTACATTTTTTGTTGCATATCACTACCCATCTCTCTCCCTCCCTACACTTGTGTCATAAAATGCCCCAAAAAGAAAATAATAAATATATGCCTGTCATCTTTTCCTTCACCTTCCTCACAGTATTTTACCAGCCAGAGGGAGGAATTTGAAGGCACCAGAGAGAGCATGCTGGTGTGGCTGACTGAGCTGGACCTGCAGCTCACCAACGTCGAGCACTTTTCAGAGAGCGACGTCCATCACAAGATACAACAGCTCAATGTGAGGACACACTGCAGACACACATACAGACAAGGATCAAACTGAATCACAAAAAAGCTCTGCTCAGTTCATTTTTCTGAACAAATGTGCCTCTTCTTAAGCATTTACGCTTTTCTTAAGGAGAAGTTAAAACCAAAACATCTAATGGAAAATAGATTTCTTTAGTCAGTTCACATTCTGCAGCCTTTAGAAGAACTGTATGTTAAGATTTTTTAGAAGGTTTCTCTTTAAGTATATTTACCGGAGCCCTATTATAGATACTATTAGCAGTTGTGTTTGATTCTCAGCATTATTCTCATTTTCCTGACTCAGTCTCTGTTCATCCTACACATCCAACCCTCTTCCTGCAGAGTTTCCAGAAGGAGATCACCCTGAACACAGAGCGCATTGATGGGCTGATAGTGTTCGGAGAGGATCTGATCCAGAAGAGCTCACCGCAGGATGCAGCGCTAATAGAGGACGAGTTGGAGGAGCTGCACTCCTACTGCCAGGAGGTTTTCAGCAGACTGGTCCGCTTCCACCAGCGCCTCAGCCAGCCCCCGGTGAGCTAGAGCACACACATACACTACATCCATTCTTCCATTCATACCCTAATTTATGCAGTTTTTTTCCAAACAAGCAAATCTAGATTTTTCAATTTATACTGACTTTTATATTGTACACTTGTGATTCATATTTGTACCTGTTCAACTTTATTTTTTTGCCTAAACTTAATCCTTATTCTGGTGCTAACTTGAACTGACTAGCTCACAATGTCAACTAAAATGAGACCTGGGAGGAAAACTGAAATTTGATTTATTGAAAACTATTAATACATTTATTGATTTATTTAAAGTCAAATAAGAAACTTTATCAACAGAATATCCAAGGAAAATATATCACAGTACCAACCTGTTTGATTGGCAAACAGAGTTACAAAGTTCTTAACAGTAAAACAAATAAACAATACAATATGGTGAATAATGTGAGTAACAAAGAGGGTTAGAGCACAAAATAAATATATGAAAATCAATGAAACACTAAAACAATAAGCAGAATACAAAACTGGTTAAAATCTAGGATAATGCTTAATAAAAGTCAGTTTTTAAGAGATGGTACAGATTTTGTTAGTATGGTATCGGTATCTTGAAGGGGACTGTGAGCACTGCTTACATGCAGGCCTCAGTTAAGGGGCACAGACAACCCGAGTGACAGCCCTGATGGACGATCTTGAGCTGTGTGACTAGAAATCATGCAAAGCCTTAAAACCAATGCCAAGTTTCAACGTTAGACCTTTTTCACTGCAGCCATTTTGACATGAAACAGTAGGCTATACACAGATATTACCAATGATACCAATCAATGTTCTGTTCCATTTAGTGTAGCTGAGTCTTTCCAGTGAACCCACATGCACAACAGCTGCACCCTGACTCTGTTTGACTGTTAGTAACACCTGTTTACTGTTTCATGTCAAAATGGCTGCTGTGTAAAAGCTCTAATGGGATCAGATTTCCTAGACTTCGTTAAAAGAGTTTGTGGCAGCATTTTAGATTGAATACTACTTTATTGATCACACATCTGACTGAATACATGTTATATCTTTGCCTCAGATAATCAATGAAGAACCGGAGCTCTCTGGTACCACCTTTTCCTTGGAGTCAAGCTTGGAGCTGATTGGCCGACCGTGGCTGGGGCGGAGCCAAGGAAGCCTCCCGGCCACACCCACCCACCTGCTGGCATCTCCGCTGGAGCGTTCAGGGAGGGAGACGCCGGTGAGCGTGGATTCCCTGCCGCTGGAGTGGGACCACACAGGAGACGTAGGAGGGTCATCGTCACATGAGGATGATGAGGACGAAGAAGATGATGAGGAGGATAGAACTTACTTCAGTGCACTATCTGGTAAATTTACAGTGTCGTATAGATTAATGGTACAGCAAATGTTCACACACTCTCACATTCCCTTGTTTTTATGGCCGTAAGGGTTTTAAATGTCACAAGGTCGTAAAACCGGAATCCTAACGAGTGATGGACCCCACCCACTTCAACTTGCTGGGTTTTGTTCCTTACATGTGACGTTTAAATGGATCCTGCGAACGAGACAAGTACTCAAAGGGAGACTGGAAACACCAGAAAAGAACAGTTTGAGCCCGAGGATATTTAGATCCAGGTTTCTCCAGTGGTAATGCAAGTTAAAGCTCTAAAAATGTTCCTGGCATACTGGAAAAGGATTACTTAAGTTTTGCTGGTAGCCATACCAAAATGAAAGTGATTAACTATGTATGACATCCCATTAAATTAAACGTTTAGGCTTACAATCATAGACATCTATACACCTCTAGTCTGACCCCTCTCTTCTCCCAGAGGTGGAGTTCACTGAGAGCCAGGAGGAATTTGTCGAAGCCCCGGAGGCCCTACGAGCCTCCTCCCTGGGTAGGCAACAGAACATCTTTAACTTCTGCTTAAAAAATAAGCTCACAGCTCTTCATGGTCACATGCGTTTTCAGCAGCTCATGCATCACTGGGATCTTATTGCATGGTGTGCTGTTGCTGCCACTCTGATCCTTCCTGTACGTATGTGTGGTTCGGAAAATCTTTTAATGCCGAAGCAAACATACCTTTTTCTTTCTTTTTCTTTTTTTAAAGGGTTTTCTTTATCTTACAAACTCTGTGGTTTGAATGCTAAATGGTTCATGAGCTGGCTTATGGGTAGGATATAATCACAGGTCAAAATCTCAAATACCGGTCAGTTTTTTCTTATATTTCCCTGAAAAAAAAATTTTTTACACTCGGGTTGATTTTGATTAAAGCTAACTGGACACATGATTGCATAAATTATTGGTGACTGGATACTTTTAATCTGGATGGATCTCTTTCATTTATTTTTCCATAAATAAAGAATTTGTGTTTACCTGTGTCTTTCCCCAACAGACCATTTTATCACCGGCCCTATCTGTTTTGTTGTGTTAATTTCAGCCCCTTCCTTCAGGGCCTTTCATCAACATCCTGTCTTTTATGCCCCTCAAATATATAGTAACCCTAAATGAACAAGACCTTCTTTGAAATGATCAGCCACCTTCACTGGCCACTGAATTATACACGGTGTCTGTGATTAATTGTTTTAATACACAGAACAACAAGAGCTTAATGTTTTTCTTCAACATTGATTGTTCACATTGATTTTACTAAAGTATCAGCTGCAGCTTCCATGCTTTGGGTCTTTGGTGCCACAATCTCTCTCTCCTGCTGCTCAAACTCCTCGTAAAGTTTCGCTACTTGGATCACCATAAATGTTCTTTCAGTGTCTATGCTTCCCCTCAGATCCATTAATTGAGTTGACAATGGTAAATTGTGCCAAATACAAAGCTAATTGTAGCTTGCAAACTGAGACATTTGCTAAATCTTGCCAAACATTCAGAACCAAAAGTTTCTAAGCTGAGAGTCTGGTGGCCTGTATATAATATGTCTTTTTGACCAAATAATATTAATTAATGATGCAGTATACCCTAATTCAAAGTCTGGTAGGTTGGTAAGTTGGTAGGAAACAGAATTAGTTTAAGGGACTTTGCCACATTGTAGCTGAGGACGTTGTGCTTTAATGTCTGTGGTTTAACTTTTTGTTTGTTTGTGTTTCAGTTTCAAGCAGGTCTATGGCTGTACATGAGTCTCCTAGATGGCGATCACAGGGAGATCCAGAAACACAGTCTCTCCGGCTGGACTCAGAGGGCCAAACTGAGGCTCCACCCACCCTCACCAGCACCCCCCTAAAGCAGGGCTATGTACGTTTTAGAAATATCACCCATGATGGCTACACGTAAACCAATACCAGTTAAAAACCGGTGATCTGTCATAGATAAAGTGAACCGAATCTAAACACTTGCGTGTGGATGTTTGCAGCTGGCAGTACTAACAGTATATTTGTTGTGTCTCCAGTTGCATCTCATGTCTCAGTGCAGCGGCAGCATCGAGGACATTAAAAGAGTCTCGCTGATCCTGGATGATGAGGAGCAGCCAGAAGAGCTCGGTCTGACGGGACTGACTGCCTCAGACAAACAGTCAGGTGAGAGACGCTTGGAAAAATAACATGATTAATGTGATGGATTGCACAACGCAAACACTACTACTACTTTACTACTAATCGGGTTAAAAGAATAGAAACGAATGGATGCCTGAAACAGTACAGAAATGCATTTGAAATTCAGAAACACAGCAGTATGGTTTGCAAAATAGTTAGCTGTGAAGTGATTTGTGGTAAATAGGCTGTATGCTTGTTTGTATTTTACATATAATGCCATGAGTCACTAAGTGATAGTTATATAAACCCATAAGCATTAACTCATACTGTGGACAAAGATATTCCAGCTTGTCAGACAGATAAAAAGAGCACCTGAGACACAACACAGTATCAAAAATAAATTATCCAAGTGGAAGGCCATGCAACGGTAACACACTAAAGATGTTGTGTTTTGGTTTAACTAGCCTCATTTGCTGACGTTCATTTCTGTTTGACAAGCTGTGAGTTTAGCTATCTACATCCACTAGTGCTAATGTCTGTTTGTAAGTATTTATTACTGGTGAGTTTCTCATTGCACTTTGTGATAAAAACTAAAACTAAATCCACCATCAGTAAATGTTTGTGCTCTCTCAGGTGTGATTGAGCGCTGGGAGCTGCTCCAGGCTCAGTCCAGGACCGACCAGCACGCCGGCCCTCAGGAGCCTCAACAACTCACGTCTGACCTTGGCAACATCACTTCCTGGTTAGAAAATGTGATCCCGGAGCTGGAGCGCCTCCAGCAGTCCGACCCAGCAGCCAGTATTGAGGACATGGCAGCCAGAGCTAAAGAACTGAAGGTGAAATTTAACACCGAATACAACAGATCTGATGATAAGTATTCAGTATGTTTGTGCTCACTGATTTTCTCTTGCAGGAGATGCAGAAGATGTTTACTCGCTACAAGTCTGTCATGCTGTCTGTGAACCTGCGAGCTCAGGAAGCTCCAGAACTACAGGAGAGAATGGCGGGTATGAATCGAGACTGGAGCCGAGCATGTACAGGCCTCCAGCAGTGGGACACCAGTCTGAGGAAGACGCTGATGCGCTGCCAGGTGAGAAGAAATTCATGAGACTGTTGACTTTTTGTAAAGTGAAAAGTAAAAAATTATCACAGAGGGTGGATTGTTCTTTTGTTCAATCTAAATGTATTTCAAATGAACTGATCTTTATACATTCATTCTTTTCAAAGCTGTTGCAGTGAAGCTGCTGTTTGTATTGAAATACCACAGCTTTTCGACATTAATTTTAATCTGCCCACCATATTTTGTCCATAAACAATGATATATAAGTGTTAACAGGTATTATTGTGAGGTTTCTTTTTTTAGATTCTTTGGACTGAGGCAGGTTAATAATGAAAATACAGCTACTATACGAGCATTTCATCATTATATTATGAATTTACATGACTGCTGTATTAGTAGCTTCAGGGATTTAATCACTATAAATACTTGCATTTTCAAATTCAGATTTCCTCACATTTTTTTAAGGGAGTTTTGCTGAATACAGAGAAAGTTTACACACACTACATGTACTCCACTGTATCTGTTGGACTAATTTACAATTACTGCACACCAAATCAACATATCAATATTTTATGTTTTGGTGTATATTGTACTATATTTGATATTCTATGCTATATTGACATACTATACTAAAATACTACATTTCAATTTATTTTTTATTATTTATTATCCCATACTATATTATATTATACTACTAACTTTACACTGTTGCATTACATAACAGACAAATACAAAGTATAATTACTTATCATGTTACATATTCTGCTGTACGCTATTATAGTAGTTAGTATCATATTACTCTACATAAACTATACTTTGCTGCTACTAATAACACCACTATGTCACTTGTTTGAGATGGTACTGCATTATTAGTTCCCTTGTAACTTTTAGTATAATTGCTCTTGTATAGTTTCTATTTTTATTTGTGCTGCTGCAACTAAGCCAATAAATCTAATTTAAATGTTATCTTAAGAAGAAAGTGTTAGTGCCTGAGGTTATTATCAGGTATAGTAGTATAGTATAGTTGTGTCAAAACTTGCTTAACGTTAAATCATGTAATGCACTGTACTAAAACAGATCAATAGTGTAAGAGTTTCCCTTTACCCTTCTCCATACAGGAGTTTCATGAAACCCTCCATTCTCTGCTGCTGTGGCTGGCCCACGCAGAGAGCAGACGCTATGCAGTGGACATCAGTCACCCAGAGACAGCTGTCAGAGCCCTGCAACAACACCGCCACACGCTCACAGTAAGCAGATATAATCGTGTATTTTAGAGTATCCTGCTGCTAGGACCCACCGTCACCATCTCTAATGTTTGTGGTTTGCAGGATCTGCAGGAGGAGCTGCAGGGCCGGCAGACTCAGCAGGCCTCCCTCCAGGCTCTGTGGTCTCAGCTCCAGCCTGAGGAGGAGGTGGAGGAGAGCAACGAGGCCCGGGAGAAACTCCACGTCACGGGCAGTAAACTGAAGCTGCTGCTGAGGCAGGTGGACCAGGACCTCAGCACCCTGCAACAGCGTTTGGTATTGTGTTTTAAGCATTTTATAGACTTTTAGCATTGTAAAGCAAATTAATTTAAAATAAGATTGTTATTAAAATCTCTTGGTTGACATTTGAATTTAGTGGGTTTTTTTTCTTTTTGCTAAATGCCACTTTATGTATGTTGAAATAAGAGATGGTGTAATGATAACATTTCTTTGTCTTTAATTCAGGATTGTGAATCTGCATCAGAGGTCCAAAGTGCCTCTGCAGATCCTTCTCAGGCCACAAATTCAAAGAAAGGCTCCTCAACTCAAAGGTACGCAGAAAGACGTCAAAATTCTATTAATGTAGTAATATCATTGTCATTTGTAGATGAAAAGTTTTCTTCATTGCTTACAAAAGAGTGCAATTACGTTGTTGACTTGTGTACTTATTCCTAATAGCGTGTATTTTGTATTCCTATAATAAACTTTATCCATGTCCCTTGTGTGACGTACAGAGAGAAGAGGGACTCGTCTCCGCCTCGGTCCTTCTTCTACCGGGCCCTTCGCGCTGCCTTCCCTCTCCACCTCCTCCTACTGTTCCTCCTGCTCCTCCCCTGTCTGATTCCTATGTCGGAGAGCGACCCCAGCTGCACTGGGGCCAACAACTTCGCCCGGTCCTTCTACCCTATGTTACGCTACACAAACGGCCCGCCGCCCACCTGATAGAAACATATTTGGAAATAGAAGAAAGACATTTGACGTTAAGAAACACAAGCCACCTTTGTTATCACACTGAAACCGTCTGACATATAAAGCTGATATGTTAAGCTGATGAAGCGACTGGCTTCTAAAAATAAGTCCAAAGTGCAGAAATTATATTTAAGTGTGTATTTTTTAAGATTTGATCATAGAGAAGATTGTATTTATTCCACGAACAAAACCCACTTGATTGCATTTCAATCAGGAAAATCACTGCATGTGAACAAAAAATGCTGGTGTTTTTAGTTTAATGATGCAAAGGTCTTGATGGCAGTCAACAAATCACTGGAGCCTCTCAAAGAGCTCCCCTAAAGAAGTCATACAGTAGATGTTGTCTTGACATTTGTGGAGTTTTTAAAGCAGCATACAGTACATAGCAGTGGCAGCAAAGAGGCATACAGTAACAGGTAAGAAAGTGAAATATCCCTCAGTCACTGCAGAAGCCAGCAAACATATTCCACTGGATAATAACTGAGAGGTGGAAAACAAGTTAAGATGATGAAATCACAATATTTTATCTTGCTTGAACTTGTGCTAAAAGCTTAATTTGATGGTCTAAACACGTACTGCTATTTTTTTTTGCTCCTGCTTTGGTCCTCGTTGTTATTTTATGTATTGTTAACATTTAATTTTGTCTAACTTGACCCTGAAAACAAAAAGCATGCTTGATCTATTTTTATGTTAGACTGAACTCCTAAAAAGTTTATTTTTTACAACAAAAGACACTGGTTGAATTTGTGAATGTAAAGGCCAACAGTAAAAAATTAAAGCTTTTATACACATAATTGTATATTCATATTGTTTTTTAGATGCTATTTCTTGAGTAGATAGTGAGCAGACATTTCCATGCCTCCCAGTGCACTGTTGAAACACTGTAGATTTAGCAGGATGATGTGTATGTACAGAACGTAATAATATAAGGCTTATTTATAACATCAAATGCTGGATTTATGCTTCTAATTTCCTGGTAGTAAACACTGATTGTCTTAACTCTATTTACTCAAAGCTTTTTTTTCCCATATTGCCTGAAGCCCTGATGATGAACAAATGAATACATGAAGTATGAATTGACAGCAAACTTACAGTATATTCTTTGGTCATTGAAAAGGCCTTTTAAAAACATTCAAATCGTAGAATTACAACCAAAAATCTAAAACCAGAGTTTCTATTTGACAATCAGCTCAGATGATTTAGAGGTGAAATGACCTCTTAAATCCCTAAAAATTATAATTTGTCTATTTTAATCTTTTAAAGAGTCAGATAAGAAGATCGAAAAGTGGAGCTAAAGCTGGGAGGCAATTAGCTCAGTTGAGCTTAAAGACTGGAAGCAGGGGGAAACAGTGAGCCTTGCTCTTTCTACATACCTCAAATCCTCTAAAGCTCAGTGATTAACACATTTCTCATTTGTTTAATCTGAACACGCAGAAATATCAAAACAATTTGTGTCGGCACCTAATTCCCCCCAAAACCACAAATTGCACAAACTTTGGAAAGAGATTCAGGCTAAATGTTTCCCCCCTGCTTCCAGTCTTAATGCTAAGCTAAGCTAATCGCCTCCTGGTTCCAGCTCCACGTTTAGTGCACAGATGTAAGAGTGGTACTGATCATTGAAAAGGCCGTTCACACTACAACTATAACGACGATAGTGGCGAACGATATCGATGGGATCTTTTTCAGAGAGATTTCATGAACTAATGTCCTAAAAATCAACTCAGAAGTAAGAGCATTTTGGGGTTAAAGTTCAAGATTTATTTTTTTTAATCTATCTGGGTTTTGATAAACAAGTAAAGTCATTCTCCCTGTATAATCTGTACAGTATTTTTGCTTTATTTTTATGGTGTAACCAAGAGAGAATGGATAAATCTATAAGCAGACCACAAAATAATAATCATCTGCAGACTGTACTGTAAATGGAAAGTCCAAACTTCTGAAAACCCTGAAGTCTCCTCTGTACTTGATGGTTTGAAAGGTGGACGAACCCACCAGAGATAAATGATGGAGTAACAGGTACATTATGACAATATTCTCTGTGAAAGTAAAGTAAAATCTAAGGACGTATACACCGTGATTGTATAGTTTGCAATGTATGGTGATAAAGAGTTCATGGGGAGGATTTTCATATTCTGCATATTTTTCATTTTCTGCGTCCTTGCAGTGATCCTGATCAGTGAAGCTGCATCACGACTGCACACAACGGCTACTGTAGCGAGGTCTGATACAAAAATAGTTTCAATTTCCTGTCAAGCAAAACTTGACAGGTATGAGTGCAATTTTGTCTTAATAGCAATAGTGGTTATGATTCTTCACACGAAACAAGCGAGATGTCTTTGACAATGAAGCCAGGAATGTACAGTGTCAAAGTAAAGTCTGAGAAGGCTCATACGTCTGAGTGTGTGGTGTACAGCGCCCTCTAGTGGTCAGCAGGTGGTCTGCTGTGAACATCTGGAAACACCCAAAACAACAGAACTCCGTTATTGTCTGTGCTAGTTTCTGAAACATTACTGACCGAACTCAACATTTTTCTGTTTTGATTAAGTTTGTTACAAATAATAATAATAATAATAATAATAATAATAATAATAATAATAATCACATAGTGCTTCAGTCTACTTCCAACCTTGCTTCTGTTCTGATAGCTTTCAGTTCTGAATCCCTCTCCCAATCTATCAGTGGCCTTCATTTTGTCTATATTCTAAGATAAATGGGTATCTACTACTGTACCGAACAGTAAAAAAGGACCACCTTTTTCTGGTGTGCCTAAAATATGGGAGCTGTTGTTGCTAACAAAATAACTCTTATCTCATGGAGCAAAACAGCTGGTGGTTATGTGCCGTGAATACATTTTTACAATTTATGTAAATTGGTATTAAAGGAATTGTCAAACACTATATAGTTCACTCACAAGACTGATAAACGTTCATCTGAACAGTATATATGAGGCTACAGCCAGCAGCCGGTTAGCTTACCTGCAACCCTAAAGCTCATTGATTACAACATTAAAACACTGTACATCTCATTCGTTTAATCTGTACAGAAAATAGTGTAAAAATGTCATGTGGTTTTTGTAAATATTAAACAAACAAGATATAACATGCTAATGGCGTCTTTGAAAAAGCCAGGCTAGCAAGTCTTTATGCTAAGCTAAGCTGACCAGCTGTGGACTCCAGCTACGTATTCACCGTACAGATGTGATCAATCGTCTCATCTAACCCTCGGAACAAGAGCAAATAAAATTATTTATGTCAAATAATTCCTTTAAGATAGAAAAAATACTGTGTTACAATAAGTATTATTTCGAATTAAACCTTAAACCTTTTGTAGGTAAAATGAATGATGGGAAATGTTTTTGTCTCGTTCAGTGAATTAAATACAAATTATGGTAATTCATGTTAATTAAGGAACAGCTACATCAGTAGAAGCTGTATAACAAAATCTATTGTCTGTTCTGTACGTATCATCATATCGTCTATATATATATCTTTTTTTGCGTAACTTTAGTCATTGCACATCTCATTCTCTGTTGGATCAGACATTGATGATGGGAAATCTGTGACTGTATGGACTTAAATGGTTAGAAAAGACATTTATGTATTCTGTCTTTATGCTGTCTATATGTGACATTATTGTCTACGGTCTGTCACAGTTCCCCAAAATGATTACTGTGATGACTGAAACCATACAGTCTTACCTTGGCACATGAAGTCGTTCATTATCTGATATGAAATTCACATATTACATGAACGTTTTGTTCAGTTCTGTGGTGGTGCTACTGGCCAAAGTATGACAGTAATTTCTTCACATTCCTGTTCCACTCTGGCTTTTCAGTACGTGGTGGTAAGGCAATGAATACTGCAAGTTTGGTCTGTCTGCAGAGTAACGTTCTAAAAATGTGTGTGTCACAGCTTTAGTTTCACCAATGAGAGTTCACAGAATGCAGCGCTCTGCAAAACGACGTCTCATCAGTCTTGTGAACTAGTGCAAAGCGGAAAAAAAATTCATTGCATCTGAATTCTGATCCGACTACTGTGGTTCACCTCCACCTCCAGTGCTGCTGCTGGGAGCCCAGGTGTTTGAGGGGCCGTTATCAGAACTCTGTGGCTGAGCAGGAGCTTCCCTCTGGTCCCTGGACTCCTGCTGTGGGGGCCGATGGGGCAGCCGGGAGCCGTGCATGATGTGGGCATCCAACATCTCCAGCAACAGGTCGTACAAAGGAACCATGTTCTTCATTTTCATGCAGTGGAGGTGGTCCATGCCTTTGTTGCTGCACATTTGAAAAGAAAGAAGAAAGTAGAGTAACAAAGGCAGGTTGTTTTTTTGGGGCACAGCAGTGAGCGTAATGACAAAAGTAGTCAAGATGATGAGCACTTATATAATAATCTATTATCTATAATGGTCCATATTTAAAGGACCATTCTATTCAACAATACATAAATACATCAGTTAGTGTGTACAGCATCCTTGGCATTACATGAGGTCCTTTTTACCTGACATGACGGATGTGTGAGAGCAGCATAAGCAGGTGGGCGAGGCGGGTGTACTGTTGGCGGAAGCTAAGGCCGGTTTTGGCGATGGCCCACACCAGAGCGTCCGTTACAGCGTCCAGAAGATGCAGCAGCTTGGAGCGACTCTGCAGCTCCTCGCTGCCCTCTGAGGAGCTGAGGCACATGTCTGGTAACGCACACAGAGAAATGGGAAACAGGTCATTCATGTTTCAATGAAACAGACACATCTAGTTCTAATCAATTGGATCTTTTGCTAATTTTTAAATCTCGTCAATATAGCTGATACCGATCAGTTAATACACGCCTGGATCGGCCCTGAAAAAGATTTATTGAGATCGTATCGGGATGTCCCTAATGTTTCAATATTATCCTGGTTTTCATCGCTTTGCTGTAGGGGGTGATTATGTCTGAGCTGTTTTGTTCTGCGTTCTATATGAAATATATAAATATATTGGCTATTACTCATTCACAAATGTTCAAAACAGACAAAAACAGGCATGGGGAAGATGGAGCAAAACCATGACCCCTGTTTGACTGTGTTAGTGGAGGTAAACAGATATTAATTACTCTCCAGTACTGCCACTCGCCATAGATGCTCTGGCCTTGTTCGTGTTCAAACAGCCTGCTACTGCATCCGACAGAACCAATGAGAGCAGAGGCTCAAACTATACACGGTGTTCCCATTAGGGATTTTTATTAGTAAGTTATATAGCTGGTCGCCTTGCCAACCCTGTGCAGACTCACACACACACACACACACACACACACACACACACACACACACACACACACACACACACACACACACACACACACACACACACACAGATATAGGATTACATGCTGAGACACCAATCAAACACTAGAGCATCGCTTTGTCTCACCTAGACACACACACATACATCACACATAGAGAGGCATAAAAATAGGAGACTTACGAGTGTGTCTACGCCTACACACACACACACACACACACACACACACACACACACACACACACACTCACACTCACTGGAGTTAAGGAGGATCATGGCCTTGAGGCAGAGGTACTCCTCTCTCTGGAGCTTGAGCTCTCTCACCCTGGACGTGGCAGCTATCAGCATATCAAAGATCTCCACAAAGCCCTGGACACAGCTCCCCTCTTCTCTGCCACACAAAGACACAAACACAACCAGTTATTTTACCAGAAACCATTTTTATAACAATTTAGGCAGAAACCATTTGACAATTTGACAAAATGCTGCATTGATTTAATGCTCACCAAGATCCAAAAGATGGCAAGTAGCAGTACGTGTTTAGCAGTTAGCATTATCATAGAGGAGAGGAAATGAAAACCATCATATTGGGAGTTATTTTTAGTACTTCAGGTTTGGCTGTAAAGCTCCACATAGGGCGGAAGATTCCAATGGTGGAAAGTATATTTACTCAAGTATTATACTTAAGTACGATTTTGAGCTTCTTGTTCCTCCTTTACTATCAACTTTACTGTTATTATCCATTTTATTCTAGTTTATACCTTAGTACATTTCAGTGGGAAATATTGTCCTTTTTCTCCACTATTTGAAAGATTTAATTACCAGTTACTTTTCAGATTAAAATTTATGATGAACTTAAAAATTAAACAACCCATCTGTATATGAAACCTTGACTAATTACAACATTTAAGTACCAATTTGATGCTGTTGAATCAATAATAATGATCAAATAATATATCTCAGGGACCATTCTGCTTAACACATCATTTTACTTTTGATACTTTAAGTACAATTTACTGGTAACATTTCTGTACTCTTACTTGTACAGGGAGTATGTGTACAGTGTGCTACTTTTACTATAAAAAAAGTAAATGATCTAAAAAAACTTCTTCCATGACAGGAAGATTCATCTTTCTATGACTCATGCACTGCACCATGCACCACACTATTTCCAAAATCTGATATGATGATAAAAGCCATCACAATGTACACAACGTGCCCTCAGTGAGAGAGGTTAGGACACTTTGTACCAGATTTTAAAAGAAGATGAGCACCAGCAGATGTATCCCTTGTTGTAAACCACATGTGAGCACAGATGCAGTCAGAGCTGAAGATTTCCTCCCACACAAACCAGATCAGAAACTAGTATGAGTCAGATGGTGGCGGGCCTGATTTTAGTTTTTCATACAGGACACAGATGGGGTCTGGGACAGATACTGGATTTTTAATAACGAGTTCGGTCTAGAACTGCTCTATTTGAAAAGTGTAAGGCCAAGACTAATATTTAAACATTGATTCATCAGCCTCCTTAAACCTCACATAGACAAGCATTTTGACAAGGATCACTTAAAGTTGTAGTTGTAACTTAAAGCTGGTTGATTTGATGACATTCATGGTTACTGTGGTAAGTTTAATACAACAGCAAACACTCCTCGAACAGCCACTTTGTCATAAAATACAACAGGAACTGTGGCACACATACATTACAGAATGTATAACTTCTCTAAATGCAGGTGGCATTCAACCTAACATCCACAGTAACGATGGCAAATTGTCACTTTAATCAGGTTTGTGAAGTAAAGATGTGATGTTTTTGGTCGGTGGTACCTGCTCAGGCTGAGGTCAGGGGAGAAGATAAGTTTCCCTGGATGGTCCACTGACCTCCAAATCAGTCCGACCATCAGCACTTCCAGCCAGCAGCACTCCAACAGGTGCACCTGGTCCAAGAGACCGAGCTCAATGAACCCTAAGGAAAAGACAAACAGTTTGTAACTGTGTGCTGCCATTACTGCTCTGCACACACAGCAAAAGACAAAATCCTGAATCAAGTTTGTAATCAGTAGTTATCCACGTACCTTAACCTGTCTACTGTATGAGCTGTGTAATTATTCAAACCAGGGCTGAAACAATTAGTTGACTGATTATTCTCTGGTGAATTTGACACCTGATGAATCATTAAAATCACATATGCAAACATTTTGCTGGTTCCACCGTCTCAAATGTGAGGAGTCACTGTAATTTTAATCTCTGGGTTTGGACTGTTCACTCCAACAAAACAAGCCATGTGAAGTCATCACTTTGGGTTCTGTGAAACTCTGATGGGTATTTGACTCTATTTCCAGACATTCTGTAGATTAAATGATTACTAAAACAAATAATAACAATAATAATATTACAAAAATAAACATTAATTGTGGCCCTAATTCAAACACTTACTCACACTGTCATGTATCAGACCCCAAATCAGGTTACAACCGGTTAAAATTTTTGTTCATGTACACACTGTCAAGTACAGCCTGTGCTGTTATCTGATTTCAGCCAGGCAATGAGTGACTGTGCCTGCCAAGGACGTTCAAACATGTCACTTTAGGATAAGGTTAAAGGTTTCTATGTCATAATATCTGCCTGAAGCACAAGCATGCAACTTGTTCAAAACTTTCATATTGTGCAGAGAAGCCGTCTGAATCAAGCAGCAGAGACACACTCCAATAAAAGTTATGTCACAGCTCATTGTCCACCTCCAATTCCAGAAACACTGCTGTGTTGCGGGACTCGTCGATTGCATGCTAAATAAAGCAGAGACAATTACTGTGTCTGGCTGGTCATTAACTCGCTTTCTCACCAACTGAGTGGCTCTGCAGGGATGTTTAGAAAGACGAGAGGCAATAAAAAGATCTAGATATGTCATTCTGGGTTCCAATAAAGCAATTTTATTTCGATGTCGAAGAGGTTTTGTGTAAAAAAAAAAAATGTGTACAAAATGTGTTTTGCTCTGTAGCTTCAATGCTTTATGAGATTAGGTGTTGATGAGAGCTTAAAATACAAAGTTATTTATATTAATTCTGGACTCAAAAACTAGACCAGTTGGCTTGTGAAATGTTCAAATTGTGTGTTATTCTACAACAAAAATCCTAGTTTAGATTAGCCTACCTTTGCATAGTAAGTGGAAGTATGTGGAAACGGCTAACCTTGTCTGTGTCACTGTCAATATCATCATCAAGTTGTGGTCGCATGAGTTACGAGCACGTATGGATTAAGATAACGAGATACAACATGCCAATCAGCACGCTTTAGAGGTGTTACCAGGCTAGCTGCTTCCACCTGCTTCCAGTCTTTATGCTAAACCAATTAAGCATATTAGCTTCTCTATGAGTTGTCAGTGTAGCAATAACTGGATAGGACTGCAGGATGGGTTAAAATAATATATACTTTGATGGACTGCCATGGCAACGACTGCACTCGTATATAAAATAGCGGGTAGTTCCTTCAAACTTAAATTTTTTTTATGATTTTAAAGGACTAAGCCAAGATTGTCATAATGTGTTTCTGCTGTTTTACATTCCTCCAGACGCAAATTTAAAAAATGCACTGCTGAATCATTTCCTGGGTGTATATGTGTATGTGTATATGTATATAAATAACTGTATGTATTGCATTGTCGTTATTCTCTGTCGTCGTCGTCCTCGTCCTGCAATCATCCACTAACATCACATCCAGTTTGCCTGATTCCATGTGAATGCAGCATGAAGAGATACACTACCAATTTTGGACGAGAACTACCTCTTGCACAGTACGAGGTTTGAACACACTCATCCCAAGTTGCTATGGACAAAGTCCTCTGCCCGAATTCCCCCGTTACACACCTGGAATCTTTTTGGCCCAGCTGATCATGTGAACCAACTCCTTATCTGCCAGGTTGGTGAGCGACATCATGACGTTCGCTTCAGTCAGAGGCCTCCTCATGTCCTTCATGAGGTAGATCTCTGGCGGCTCTGCCTCCATTATTCGCTCAATCAGCTGCTCTGAAGTCAGTGCAGGAGGACGGGGCGCGTTTAACAAACCCATTGCTGATGATCCAGTTAACACATCTGGTCCGTGTGTTCTGCTCTGTGAGGACAGGCGGGTCACTCGCCTCGTCTGGGGGTTCTTGTAGTTTCCACGTTCCTTTCGCATACCTGAGGCCAAGTAAACATGACATAAAACACAACGTTTTACAGTTTGTCCAGGGCATGTTTCACTATCCATATTTGTGAAACATGGTTATCGTAGGTCTAATCTTTTGGGTCTCCACCAACTCCTGAGGGAAATATCTGGGTCTTTAGCCGTTAAATGCTCCACTAAGTTCCCCTGATAGTTTCTAACTCTGTCTGGCATTTAGGGCTGGGCAAGTAGTCCTAGGTTTTAAGGGTTTTCTTGATTTCTTCTCCATTTTAAGCAGCTGTTAAACAGATTAATTTCACAACAACCTTTCCAGGCTGGTTTCCCTGAGTGGGATCACTGCACATAAAAAGGGAGGGAAACATTCTTGAACAAAAAAAAGCCTAACAAATTTTTTTATGACATGTAACATCATCATGACAGCATGTTGGTTAAGATATATTGTCTGGTTAGAGTTCCTTTTTCATTGTGGGTGGAAAAAATACAAAAGCCAAAATACAACAACCTCTGATGGGAAAAAAAATTACACTAACCACACTTCGTCATGCCAACTTCATAGCATTTGCGAAGGCGACACGCCTGGCAGCTCTTGCGGCGGTTCTTGTCTATAGTGCATTCATTGGTTGCTGGACAGATGTAGTCATTGTGTCCTGAAACAAAAGGTAAGAAGAAAGGGAGAAGATGAAGACAAAAAAGGCAAGGATAGAAGAAAAAATTTGACAAAATGAGCAAAATAGAAATAAAGAAAGGCTGGATCTCGCTGCAAAAAGATCACCCGCCAAAGGATGCTGATGACAAGCTTGTGTGTTTGTTTCTTTTGGGATCATTTCCAGCTTTTCAGTAAAACAAAAGGCGGAGAAGGGGGGAGAAACTACAATTGAGATAAGTGGGATTCAGTAAATGTCAGGCAACAAAAACTCAAAGGACTTGAATTTAAGTTTTTCAGAATGAGATTTTTAAATGAGATGTGATTCAGTCTCATTGGAGCTTGTAAATGTTGATTACAAGTTACTGTGATCAGGTGTGACAGAGTTCAGTAAGAGGTAGTCACATGCATGGACGTGTTGAGTTTTTAACAAGACTAACAATCTACACCTGCTCTGATATGAAAAGTGTCCTAAAATAAAATTGAATTCAGTTTAATTGAGCAGGTATAATGTCCATTGTGTTCACCATCTTAGCTTAGCATGTTAGCATCTACCATTTGCTAACTAGAACTAAACATAAAGTACACCTAAAGGTGATGGGATGTTCATTAGTTTTGCAGGTATTTGTTCAGAGAATTTAAATGTTGACCTCATGATGGATGCTAATGGAAATGTTAAGGAATCTAAAAGGTTATTCAAATTATCTTCAGGGGGACATGAATGTCTATACTAAATGTCATGGCAATCCAAACCCCAACCTCATGGTGGCGCTACAGGAAATGTCACAGAACCACCAAAGTTGGTAGGATTTACCCTCTATGGACCACAAATGCGTGTGAAAGACACTAAATGACTTATTTTCAGAGAAACAATACCCACTATGTCCTAAAAATGAGCACAGAGCTGAATGAACCCCACTAACAGTCTCAACAAATGGCGTCACCAAACTCTGAACACTGAATGTTTTTGTGCCTCACTTTGGATGCTCCTCTTGAAGAAGGCCTTACACCCCTCACATGACCAGACGCCGTAGTGGTAACCCGAGGCATAGTCGTGACACACAGCACAGTAGTGGAGGTCCGCCTTCCCGCCAGATGACACCACGCCCTCCTCGCTCTGCTGAGAACGCCTCATCACACTCTTACTGACAGATAAGTTTGAGTCAGTATTTCTTGCCAAGACAAAAACATGTGGAATAAGCAATCTGGCCTCAGTATGGAAATCCCTCTAATGAAGTGTATTGCATGTTCCATTTTAATAAATCATTACCGCATTAGTAGTATGATTACAGATTATTTACGCTGACTACAGGTAATAATTAAACTAGACAGGAGATTTGGAATAAACAGTTTCAACATATTTCTAATGACTGACATGAAATGTCAAGTTATGATGAGCCGAAATGTTGATTTTTCATGACGATTATAATATTGAGTGATTATATTATGGTCAGAAAGTAAGGGGTTTTAAAAATGCAACTGTGAATGCAGACTAGGAGTCGAATAATAAGCTAGTGTGCAGTGATCCCACTCAGGTCGATAGATATTTGTTAAGTCAGTTGTCCTTTATCAACCAAAAATGCTTTAAATTTGTGGTTTCCTGTCAAATATTTTGGGTGTTTTTGGACAAAAGAAGCAATTCAATGACATTATGAATTATTTTCCCTATTTTCTGAAAATCTTAACTAAACATTTAACCAATGAATCATACAAATAATCAACAGATTAAGCAATAATTAAACAGATCACTAGTTGCAGCATGATTGTTAAAACAGCATGCAACAGTCAGGGAGTGACGCACAATCCTACCTGGTTGTTACATTTTCCAGCGGTGACAGTTCCACCCATGGACTCTGGATTGGCTGTCCGTGCTGAGACCGAGCCTGGGAGTGGTGCAGGGGTATGGGGGGCCCCACGTGGCCGTGGCTGGGCCAGAACAAGGAGGGGCTTAGCGACTGATGGACGGAAGGGCAGTCTGAAATAGCCTGACCCGCATAACTGAAGAGAGTCGGACTGTAGAAAGGTATGGTGGTGAAGTCGTGGTTGAGGTCGGTGTACGGGGAGGGGATGCAGATGGGTTGGCTTGATTCCATGGAGGAGCTGAGAATCGGGGAGAGGACGCGACCACCGACTCGACTGGAGTCTACTTTCTGGAGCTGGAGGAGGGGCTGATCCTTCTCTGGAGAGGAGGCAACGGCCATTGCAAATACAGACGCTCTCAGTATCACTAGATTTACCACATCATAAACAAATATGGGCCTAGGATGGAGTCATTTTTTCCCTTTGGTGTCAAGTTCACAGTGGTATTGTCATTATCTACAAGTACTAGCAGTGTAATAGAATAAAAACAAAGAATTGCGCATCTACCTACAGGCCAGGGTGGTTTAATGTTACCTGTGAGCTCACATTGTACATTCCCAGAATGATGGATAACTCCAATCAATCCTGCAGCTTACTTTGATTTAACTCTGCTCACTGAGGAATGCTAGTGTCGGGAAGGATCACATGATCAACCTGTCAAGCAGAGAGAGTCAGTGCTGTGAAATGATCTAGAGGGCAGCGAACACACAGGACCACAGTCCGTCAACCCCGGAGTAGGGGTTCAGTTCAGTGCTTAGTGTCAGTCCAGCCATGAGTCTCACATTATTACTCCAGCACGTGGAGTCAGATGTGTGGCAACCTTTCCACCTGGAGGACAAAGAGAAAAGCGCATGTTAAAGTACTGAAATACTGGTCGAGGACTCCAATTCTGAATTTTTCTAAATTACATTTCATTGAGTTTACTCTCAAACTGCATTAGCCAGTTCTCTGGTACCGCAAACTCCATTTGCTGAAGATAAAAGACACTGTGAGATACAAAAGCTCTGTAAAAAGTTAGTGCCCTGTGGTTTTGGGGAGGGGGTTTAATCGCAGATCTCTGGTAATATTTATAGGTATTATTCATGGTGAGGGCGCTATAGGTTAATGTCAGAATTATGACTGTAAACATCATAAAATACAGAACGGCAGATTTAGTCCCAAAATTAATTTTAGTATATAATGTAATATATATAATGGTTTATAGATCAAATTGTATTCCAATAAGATTTAAACCAGAGTTTTTCTTTAAATTAAAATTTCACCTTTTTCACAATCAAAATAAACTGATGTTTTTTGTTGTTTTTACTTTATTTTACACAATTTTTCCCACTTTATCAAAATTCTATTTTGTCACTCAAGTCCTTCCAGCACATTCACATTTTTTTTTTACCAGATAAATCAACTGAGAACCAATTCTCATTTAGAATGATGACCTGGCCAAGAGGCAACTACAGTACGCAAATCGACACCAACAATTAAAACACAGAAACAGCTAATGCAAGAAAACAATATTAGAGTTAAAACATTACAATATATATACGGTATACACAATAAACAGGTAAATTCAAAAGCAGGTGCAGTGATCAGAAACTCGCTCGTAATCAGTTAGTAAAAGAGGGTGAATAAATCAAAAATTCAACTACATTTCACTTGTTTTAAGAACACAGCGTCGGACTCAGTGGGGTCACTCCACGGTCAAAAACTTTTCGGTTTTCCCTCTAATCTTTGGCAGAATATATAGTTAGTTTACTCTTCATCATTCCTGTGTGGCAGCACTCTGCCTTCAGTCCAAGTTGGTACACATTCTCTCCACCTTTCTTGCATAAAGCTGGAAGTCATTATTTCTCCTGATGGAAAAGGGTCCATTAATCTAAAGAGAAGCTGCCGTTTGACTCGACAACAAAACTTGATAATCCGTATAGTTGGAGTCGGCTCTAACAGCGCTGAAAACTGACAGTAATTAAACTCACAAAGCTGCAATGAAGTGACCATTAATATACATTAAAGTGATATTTTTGTTTTTATATGGAATTAAGATGTGTGAAATAATAATAATAATAATAATAATAATAATAATGATAATAATAATAATACATTTAATTTATAGAACGCTTTTCCAGAAACTCAAAGACACTTCACATAAGTTAAAAAGGAAAAGAAAAAAGGTAATAAAAACCACACACTAAGAAATTATAGCTATATCTAAATCACTCTAAAACACAAGCAGAGTTATTTCAGCATGTTGAATAATTTTATTTTTTGACTGCAACTTCTTGCAAGAGTTAATTTACGTGAAAGATTAAATAATCTATGTATGACATAAAAACTGGAAACACTATTGTTACATTTGTCAAACAACCTACAATTGTGTATTTTTTAATTAAAAGACGACAGACTACCATTGATGCTTTGCAAACAAATAAGATAAATGTAAATTCTATAGCAGTCTTTGCCTCTTTGAAGAGGTGTGGACACATTATGGGTCAGTTAACAACAGGATGCACATGTTGGTTTTGTCCACTCCAGGGATCTAATCAATCAACCCAATTTTACACAATTACAATTATGCTTAACACTGTCTTTTTCTGCTTTATCTAACCTTAGTTTAAAGGTTACATATAATTGAATTCACTTTCCACTATATGTCGCACTACAGCACAGCATCTCAGACCAAAACAAATTTTACCCCACAGATAATCGTAAAACAAAACACACTTCAAACTGTACAGAAACAAAATAAACCCTTAATTCACAGAGGTAGAGGTATAAATACATATGGAAAGGATCCCTATAGAGATAAACCTTTAGACGTTTGAGGCTGAAGGAAAAAGAATACTGCAGTCCCTACAGGCACAGGAGTTGTTATAGTGAGGAAAAAGTTATTAAAAAGAGGGGGAAATTAGTGGTTAAAACCTTTTGTCAAAAACACACCAATGTGTATACAGGCACAGTGCCTCAGAGCATCTTGACACACAGTGAACCCGACACATTAACACAAGCTGGTGAACACAGTGGAGCATTCAGCGTCTAAAAGAGAGAGAGTGAAGACTGGATTCACATTCATCAGATGGATACAAACATGACTCCAAATGAAAGCTAACGTGGCTCCATATCTGCTGGAGTTTTCCATATCAACTGTATAAAAGGTGATGTCATGTCTCAGTGTTGTTTTTACACTGCCACAAAATGGCCCAAAACATCAGTTAATGCAGTTTGCAGGTGTAACAACGAGGCTAGGTATTCACTATACAGCTGCAACTACTGTGATTAAGCCCAGTTTTTAGTGATAATTATTGACTCCGTGAAGTTTCAGACCTTGAACAGTGTGGAAGAACATTTCTCTCAGCTCTTACAACAGCTGTAAGAATCAGAATATTTGTGCTATTGAATGACATTTGGTTTGACGAACGATCTATTTCTGGCTGATAATACTGAGCGTGTCTTGGCAGTGGGAGGATGGCTTTAGCTCTGTCTTTTATGTGTTTATCAAATCTTACCTGACATAACACACTGATAAAATGCCGGGAAATGAAAGCATTTGAGCGATCTCTGTTTGAAGTTTAATTAAACTGCTTGCCAGCTCATCTGTTTCTGTTTGAATCCCAGGGAATGACTGATGACTTAAAGTACACTGCATCACAGAAACCTCAATTATAACATGCGCAATAATGTGCCAACAGAAGTGAGAATTTAATTACACTTAATGTGATGATAGCGTATATAATCTACAGGCTATATGTGGCTGAAAGCATGAAAAAGTGTTGCAGCAAAGAGCGCCGTTTAGTTTCACAAAGTTTCCAATGACCTTGTGTCCGTAAGCCAATAAACTGACTCCTAAAACAAATGAGTTACTTTAAGAGAAAAGAAGATTGTGGCAAGATTTTACCATCAATTACCATTTGGGGGTAAAAACAGATGTGGGAGAGTTTTTTGTTTCCTTTGAAGCTTTGATGTTGCCTTCAGACCTCCTCACTGTCACAGTCTCCGGCAGCTGGCAGCTCATTGTGAGAGAGAATTTCCCAACTCCTCCACAAGGCTGCTCATCTATTAAAACCAGCTCAGAAAGACAACAACTGCTGGGAAATATACAGTAAACTCTGGTTTCTTTGTAGAAATTGGGTTTTAAGGTTCAGTGTGTGTGTCAAATGCCTTGCAGAAGAGCACCACAGCAGTTGAGAAATGTTACTCAACCAGCTGTTCCATGGTCGCCTGGTTTCCAGCCGTCACTGCCTTACAGGGCGATCAAGTGCACAGGTTCTACATTGCATTATTTCCAATGGAAAAAGTGGCTGTACTCTCTTCAGCAGCTGCACAAGCTACAGCGGTGAGCATTGTGTTGATTTTCCACCAGGGTGTGCAGCAAAAGTTCAGTTAACTTTGACTCCAAATACTCTGACCTCCCTGTTCTCTGCTCTTCTTTCAATTAATCTAACCTTGTTTTTAAGTGGAACAGACACTCCGAACACACACACACCGTGACACACGCCTAGCATTAACCATCCCGGTAGCTCATGCAGTTGCTGCCAGTAGTTTCTAATAGGACACCGACTGGGCTGAACCTCTGTGGTTTGGACACAAGCGCATAGAGCTTGAGGGCTGGTAAGATGGATTCTTGCGTGATATTGTGATTTTATGATCCAGCTGCCTCGCAAGGTTATGTATCATCAGGTCCTACAGGAGAAAATCTAATACCAGTGACTGACAGCAGGTCATGCAGCAATTAAATGCTTCTAATATTTGTATTTATGTTCTCGGATGTCAGGAAGTGTCTGCAAATCAGCCGCATGTTATGAATAAGACGGGTATGACGGGTATGACAGATGAAGAAGAAGCGCCTTGTAGAGCAATATCCCAACAGGAAAAGAATACAAGCACAATAGACCACAGTTTTAGCTGCTTTTGACTGTCTGATTTATCAGGTAAAAGCCCCCCCCGTCACTTGCTGACGCACACACATTACCATAGTTACCAAATGATTGTATCGCTAACAGAGATCAATTATGAGACTGCTTTCTGGATTTATTAGTAATTTAGCTTCATAAAATCCTGTAGTCGGTTGGTTTGCTTTCACACCAGAAACGAAACAGCCGACAGTTGGCAAAAACAACAACAACACACACACACTTATGCATGTATCCCCCCAAAAGAATTCGGGTCAAAGCCAAATAAAGTAAAATCTGAAGTGACAGAACTGTTCCTGGTCATAATCCAGAAGTGCATGCCTTTTATACAAAAGCTCAAGGCCGTGCTGTTTTCCCATCCCTAAATTCTCACCGCCTCCCTAAAACCAGGCGGAAACGGATGTGAACCGGCTCTGCAGAAAGAAGTCGTACCTTACTATATACAGTAAGGGAGTATGAGTGGGGATGTGAGTGGCGGTCGGTGCCAGAGAATGAGAAAAATCTCATTGTGCTGCAGAAAAACCTCAAGCTGACACGGAGAGATTTATGTGCTCTATTTGTGCTTTAACGTGACTGCAACTGCTTTTAAAAGACTAATTAAAGTTTGACGTTAACTATAAACATTAAATGTCATTTATTATCCTGCACTGACACACATCAGAAGGAGCTGCCCTCAACAATACACTGATTTATCTGTTCATTCACACAGCAATCTAATACAACAACCCTGCAACACAGTGACTAATTCGGGTTTAAAAAAATAAAGTTAAATCTAACATCTCTCTGACACAATGTCACAAAAAGCCCTTATAATAAAATCAGCTAAAGTACAGCTCAGTGGTAACTGAGACCTATAATTCCTGTAATTAAAGCTATTATGACGTCTTTCTGAGGAAGGGTTTTGGTCTGGAATAAAGCTGGAGAGACAATAGATATTTTTTTTTCCATCTAAACAATAAAACGTCTGAATGCTCGTTTGATAAAAAGGTTCTAATTAAATTTTGCCTCTTAAAAATACAAAAACTCCCTTCTTGGATGTTTCCTTCGCACTGGCCTTTTTCTGGCAGTAACTGACAGGAAATGTGGTAATTTCAGGTGTGAAAACAGGTGGGATGCCTTTTAATCTTCCATCCACTATCTATAACCTTCCTATAACCCACACAGAAAGGACTTGCAGAAAGGTTCAAACCTTTCTAACCACTGCTGTGCCGCCCACTATTAATCTTGAATTCTTTCATTTTGCACGTAATTACATGAATAAATACATTCTAGAAATATATTACTTGATCTAGTACAACTGTTGCAACTCAAAAAATGAACCTCCTAAATCAATTTATAGCACTATCATATTAATTAATTGTCTTTAGGACAATAACAACTCTGCTTTAAAATGAGACTAAAAGTTTTAGTAAAGTGTATTTCAGTCTTTAATCAAATGACAATATTCGGCATTTCAAAAAACATTTAATAAGTGCAATAATATCTCAAACGTCTGAAACTTGAGTCAACTGTTGCAGTGATCCACCATCCACAGCTCAAACAAGGGAAAGGGGGAATTCTTCCTGTGAGCTTGTCTGTATTACAGCAGCCGCTTGTTTACATAGTAAGTACAGTAAGTACTTAAAATGGATATCTGAATATGGGGGGTGGAGATATCTAAAGATTAGGAGAGAGATGTTTAAGGAGATAATTGATGATTATCTGCATATTCAACATGACCCACTGCCATCTCTTAGCAGTTTTCCCTTTTTGTAGACACATAGACATTTTTTCTTCAAGAGGCAGATCTATAAATGATTGAAGACCCAAAGAGTCCTGTGATAAACTCTGGATTAAAAATATCTCACCACCACGGTAATGATTTCTTGCAGGAGTTTAAACTGTCACCTGTTAGCCAGTCCAAGTTTAAAATAAAAATAAAAATACGCAGTTTAAAGTGTGATCTGATGCAGTCACAGGCCTCCTACCCAAACAATATGTGACAATAAACCAGTGGGACAGTCAGCTTAATGTCTGCTTTATTACCAACATGAGTAAGTTGTATTTATAAACATGACAATATTCTTACCTCCTGTCTTCTAGTTGCAGACAAAAGTTGTCGGTGTGACAATATGGAGTCCCGCTGTTGGTGTCATGAGTTGGTAAAGTGCGAAATAAAATGTTTATTTGGAGCCGTTATGAGCTGCAGAAAGGCCGAGCACCGAGTAAGTTCCCCGACAGTCTCACAGCGCTCATATAAGAGTCGGCCGTCGCTGTGAGCCCCGGAGGCAAAAGACCAGCTGCGTTTAGGGAACTGGTGTAAAGTTAGACAAAGTAAAGGGCGCACAAGATCCGGTCAGTTCCTTCAAAATAAAATCAGCCCTGGTAAACAGCTCTTGGGTCCTGATTGTGTGTTTTTTTTTTTTTTTTATCTCTTTATTGAAATCATTCTGTGGCATCAACTTTTAAACTAATGAAATATGAAAAAACTAAACAATGCAGCAATTAAACTTATTTATTTTCTTCAATATTCTATCAATAGATGCTAATAGACTTTTAATAATTCAATAAGACAAAATATGTTTAAGTTCCACTAAATAACAGCAATGACGGCTGCCTTCTGTATTTTATCCGTTTCCACTTTTCTTTTTCCAGCACATTGTAACTTATTTTTTAACAGTCCTATAACTACATAAATAACTATATACATATTTCTTTGCCTATTAAAAGTTCCTGTTCTAGTGTGATAAAGAGCAAGACAATGTATGTCAGTCAATGCTGTCAAACCATCCTGCATGATTTGACTGTGACGTCCATAAAGCAGAAAAATCAGGATCAATAATATATTCTGTAGAAATTGCTGGTCCCCAAACAAAACTTCAGTTACGGCCTCAGGATAACGGTGTGCTTTTATTTTGAAGGCCTAGTTAGGTGTTTAATATTATTATTATTATTATGTGAACTTGACTCTGCTTATGGAAACTCACCGACGTCAGAAACAAGAAACAAAAAAAACACACCTCCCTGGTTGGTGCGTTATCACCGCCCAGCACAAGTCAATCAAATCCTAATTGGGGCCATTTAGTCAATTTAAGTGTCTCAATTAAAGTCAGACACAAGTCCACCACTCAGGTAATTCTGGACAAACCACAACGTTCATATAAATGTTGTGTTTGTAAAAAAAATAAAAAATGTCACCTATAATATTTGACTTATTGACATCCACAGTTCACATTTTGGAGGCTACAGACACATTCATTATAAGATAACTGACAAAAAAAAACAGAGCCCTTCAGAATAAACATCAGCCAGCTGGCTGTTAACCTAATCTGAGCTACTGCTGATGTTCACCTGTGTATTTTATAGTTTCGCAAATCATGTAAAATGTAAGACAAACAACAGGACGTCCAGTCAAACCTTTCATATTTCCCTATTATATTCCCACAATCATTAAATTATGAAATACAACACAGGGGGGAAATAAAGCATTAGACATTGAGCACAACTTAAAGAAGGAGTCCTGCCTATTACTATTTTATTGTATTCAGTTTCCTGGAGATAGAATTTAATGCAGCTGAGAAATAAGAAGCCCCGTCCCTTCCTCAAATCATAGTCTTGCTGAGTAAATGTTTTGGTTTTTATAACTGGATATGGGTCGTAAAAAAAAAAAAAAAAAAAACAGGGCTAAAAATATTTTCTTTCCATCTAGTTTGAAGGTTATAGTAAAATCTTACTGTATATGATGATTTAATAATAAGACAAATATCTGTAATTATGGTTCTTGTTTCTTTAAAGAAATTTGCCTCTGAGAAGTTCTCAGTTCATTGAGTACATTTTTTTTTTGCGTGAAGATATTTTATGTTTTATATCCATCATGTGACCAATGATTAAAACATATATGCTTGATTAAGTTGATTAAAGTTGCATTAGCAAATAAGGATGATTGAGCACCATGTAATACATAGAAGGCTGGTATATTGAACTTTGTACAGAGAAACAGGATGGATAAACAGCAAACTCTCAGCCTTGAGTTAGGGTCACGCTAACCGCAGCTTTGCATTTTGCTGGCAGTAACTGACATATCAAGCGTGAAGACCCATGTGGCATATTTTGAACTAGAATACATGCTTTTAATCTTCCATCCAACATCTATAACCATTTCATTTCAATTTCATTTCAGAATGTCCTGTAGCTGCTCTGCATTCTGATCTTCTGAGTCTGTTTTAGTTGGGAAACAGTCAAATCTATTCTAAATGTAGAAATGAGTTCTTAATCTTTGATTCTGAGAGGCTGATGTCTACTTGTTGGGCAGAACAAAATAAGGCATATTAACAACTGATAATTTATGGTAACATGTAATTGTTGCGGTTATTTGTTTTTGTTATTTAGATAAAATCTAAATCATGTGCATGCTTGGCCTTACAGAGGTCACTCTGGACCAGCACAGCCGAAGTCTGACCTCTGCTTTCCTCCGAGCTCATTAGCGAAGAGTCCAGAGAGGAAATCGCTTCTGCAGCCAAGGCAGCAAACAGGCAGCGAAGAGGTGCGGAAAACAAACAATGCTGCACAAACTTGTGCTTATTATTTCAAGAGGGATGATACAAAGGCAAATTATTCAATAAACATTGTTGCATAATCAAGGCTCTACTGGAGGATAAACTCAGGGTCTCCATTGCCTGCAATATTGTAAGTAATATCAAGCAATACAAGAACTTAAGTGTCCATCCTTCACAAGTTTTTTTGTTTTCTTTTTGTTTTTAGAGTTGTTAAAGGGTGTGTTCTTTGTTGTTAATACATTTGAATGAGTGACTACTGGGTTTTCAGACATACCAAATAAGTTGTTCCAAAGACTCAGATCATCATAGGCATTTAGCCACTGTGCTAACTGTGGAGCTTCTACAGTTTATGTACCGGGTCCATGCAAACAATGACAGCACAATGACGTACATCAACAGGTTTATCAGCGCTGCAGATCAGATGCAAGGAAAGCAAGAATGCTCTCTGTTGCAATTAGAGAAGTAATAGAACATAATTCACCATTAATTAGCTCTAGTACCTGGAATACTTTCTTCAGATTCAATTCCCCACCCAACACCTGCTCTCTCAGGGGGCAGAAGGACAGAGTATGTGTGTCTGAAAGAACATTTTACCCCTTGTAATTTTCCCAGTCATGAACCACTGCCACACCTGGAGAGATAATCATTCAGAATTACGATGTGCTGATCTCTCAACTCTTAAAATCCAATTTTGGTGATTACATTTTGTGGCTTTGCAGCCTTCAGAAGCTCATTTGACATTGCCAGGTAATGGACTACAGTCTTTACATTCTAACCAAACCTGCATGAGTGCACCACAGGTTGCAAGGTGCAAATTGTGCCAGAAGATATGACTATGGCTTCTCCCATCTTTCTGTCATTTGGTTTGTGGGGAGCTGAGGAGCAATTTGCCCCTAAAATTGGGCTTTTAACCCTCAGTTGTAATGATGGCACAAAACGAATGAACATTACTGAGATTTGGACCTCTTCACTGCTGTGGCACAAATGTGACTTAGCAGTGTTACGACCCCACCATAATGGCTTGTGAGAAAGAAGGTATAACATAATCAAAGATAGGAGTTTCCAAACAATTCATTAATAACTAATAATCAATATAAAATAATATTTTTTTGCACCCACAGTGTGTAATTTCTACTCAGATGTTTCTTGATAATTCTTCACCCCAATGTTGAGATTTAGTGGGTCTCAGGCTATCAGCTTCCTTTATTTGCAAAGTCAGACGCTCAAGAACTAACATCACTCTATCCACTGGTCTGGGCGATGAACTTGCTCGTTTCCCTATTAGTGTGCAAACTGCAACACACTAAAGAAAAAGCAGTTTTGAAGTGCTTCAGAGTTTGCTTCCTGTTACCTATACCGACAGTAAATGTTTTAGGTTTGGGAACAAAATGACACAGTTAGGGTTAAGAATTGGGTTGGGTTAAAAGTACTACCTGGTAAAGGTTAGGAAACAATTGTGGATAAAGGAAAATTCCAGTGCATCCAAAAATGCAGCCATTGTGACTATGGGTGATCCCAACTTTCCACTCGTCACCTCCATTATAGAGATTCAGGGAAACAAGGACTCACACAACACAAAAAACATAAAAGCTGTGCGAGCTTCCTACGGCTTTCCAAACAAACATGATATTTACATAAATCCTTTCAAACTGTTGTCTATAGGTCCGACCCGAAGTAAACACAGAAAGTACCCGCCTAGTGCAGCCATTACGACAAACAGCATAGCTGAAATGTAATGATATATTGATAATGCGATACAAGATTCTAATTGGTGAGATGAAAAATTAATCGTGATACTCTTAAACAGCTTTTTAAACTCTTTTTTTGTTTGCCGTCCTACATCACCTGGGTCAGTAGCTGTATCAAGGTGCAAAGACACGCCGAAGTCTTTGAAATTGAGGATGCACTATCCTTTTTTGTTTAAAGACAAATTATGACTGAAAACAATTCCTGTATTTCTCAATCAGATTTTCTGAAATCGTAAGAAAAGCATATTGTGAACCCAGTATCGAATCCTCATTCGGGATCTACATCATGGGGTAACTTGCAGGCAAGTTGTGCTTTGAGTTTTGATGGAAAGAAACTTTTGCTCAGGGATTGTACCTTTAAATATGGTACACTGCTGACATGGACACTTGCATGATTGCAGTAACTATATTATAAACACAATGTTGATGTGCATGGCAATATATGATGGTGAGAGGACAAATCATTTTTTTAAGAGTGATTTTAGTGCGGAAACAGCTGGCACAGAGAAAGGAGAAGTCCTCTGTGTCTAGGGAGAGATGGATCCATCAGTAAGAGGAACACAGAAGGTTATGCTCCTTTCAAAATTCATAACCCCCAAGAGCTGTCCTCCCTTTCACTGCTGTCAACATGTGTTTATCGCTAAGATGTTACATTAAACTATATTAAAGCTTATATATGACACTAAAGCTGCCGAAGATCCAAGGACTGATCAACTGTTACGCCTCAGGTCACATGATCCCAAATCTGAGTCCCACACTCTCTGCAAAATGAACTCTTGGAGCCTCGCAGCATCTCTACAAACAATCGGCCTGTGACAGCTCATAAACAAATACATCAATCATTGTTTACTCAATATTGTGCATCAAAACAAGGAATCAAAACTGCCTGACCTCCGCAGACTGCAGAGGCCAAGGTCATAGGTTCATGTTGACCTCTGAAGGCATGGCACAGGGCAGGCGTCACATGCTGGCAGC